CTTAAGATTCAGACATTGCTGTAATACTTTTGCGTTTAAATTTAAAGTTTAGGTCAGTTTAGAAGAAATGAAATTGATTAGGTATAGAACGGGTATCGGGTGGTATTGGTTAACAATCAGACGATTTCACAATATAAATAACATTTTATTCATAATCAGCATATGATTATTTACTGTTATGCAAGTAATTATAATTAAGAAGAATAAATTATTATATAATGTGCAGTAAAATTACTGGGAGAGAATGCCCTAATGACATTAAGTCCGCCTTTTATACTCCTTTTTTTAAGGTTTTTACTTACTTACTTACTTACGGTCCTGTTTCCCCTAGATGGGGCAGAGGGCTTCCACAGTGCGTCGCCATCCCGTTCGGTCTTGAGCTTCACGCTTCAGTTCGCTCCACGTCTTCCCTATGTCCTTCGCCTCTGAGATGATCGTCCGCCGCCAGGTTTGCTTAGGGCGGCCGCGCTTACGCTTTCCTTGGGGATTCCAATCTAGGGCTTGCTTTGGTATGTGATCAGGGTCCCTTCGGAGCGTGTGGCCGATCCAGTTCCACTTGCGACGTTTGATCTGTTGGTCGATCGGAGTCTCATCGCAGCGTTTCCACAGTTCTACATTGGAGATTTTCTCAGGCCAGTAAACACCAAGAGTACGGCGAACACAGCGGTTGACGGCGACCTGAAGCCGGCGCGAGATGTCCTTTGTAACCTTCCACGTCTGGCATCCGTACAGCAACACAGTTTTTACGTTGGACCGGAATATTTTGAGCTTTACTCTCCTAGTCAATTTCCGTGATTGCCACACTGGACGGAGCTGCGCGAAGGTTGCTTTTGCCTTGGCGACTCTCGAAGCGATGTCCTCTTCGGTTCCTCCAGTTTCCGACACTACACTACCGAGGTAAGTGAATGTGTGGATCCTTTCCACAGCCTCTGAGCCAATGAGCAACAGCAATGAGCTTGTCGCCCGCATCTCATTCCCTGGGTCTTCCGGGTGTTAATTTTCAGTCCCGTCTCCTTTGCCTCCCGTTGTAGGTCGTCCAGCTTGGCTTGCATGTCTTGTTCATGATGCCATCCAGAACAACAAGAAACAAGAGAGGTGAGAGAAGACACCCCTGTCGTACACCCGCATGAACCGGTATGTCGTCCGAGATGAGGCCTTCGTGTATTACTCTACAGGAGTACTTCCCGTAGATGGCCTTAATCATGTTTGTGATTTTCCCGGGCATCCCAATTTCATGCAAAGGGTCCCAAATACAGCTCCACCTCAACGTATCGAAGGCTTTTTCGAAGTCCACGAAGGTCAAATATATTTCCCTCGGCCATTCTGATGCCTGTTCGAGGATTATGCGCAAGGTATTGATCTGTTCCGTACATGATCTGATAGGTCGGAAACCAGCTTGCTCTTTGCGCAAAAGAGGTTCAACGGCCCTCGACAGCCTGTCTAGGATAATCTTGCAGAGTACCTTAGACGGGGTCGAGAGCAAAGTTATGCCTCTCCAGTTGCCATATTCACTGATGTCTCCCTTCTTGGGCACGGTGACGAGAAGGCCTTTATTCCAGTCGTCGGGTAATTCTTCGGCTGACCAGATGTTCCGCAAAAGGGGTGTCAGCGCGTTTGCGGCTGTAGGTACGTCAGCTTTCAGCATTTCCGCCGCGATGAGGTCGACTCCTGGGGCTTTGCCGTTTTTAAGTGAACGGATGGCTTTCACTACTTCCTCTCCAGTGTGGGGAGTTACGTCAATGTCGAGACATTGCGCGGGTAAGCTGACAGCAGGTGTCGTTGTAACGGAGTCGTTCGGGACTCGGAAGATCTCCTCAAAATGCTCCCACCAGCGTTGAAGCTGCCCCTCTGATGTCACGATAAACTGGCCTGCTTTGTACTTTAAGGGTTTCTTCTTCCTCTGGCTCCGATTCCCAGCCAAGATCTTCGTCGCCTTGTACATCTCTCTGAGATTACCGGAGTTAGCAGCGCGTTGGGCGCAGTCCGCTGCGCTATCCGCCCATGCCCGCCGATCACGACGGGCACTGCGGTAAATTTTTCTGCGCAACTGTTTATAATGCAGCCCCAGATCTTCACGCACCACCGTATCGTTGGTTACCAGAAGTAGAAGATGGAGTTGACGCCTTTCTTCGATTAAGTTCCAGGTTCTCTGTGACTTCCAGTCTTTACGTGTATGTTTTTTGTGTCCAAGAACGACGGAGCTGGTCTCTACGTAGGCCATTTTGATGTGATTCCACTCCGCGTCGACAGAAGTGGTAGAGTCCGTCTCGAAGGCCGAGAAGCGATTCCGCAGTTCTATCCTGAAGCCTTCCTCTATCCACGGGTCTCGAAGCCTATTAACATCAAACCGTTTGCCCAGCTTGGTAGTCGCGGTAGTCGTTCGAGCCACGGCTACTTTGAGCCGCACCTCAGCGATGACTAGATGGTGGTCGCTGTCGATATCCGCGCCACGACGGTTGCGTACATCGAGCAGCGATGAGCGCCACTTGGAGCTAATGGCAACATGGTCGATCTGGTTCTTAGTTACTCCATCGGGTGAGTTCCAGGTATACTTGTGATGTTCTCCGTGGATAAATAAGGTACCTCCGATGGTAAGATTGTTGTCTTGACAGAACTCCAAGAACCTCTCCCCGTTCTCGTTCCGGGCTCCCAGCCCGTGTCGGCCCATGTGTCTTTGACAGCCGTCATTATCTGTGCCAACCTTGGCATTCAGGTCTCCCATGACGATAACTATGTCCTGCTTGCGTGTGTTCTTCAAAGTCAGGTTGAGTGCACTATAGAAATCGTCCTTGTCCTCCTCTGATGCCATATTTGTGGGCGCGTAGCACTGAATGACGGTTATCTTTCGGGCTTTGCTGTTAAATCGAGCTGTGACGATTCGCTCTGAGATGGTTTCCAGTCCAGGAGACTCTTCTTGGCACCATCAGAAAGGAAGAATCCCACGCCGTTTTCACGGACGCCCTCTTCATCTTCCTTCCCGGAGTAAAGAAATGTAAGGCCTCTCGACGTTCTCAGTTCCCCGAATCCGTTTCTGCGCAATGTCGAGACATTGCGCGGGTAAGCTGACAGCAGGTGTCGTTGTAACGGGGTCGTTCGGGACTCGGAAGATCTCCTCAAAATGCTCCCATCAGCGTTGAAGCTGCCCCTCCGATGTCACGATAACCTGGCCTGCTTTGTCCTTTAAGGGTTTCTTCTTCCTCTGGCTCCGATTCCCAGCCAAGATCTTCGTCGCCTTGTACATCTCTCTGAGATTACCGGAGTTAGCAGCGCGTTGGGCGCAGTCCGCTACGCTATCCGCCCATGCCCGCCGATCACGACGGGCACTGCGGTAAATTTTTCTGCGCAACTGTTTATACTGCAGCCCCAGATCTTCACGCACCCGTTCCCGAGACCGAGACCGAGTATTTGCAATCCATATCTAAGCATTTTTGCTTCTGCTTGGGCTAGTCGGCTGTCTTCGCTGTCGGATGTCCGTATTTTCATGCCAAAGGTCGTCGTATAATGATCGGTCCGGTTTTGCACTGTTTCAGTTTCTTTAATCGAGCAAATTCGAGTAAGCGAGTGATTAGCCCACTATACCCGAGCTCTTTTAAGGTTTTGCAATAAAGCATAAATAAATGAATAAAATTTACTTAAGTACTAAATGGAATGTTACTGTTTACAGTCATGTAAAGTTAATGGAATATGACAGAAGTTCACTTGTCACGTTATGACAGAGCTTCATTACTGTTTATTCCCTTTAGACGACGACACTGTTTAAGAGCGACAGTGATCTCACTCTGTACAACTAATTGGGTCGCGTGAATATATCAGTTAAGTTTGTGTCTCGTGGACGAGTTTAACAGCCTAATCGGTAGACCGAGTGCAGTTTTTTGGATTATTAAGTGAAAGGATCATTTAAATGTCTAACTTAATTAATTAACTCCAATAGAAATCAAATAGAAATAAAGTGATATCCACAAACAATTAAGTGTCAAAACAATTATTAATTCGAAACATTTTGTAAAACTCTTAATGGAAAAGGCTTATTATAATGTCGAGGAATACATTGAGGACAAGGATGTGTGGAAATGACTCTTGCTCAGCACTTACAAGTCCCCTAGCTCCTAATTTTATACTTAAATACTTTTGTGTATATACTTTAAAAAAAAAAACAATATAAGACCGCAGAGTTTCTTGCCAGTTCTTCTTGGGCAGGTCTAGTTTAGTGAACCGGTAGTAGTTTTTGACGTTCAATTATAGCTTAAAATAAGCCTATGTTGAATAAAGAAATTTTGACTTTGACTTTGAGAAAAGCATTATTATTAAGTTCTATCTGAATTGCTTGGCTGCAATAAAATTGATCAAGTACATGATTACTAATTTTACAGCCGAGATCAGTGCAGTGCCTTGTCTTAATACCTTAATTATATTGCTTAGCGAACTAAGAAAGCTTAAGACCTTGAAATCAATAAAGTTATATGTCAAAGGTCGACAACGTAGAGGTGAGGCGGTGATCGTAGAGACATCGGTAAGGAGCATGCTCGTCTGATAAATATTGCAGAGGTCACTGCAAAGCTTGCCATACAATACAGTATCATATAACAGGGGTGGTCAATTTTGGTCTACAAAAACATTGAGGAACAGTGAGGAAATAAACATATCGTGATTAACAGGTCGAAAATTTAAGCGTCAGCACAAAATTGGGCTAATTTTAGGGTCACCCAACACTGTTGCACGAATGGGGAGGTCCGTCAGGGTAAGTACCACGGCCTTACAGAAGACCGGTGTAAAGTAGAAGTGTTAACTTCTGCGTTTCGTCAGGTGAGTGAGGTAGCCGGGGCCCGCTTTATTTCAGGGTGGCGACGCATTTGTAACCCTAAGGGTGTTGCAAAAGTCCATGGGCCGCGGCATCACTTAACACCAGGTGAACCGCCAGCTCGTTTGCCACTATCTCACAAAAAAAAAAATTCAAATTTAAAAAGATTAAATTCATTTTCTATTCTTGTCTCGTGACCAGAATGGCGTGGCGTGCCGTGGCCGCCTGCTTAGCGCTGCTGGTACTGCCGATAGCCTGCAAAGACCTGACTGAAACCTCTCGTGATGAGATAGAGGAGCCACCCCAAGGCCAGGAGCCGGATCTCGTCAACTACGACGATACAATCCATTCGGAGAAGATGAAAACGGTATGAATTATTATTGCTTTAACGTATGATGCCGTTTATCCTTTGCCAAAATTTACTACGATAGATCCTCGCAGTATGAATGAGTAGACTTGCAAAAAAACCATGATTTCGAAGAAGTTGAAGACTGCGTGAAGTAGAAGTATTATGTTTACGCTTTTCGGCAAGCTAGGTAATCTGGACCCACATTTCGAAGGTTGATAACATATCTATCACCCCTCAGATGTTGTAAATGTAAATGTTTACACACTCGCTTGTAGCCTATCCATATAAAAATACGAATTTTTATCACTACAAGGTGGAAAAGTTCAATGAATCCAAGTCTGTTCAATATTCTATCCAAGTTACTTCACTAGTCAAACGTCTTTTTAACGAAGATGAGTCATTCCTTCTGTAAAATCTTAAGAAACATTTTTGATACCTTTTGGATATATTTTTATTTACAGCGATCATCGCAGAAAGTGATTTTCGAGGATCTCAATCGACGACAAGTAAGTTAAGCTTTTTATAACGCATACATAAATTAGTTTTTTAAATGACGATTGATTATAAAAGTATAGCTTTTCTACAAAAACATAATACTTGAAAATAAAACGCTATAAGGTGCGAATTCGTGAAAACAAAAAATATTTTAGGTTTTATGAAAAGAATTTTGAATTTCTAAGTTAATAGAGACATCATAGCGTAAAGTATAGAAGTTAGACCTATGTGTTGATAATGTGTTTTAGGACATGATAATGTGTTTTAGGTACCCCAGGATTCCGAAGACCAGCTACATTACCAGTGACCAGAGGTGAGTGTATGGGATCTAAAAGTTTATTCAGCGTATATTCAGACGACAACTTTAAATCGGGGTTGAAATGAAAAGTTAATATGCGAGTTTATATATTAGACTAAGGTTAGATTGATCAATAAATTTTCACGCCAGTTTTATGATTAAAGCGATTGAATAAAAAAATATTTATTTTGTTTTAAGTTTTTTTATTATCAGAATTCGACTTCTATTTTGAATATACCTGAATTTGCTAAATCAATACACAAACATGTCCTTATGATGTTCTTTCGATCTGATTGTGAAGATATTGCTTGTTATGAGCTTAAAGAATTATATTGTGTTCTTATAAATGCATCGATGTAATCCATGTGTTGGTTTCACGTTGGTATTGAAGTCGTATCGCTCCGTGATAGCTCATTGTCCATGCGCTCGTTTTTAATTCAATATACATGAGTTCAATCCTAGGTCCCGACACCAACGAAATTGTTATTTTAAGTGCTGACTTATCATTCCTCAGCGGTGAAGAAAAATATCGTTTGGAAACCTGCATATTTTCGAAATAATCACAAAAAACATTTTGAAGATATGTGAAGTCCGCCATTTCAGTTGGGTGTCGCGTGGTGAGTCCACCTCTGCACAGAAGGCATAAAGGCGTAGTCACTACGCCTTTGCCCTCTGCTCTATATAGACTGTTACTTGACTTAAATTTTACTTTAAAAGTCGTATTTGTCTTATAATTTTATTGAGGCTCAATAATAGTAACACAAATGTTGATAACTGCCACCAGCTCCACCGCAGCGTTGCGTGGACCAGGGCCGCACTTATTTGGAGGGAGTGACGTGGAAGAGGGACAATTGCACCCTCTGCCAATGCCACTTGGGCAGAGTCAACTGTTCCGTACTCCCGGCATGTCTAGCTCGTGAGTATCAAATTCTCTGGGTTTATTTCGTTGTACTTAAATGTTTTTCTTCCTTATAAACGCTGCCATCAGAATGTTTTGGAGTTATTCTGTATTAACAATTCAACATACAGTTAACTTAATTGAATAAAACTGTCTAGTGATGAAAAATTAAATTTAAAATAGACAGATTATTTCATTGAATTTTATACAATACTCGTAAATTCAATTGAATTATTTATATAGTAACAGACCAGACAAACGTCCTGTACACACGTCTTAAATTCGAAAATTTCAATCTTTTTTGAATAACTTTGGCAATCTAACTAAACCATTGTCGAATGCACCTGAACACACACAAAAAATTTCATTAAAATCGCTGCAGCCGTTCAGGAGGAGTTCAGTGACATAAACACATACAGAAGAATTATATATATAAAGATAAGCTCTAGCGGGTTTACGGCAATATACATGTTTCCTGTTTATTCATATGCTTAATCTATTTTATCTTAGCACCAGCAACGGTCAGACCACAATACAATGCTGGCGGCCAACCAACTACCCCTGTCAGAGGAGTGCCAGGCCCTCCTGGGGACAACGGACCATCCGGGCCACCTGGTACCCCTGGAGTAAATGGGTTTCCTGGTGCGCCTGGCTCACCAGGTCCCGTTGGCCCCATGCCCGATGTGAGTGAGATACCAGAGCTATAGGCTCTTGTCTCGCATTGTATCTTGTATTAACTGATGTATGTGCTTTCATTCCCGAGTCTATTAAAGCTTCATCTGACGCAGAACCGGTGGGCTAGCCAGAACCCACGAGTCTATAGGCTCTCTTTTATTTCAAACAGGTGATTGTATATCGGTACCCAGTTTGCATTTCTCATATATGCAGACTGTATTTTTTTCATTTTGTTAGATATAATAGAGTTACAACCAAAATAAATCCCTCAATATAAATCCCTTAACTGATGTTAAATTTCTTTCACTTCTCTTTCGTTAAGTATTCACGGATGTCATTGTTTAATTAGATTACAAATACGATCTAAAAATGCGAACACCTTGCAATGTAACGGTCTTGTCCTAATATTGAATTGTACCTTCTTGGTGCTTTATCTTGGCTTATTGACTGCACTATAAATCGACATAATATTTCGGTACCAAAATTAATAATCAAAATTTAATTAATCTCTTAAAATTAATTTAAATTAATAATCAAAATGAAACAAAATAAGTCGGGGAGACTTATGAAATTCGGGAATAATTTATTACAGTTCATCTCGTGGCTGTAAAATCATGTTGAAAGGTCATATTAGAAACTGAAAGATCCGTATATGATAACATTTATAGATAAGTTTGTAATAGAAGGGCGTATACTCTACGTACTATACGAAATTATTAGATGAATCTAATGCAATTTAAATTGATGCTCAGGTGAATGCTTACCTAGCACAATTGGCGGCAACAGCTGGAGGCGATAAAGGTCCAGCGTTCGATCCCTACCAATACATGCAGGCTCCAGTTGGCGCTCCGGGAATCAGAGGGATACCAGGTGAATAAAACGGTTACTAGGAGATTCCAAGGGAATTTAACAATAATGTGCATATGGACTGCATTACTATTAAATTTAATTTTTACTTTACACATTTAAAATGCAGTAGATTCGAATAAAATTTGTAATTTTTGTGTCTGGTAGATTCTCCAGGGTAACATTTTTAAATATGTTTTAAACATTATTTGGGAAATGTGCAAAATTATTATTCTATAGTCTACTAGTGATATTTCTAAATCAGAAAAAAATAGTAAAATACCTCATTATTTTTGATTTCATAATGGCACCTTACCGCTTCTAATTATAAAAATGATGATAGTTGATATAGTTAATATGAAAATAGTTCGTGATTTCATACTCTGGCTAGTTAGTCTCTTTAAAATAAGACCTAGACAATTAGATGAGGTATTTGACTATTTGTATCTAGACTCGCGACCTTTTCAATAAAAGTATGAATATTTCAAATTCTTGATTATTCGAATAAATCTTCCAGAATGTTGGGCTCTGATTAAATGAATAATTAACTAATTAATTCAAAATAAAATGTTTAGGTCCCCAAGGACCTCCTGGGCCACAGGGTTTTCAAGGACCCCGCGGTGAACCCGGCGAACCTGGCTTACCCGGACCACAAGGGCCGCCCGGCGAGAGGGGACCTCAAGGCCTACAAGGAAAAGACGTCAGTATATCATCTGTATTAGACATCATTTTGTAATGCTCGTTCATAACAATTGTTGGATGGCTTTCAATGTAGTCCAAGAAAGTTGATCCTCTGAATCCACAGTTACTTGTTATAGGGCTAACATTTAATATTTTTTTCAATGTTTTCTTTATTATTTAAATGTTCTGAATCCACAGTTACTTGTTATGTGGCTAACGTTTAATATTTTTGTCAATGTTTTCTTTATTATTTAAATGTTATTTGTTTAAATGTAAAATCACTCCTAAATTTACTAACCTCCTGTCTCGTTTAGGATTAAACAAGTTCAGTGCAACGGCGAAACCATTTTATCCTGTATAAGCTACCGTAGACCTCGCTAAAAAACAAAGCTTGTTGAGAAAGAAAAAAAGAAAAGAAATAATAAAGTTGAGAAATCACCCTTTACAGGATCTCCGATATTGGATCTGGTTGAGAAATAAGGTGTTTCTTACAGGGATCTCCGGGCGAAGACGGGGAGCCGGGGCCTGCTGGTGCTACGGGTCAGCCGGGACCTAGAGGGGCACCGGGTGTCCCGGGAATACAGGGTCTGAAGGGTCATCGCGGGTTCGATGGTAAAGACGGCGCGAAAGGCGAGCAAGGCTTCCCTGGTGATAAGGGCCCGACTGGATTGCCAGGACAAATGGGGCCTCCGGGACCAGTGGTATTTAATCATGAAATAAAAATAAACAAATAAAAATTGTTATTTCAAGTCATAATCAAACGTAATCAATCAAAAGACACACAACTTGAATTGCAAAACTTGTTTTTCTTTCAGGGTCCTATTGGTCCACGTGGTGAACGTGGCCGCGAGGGTCCCCCAGGACCACCAGGGATGCGAGGTGTCGACGGAACCCCTGGATCACCTGGTTTGATGGTACGGTACAATTTTTATCCGTGGGCAGTAAAAAAGTTAGACGGGCATGATTTTCCCATGATCGTATTCACGACACTTGATTAATTAATTTATTTTTAAATAATATGTCTATTGTCGGAATGATCAAGTATTATATCAATTAATGTTCTGTGATCCATTTATTAAATTGTAATAAATTATAGAATGATTAAGATTCGAGTAGGCTTTATTAATTGAATTCTCCCCCGTAGAGTTTGGGTAGCTGGTAACATTACACTGAATTATCGAAATGAAAATTACTTACTGAGCCCTTGCATTACTTTTTTGCTTTTGTCAGGGTAACGTGGGCAAACCTGGCTCTCCGGGCTTCCCAGGATCACCTGGCATCAAAGGTGAACAGGGAGTGGTTGGCCCCAAAGGAAGCCAGGGACTCCAAGGACCAAGGGGAGAGGCGGGCCGTCCGGGAACACCAGGGGAAACTGGAGCACCGGGATTGGCAGGTAGAGACGGTACTCCAGGTGAGAAAGGAGTGCAAGGACTAATCGGACCATCCGGGCCTCAAGGCTTTCCTGGACCTAGGGGAACTCCTGGCATTGCTGGGGATCCAGGTATACCTGGCACAAAAGGAATGCCGGTAAGTTGAGTTTAATTTGTTGTAAATGTTATTTGATCATGTATTAGCAATAGATTTTATGCTGTCTTAATCTATATTTTAGGGTCAACCTGGAGAAAGGGGTACTAAAGGTGACGCTGGCATAAGAGGTGAAACCGGTGGTCCGGGACCTCGTGGTCTACCAGGAAGTGTGGGTCCTGAAGGCAAGCGGGGCAAGAGAGGTTTACGAGGACCTGCCGGAAACGTTGGTCCTCAGGGCGAACGAGGACTACCGGGTATGCGAGGACTACCTGGTACAGATGGTCCAATCGGGCCGAAAGGGCAGCCAGGAGAAAGAGGTGGCGTAGGTTTACCTGGATCAAAGGGAAGCACTGGTGATGCCGGAAGGCCTGGGCCTCAAGGATTGCAAGGTCAAAGAGGCTTAGTGGGGAGACCTGGCATGGTAGGGAAGTCTGGTCCTCCGGGTGAAAGAGGTATTCCTGGCGCCGATGGCAGACCTGGTGAACAAGGAGCACAGGGCCTACAAGGTCCTCCAGGGCTCATGGGGAGTCCAGGGGAGAGAGGCTTACAAGTAAATAGATATTTATTGCATATCTTCTTTAAATAACTTACTTGAGTTGATTGTACTAATTATATACACTATTTAAGGGCGAACCAGGAAAAGATGGCGAGCCAGGTCAGCAAGGACAACAAGGACCAAAGGGTGATTCTGGGCGTGATGGTAGTCCAGGTATTCAAGGACCACAAGGTGTGATTGGTCCAGCTGGTGAGAGAGGGCCTCAAGGTCCGCCTGGACCGACTGGGTTCCCGGTAATTTGAAGATACACTTATTAACCTTTAAAGTATACTTAATTCACTGTTATAGGCTTAGTATTATTATATTGAAGTGGTTCACTAATATATGAAATTCTACACATTTCACTAATGTGTATAGTAGAAAACCATTATTTCTTAGGCCTTCCTAGGGCCAACTTCACTTCAAAAGCTTATATTGCGCTGCGTATTCACTAAAATAATGCATTCAAGATTAGGACACTCTAGTTGCCTCAGGTATGTTTGCGGATGCAAGGACGGACGAATTCTACAATAGTTACGCGAACGCGAACACCCTTGGACTAAATTGTCTGAAATAAATTCATCATTACTATTATTATTATGAAAAAATCTGTTTTATTATGAAAAAAACGGCTAATGATGAAAATGATTGTTTATGATGAAAATTATTCGTGATAGCTCACTGTACCGGTGTTTTATTTAATTTGGTACACTCGAGCAACTTTAGTTCAAATGCGTACCTTTCATTAGTGCCGGCACGTTAACGAACAAAAGGATCGATATGTTATCTTCCAATTTCCATGCAGGTGCTGCACATTCCAACACACAAGATTCTAACACATTCCTAGGCCTCAGTCTAAAATTATTTCTTTAGCATTATCACCATTAAACTAACATTTTTTGTAGTAGTATATTATAGACATGAAAATTTAGTAATTTCCTTAGAGTGTATATAGAAATGCATTCAACTTTTACTGTATAAAGGCGTTTTATAGGGTATGCCGGGAGCAGCGGGGTTACCAGGATCACCTGGAAAAGAAGGAGAAGCCGGTGTCGCTGGGCCAGCAGGGCCACCCGGTTCTGCAGGGCCGCGTGGCGAGAGAGGTTTCACTGGTGAACGCGGGTTACCGGGTCAACCTGGTACTCCAGGGGAAAAAGGTGAAACCGGCGCACAAGGATCCGACGGGCCTCCGGTACGTTTTGTGACTTTTGACATTTTACGTGAGAAAGCGGCAAGCGGGCTGGCGGTTCACCAGATATTATTATTATGATTATATGCTTTATTGAACGCCATAAATATATAAAAGAAATTTTACAAAAATAACTTATGAGATAGTAACAATAAGGCGGTCTTATCGCTAAAAAGCGATCCTTTCCAGACAACCTTGTGGCTAAAAGTATAATATTTTGGTAGGTGGTGCAAATGTTAAACTTACATACTAAGATCTAAATAAACAAAACGAATATATTACATTTTGTATATTAATTATATATTTTAATATATACCAATTAATAAGATACAATAGACATACATAAAACTAAACATATACAGTACAATAACTTACAAAAATATATACAGGGAGAGAAAAATATAAAATAAATTTACAAATGTCGTCAGTGACAATCAGTGTCAACACACCACAGTGACAGATAGTAATTTTTAACGTCAACGTTATTAAGTGATAACTGCCACCCATAGATATCTGCAACACCCGTAGAATTGCAGATGCGTTGCCATCTTTCAACGAAGTGGCAAAATAGCTTACACAGATTGCGGTTCTTCCCTGGACGAGCCTGTCCATTAGCGTAACAGTAAAGATTGCCGCGTGGCTCTACCAGATTTTAAACTGACTTAAAAAGGAGAAGGTTCTCAATTCGACTGCATTTTTTTATGTTTGTTAGCATAAATTTCGACTGAGTGAGAAGATTTCGATGATTCCATATTCTTCTTCTTCTAACTAGCATTTATCCCAGCAATTGCCAGGGTCTGCTTTCCTACTTAAATTCCATATTAAATTCATTATTATTGGATCTTGGGCCCCGGAGATATTTAGGGAACTCCTGAACATCAATTATAAAATGAACACAGAGCGAGATATTTAAAGTCGGTTTTGTTTTTCGTTAATAAAAAAAATGGACTTGTTGTATAATTTTTAACTATAGATAAAATTTAAATACTTGATATATTTTTACTACAACGTATAAAACTAACTAGGGGCCAGAAGGTCTTAAGGGCAGTAAAGGGCATCCAGGACAACTCGGCGCTATGGGATTGCCTGGTCCTCGGGGGATGGCTGGCTTGCCCGGTGAAAAGGGCGAGAGAGGCGCAGCTGGTCCAACTGGAAATGATGGACCTCCGGGTATGATTAAGTTTTGTATTATTTTATACTAGGAACTGCGCCATGGAGTTATCGCTTTGGAAATCAAATTAAAAAAATTATCGTGTTTTTTTTCAGGTCGACAAGGTGAACAAGGCCTCAGGGGCCAGTAGGTCCCCAGGGCCATCCCGGGGAGCCAGCTGAAAGAGGAGAGCCGGGGACTCCGGGGGTACCAGGGGAGCCCGGAGCCCCTGGTTCTCAAGGGGAGAGGGGGCAGCCGGGATTGCAGGGTTCTCCGGGCCTTCCGGGACCTCCAGGATTGACAGGCATGCCCGGCTTGAAGGGTGATAGAGGTTATATGGGCGCTAAAGGCCAACAGGGATCGCCTGGCAACCCAGGTTAGTTTTCGTAAAGTTGTTATTTGTGTGGACTATAAATTTGCGTTGTAATAAAAAATAAGCTTGCTTTACATGAACATTTAAAAGTTCTGTTTATGGAATAACATAAATAAAAATAAGTATGTCAAGACATATTTTTACACAACCTATCAATCATCCTAGTCCCAGACTAAGCAAATCTTTTACTATGGGCACTCCGTATTTCTTATGTAAATAAATAAATATTATAGATATATAAACACCCAGATACTAGAAAATCACTATATTCGTCTCACAATATTTTTTCAGTATCACACTCTCTGGTGCAAAATACAGGTTCATTATTCACTACGCCAATCTGTTCGTCAAAATAAATAACTATTTACTATTTAATTCCGAAAATATAAAAGTTATCCATTATATCATCTTTTAAAGGTATTCCTGGAGAACCGGGTCAGAGAGGTCTCGCTGGACAGCCAGGAGCGAAAGGAGCCCGTGGAGAACAAGGTCTAAAAGGGGACATCGGTCGTGCAGGTTTGCCTGGAAGACCGGGAGACTTAGGGCCTCAGGTAAAAAAAATCTTAATATTAATCTTAAAACCTGGAATGAAAATATGACACTAGTTCATTTGGGTGCCTAAGTACAAAAAAAATTCTTATTAAATTTAACAGTTAAATTATAAATAATATTTCGTCAATTTTGTATTAAGTAGACATTATATTCCCTTATTACACTCAACATTTCCTTAATTTTTTCTTACTGAAATGTTATTTATAATAAAATTTCATAACATACTGTATACTATCGTCTTCCATAAATTACAGTGATCATATGATTACTTTTAAAGGGCCCGCAAGGAAGTCCAGGTCAAGTTGGACCGCCTGGTATGACAGGGGCGAAGGGCGTTTCGGGTGAACCGGGCCGACCAGGGCCACCGGGTCCTATAGGTTTGACTGGAGTACAAGGGACTGAAGGACCTAAAGGAGAGAGGGGCAGCGAAGGCGAAATAGGACCGCCGGGGCCTGTTGGACCACCAGGTCCGACTGGGGAACGTGGGCCAAGTGGGCTTCCTGGGATGGTCGGACCACCTGGTCAGCAAGGACTTCGAGGAGTACAGGTATGCTTAGAATACAACTGTTTACCTACAGTAGTGTAGGACGACCTCCACCAGTTGGAGTGACAACCTGTTGAAGTTTGTGGGAAGTCAATGGATCCAGGTGGCTCAAAATCGTGCTTCGTGACAGTCTGTGGGAGAAGCCTATGTCCAGTAGTGACTAAAACAGCATGAGATGATAATGGTGATCGCAAATGACAATAATTATATTTTTACTTAACTTAAAACGTATATTTACGATGGGATTTTTTAAAACGCATAAATGGGATTTATTGATTTTAGGGTGAAAGTGGAATTCCGGGTAAGCCTGGTTCAGATGGTGCTCCGGGGCCAATAGGGCCGACAGGACCTCAGGGAGCTCAGGGACCAATGGGAGAGCCTGGTCCAGAGGGAAGACCTGGAAAACTTGGACAGCCAGGTATACCTGGAAGACAAGGTGATAAAGGCCCAATAGGACCACCGGGTGCATCAGGGCCTGCCGGACCCCCAGGCATGCAGGTGAAAAATATTATGTAATCTCAATAAATCTTTTCCGTTAGAGATGGATATAGGTATTGTTCCTTTCTTCAGAGGTCTTAGCTTCTGTGTATTAAATATAGAGCATAAAAATCTATTATTTCAATAACAAATAATTTTGATTCTCATATAAATAGTTGTTTGCGCAATAACTCCAGAAGGAATTTCGCGGAGAAGAAGAAACTCCTCGCGAAAACAGTGTAAAAATCAAACTCTAATCGTAATTGAAATTTAAGGGTCCGCCTGGTCAATCAGGGCCGCCAGGACAGGCTGGTGAGAGGGGATTGAGGGGTGAACCCGGACCCCCAGGTGTAGATGGCCCTCAAGGACCCTCTGGCAAGCAAGGCCCACCGGGTTTGGATGGTAGTAAAGGCGAACGTGGTGAGGCCGGAGCCGATGGTGCTAAGGGTCATGCCGGCTTACCCGGATTGCCTGGTATGGTTGGTACACCAGGTAGGCCCGGCGAGAGGGGATTACCAGGACCGATTGGACCGCCCGGAAAAGATGGAGATGCAGGACCACGAGGTAAGTGTTATATTTTTAGTAAATTATAAATCCGTTTTACACACATAAAAGAAAAATAACAAATAGCTAAGTACGAGTGTATCGTATTGTAACGGCTTGATAATTGTTGTATATGGCATTGAAATGGTTTTTTTTGTTGTTGGATTCAATATTACTGCCCTTGAATATAATGCCCTGAAATAAGCTTGATAAAACTTTTGTTTTGGGATAACGTATAATGTCCCTACTGTCTTTGAAATGGAAATGAAAATTAATTTTATTCCTGGAACAGGTCATGTAATTTACAAAACACCTTTCAGGAACCCCTGGTCGTGACGGTAGCCCCGGACCTCAAGGACCAATAGGACCTCAGGGTGGGCGTGGCCCTCCAGGAGAATCTGGGCGGCATGGGCCACCAGGGCCCGCCGGACCCCCAGGGCCGCCGGGCTTGCCTGGCGAAGGGCTAGCATACGACGCCGCTGCTATCGCTGCAATGCTTCAGCAAGGTATAATAATAAATAACTATTTTTATGATTGATAAAATACTTTTCTTTAAAACCTCCTTATAACATGCATTACATACACATCAGAGATATTTCGTCATCTGGTAAACGTACTCAATATACTTGTACATTTATAAGTTGCATTTAAATGACAACTTGGTTATTTGAACGTATTAAGTATACAAAGTTTACATTTTTTGTGTAATAATTCCACTTCACGTCTTCTGTGAGGTCATTTTACTTACACGGACGGACCTGCTCATCCATGTAACAGCGAGGACTGTTTCGTGGTCCTATCACAATGATGTGTCAATTACGGTCGGAAATAGTTTTGAATTCATGTTTATATTTTTAGGCTCGATGAAAGGTCCAGATCCATTAGGTGACGATCCAAACACCACCCCACCGCGTTTCTTCAAAGACGACATGTCACCCGCCGAGAGGAAAGAGATCGTGATGAAAGCATATGAACGGCTCAAGGTCTCCCTGAACAAATTCCTCAAGCCCGACGGCTCCAAAGACGCTCCGGCGAAGACTTGTGGGGATATCAGATACCATCATCCTGACTTTCAGAGCGGTGAGTTTTTATATCAAAGCTCGAAATCAGTTCGTTAAAAGAAACCAATGAAGCATAGAGAGATTTGTTAACCAGCCTAAATACAAAAAAGCAGATCTCTCCCTGATATTTCATACATTCTAAAAGAGTTGATAATTTATTTGCAGGCCAGTATTGGATCGATCCGAACGGTGGCGATATGAAAGACGCCATTTTGGTTCACTGCGACATGTCTACTGGCGCCAGCTGCGTCTTTCCCAAGCCCATGCAATCTGAAGACATCGTGTACAAGGGAAAAGAGAACGAAGCGTGGCTGAGCGAGATGGACGATGGTTTCACGGTATGTTTTTAATAAATTACATAGTCAAATTAGTTTTATGCTGCTGGTAATGAGTTTATAATGACCTGATTAAATTTGACAAAGCTGATTATAATATAACAATAGAATAGCTTGTGACTGATACACATAAATGCTGCTTTAAAATTCAAGTGCCTTTTTGAAAATTCACGTAAAAGTATCACATTTTCATTCAAAGTTAAAGTGAAAATTTCTTTGTTCAAAGTAGGATTATTGCAACCTTATTGATCGTCAAAAACTACTCACTAAACTAGACCTGTATAAAGAAAAAGAAGAAAGAAACTCTGCAGTCTTGTTATCTTTTTTTGAATAATATACGTATACAAGATTATGTAAGTACTAGCTGACTCGGCAAACGTTGTTTTGCCATATAAATTATTTCTAGGGAATTTGTAAATCTGAGCACATAGAAAGAGTATACAATGTTAGACAGGTTGACAGGTACAGTTTGTATGGGAAAATAAAATTGTTACTATTTAAATTTTCCATGCAATTTTTCCATAATTCTCATCGTTGAAACCTTCCCTGGACAAATATTTCAAATCCAAAATTAGCCAAATCGATCCAGCCGTTCTCGATTTTTAGCGAGACTAACGAACAGCAATCCATTTTTATATATATGAAGAATATACAGGGAGGCTTTTTAAGTGTATCCATTTTTTTAATTAAATTCTAGACATAAAAAATGTTCTATAAAAAAAGATAAACATTTAAAATCACTCGTAATTAATTAATTAAATTCATTTGAATTTATCTCAAAAAGTGCGTGATTTATGGCAACTCATATATTTTAATCGATCATTCATAACTAAAAGTACGTATAACGCAAACAAGTACGTTTCAAAAGTATACGACGCATTTATGAATGACTACTGTTTTTTAGGGAATGGAATTTTTGGAAAAAAAAAAGTTTGTTTTTATTTCAATAAACCGATTATACTACCGAGTCTGAACCTTCTGTGTGAATTTGGGCACCTTTAGAATAGCCATCCTGTAGATATGGACATAATCAGCAGCAGCCACGTGCAAAGCAAGTCATTTCCCCACATCCGTGTCTTCAATGTATTCTTTATTAATCAATGTATCAAATTCTTTATCAATCAATGTATTCTCTCAAAATTATAATAGGCCCTTTCCATTAGTATAGCTTTAACGGTATGTTTGAATTTGTTTCCACTTAGTGGTATGTGATCATAATCAACGGCAGATGATAGCCGCATAGGCTCACTATAAATTAGAACTGCATGATAAAATACACTATTTGTTGGTCTTTCAGATATCGTACAAAGCTGAGCACAGTCAGCTGACATACTTGCAGCTGATGTCGGCGAGAGCTGTTCAGAACGTGACACTGCACTGTCGCAACACTGTCGGCTACTTCGACCCGGCTTCAAGGAACTACAGGCACGGTCTGAAGTTGCTTGCATACAACGACGCAGAGATCCTACCGAAGGCGAATAACAGGCTGAGATACAGAGCTTTGCTCGACGAGTGCCAGGTAAACCTCAATTTTACGGAGCTGAGATTTCGATAGAGTGAAACAAACTTTTACTAAAATACTTTGTTACGAAGATTTAATCGTTTGAATACGGCAAAAGTGAAATATATATTTTCGAATGATTGAATTGAATTAAATTGATTAATGTTGCATGCAAGTTCCTTGTTTATAGATTCAATCCACATCCAGTTCCTGTTAGCAAAATCTTTAAACTCCCAAAGTTATTGATTGCTTTTAAACTTGAGAAAACCATGCATTCAGATAAACTAGCGTTTTTAATATGGCTAAGTCAACAATGCACAATGACGAAAAATCAATTTCGTCCATACCAGATCTCTGGTTTACAACTATGAAGTTGGTTACTGGCTGAGATAGATATAACTAATAAAATATAATAACTATAAAAATATTTCAGGCGTCGAAAAAATATTTTAAAATTTAAAGGACATTCACCGACATGGAAAAGAGAAATCTTCACGATCCTCTTTCCCCATCTCACCGCGTGGTACTAATACTTTTTTTCGTGGTAATAATGTTACAAGCATCAACTGCAATGTGGTCGGAGGATTTCCTGTCTGTATTGGGTATTTAATTCTGTAACTTGCCTATACCAGCACAAGAGCCGAGATTGGGCCCGTACCGTGGTGCAGTACGAGACGGATAAGCCCGGCAGGCTGCCATTGCTGGACGTCGCCGTGAGAGACGTGGGCAGGGGCGGCCAGACCTTCCGCATAGAGCTGGGCCTGGCCTGCTTCAACTGAACACCGCAACCAAACAACACCCTAACTTATCAAACAGAAATCACTCTGGCTTTCTGCCAAACGCAGCTTTACAATCCCTCATTTACAAAGACACAAAACTGTACTAAAAAGACTACTATGTCTACTTATACTAACATTTATATCTGACACGAAGATAGGCAGAGATTTTTCAGTTTCTTGTGAAACGAGTAAAAGATGTGAAGATCATGAAGTGGAATCTGTTATTTCACATATTATATTCCCGAAACATAAATTGATATCTCTCAAATAGATATATTATTTTTACTTTTCATCGTCGTAAATGAGTGTTTTCTTATAAAACGACCAAAAAAAAGTAAAAATAGCTATTACCTCAATCAAAGTGGTAACGATTCGGTGGCTCATATTATTAAGTTTTAAGGTCTATTATTGAAATTATTTTTTTTCTTGTTTATTATGTTTAGAATTTAAGATGTTTAGTCGACCTACTGCCAAATATACTTTATCGTTCCTAAATAGGAAAATAAATCATGCAATTAATGTAAACTTTATTTTTATAATTTTAAAATTAGAATCACTTCAATGCGTATTCTTAGATTATAAGATATTTCGTACGTTAATTTTACATTGCATTTAATATATCTAAAATTGTTATATGTAAATAAATCTAAGTCGTCACAAAATTTATGTAAGTTTTAATCTAGTTTACAAAATTCCTCTTAAGGCTGTGTACTTTGTACATAATTGTAAATATTCCTAATTAAATAGGTTAATTCGTTTTATTTTCGTAAGATAAGTTTGGAACAATTTTTTTAATAAATTACAATGTATTATTAAGTACTTATGTTATATAAAAATAAAATACATTATTTCGAATAATCAAACAAGGTTTTACTTTTTGATAATTGTTTAAAAGAACATTTCCATTACGACATTAGAGAATAAAGAAATTATAAAACGATGCATTATTAAATAATTTGACACCGTTTTTGAATAGGTACTAAACTCCCTAAATATTAACAATATAAAACAACAATAGTACAACGAAAAACAAAATTAAATTTTCCGATTTTGAACGCTTAACATTTCAATTACTAAATATTAAGTACTTACATAATTTTAAAGTTTTTTATAGTGCTAATCTCTGCACTTAATATTGAACATTAAACATGTAGAAAAAGTACGAAAAGATTGTCGCCGCTGTGGGAATCGAACCCACGTCTTCGGCATTCGCGGCCAGACTTCTAGCCACTGAGCTAAACGGCTGATAGCTACAGCGATGAAAATCTTAACGCCTTCTTTCTACATTGTTATTTAGCATTTGAAGCAATGCTTGGCGCATCTATTGTCATATCCTTTCCAGCATACAAAGCGGCGACAATCTTTTCGTACTTTTTCTACATGTTTTAATACTTACATAATATTGTCAAAAGTGCCAACAAGACACCTTTATTAAGGATGAGACTAATAATGCACTTACAATTAAATTGTTAAATCCTGCTGTGAATTCACCCACTGCAAATATTCAGAAAATAATCTTGTAGTAAAATCTGAAAAATAAATTGAATTGTAAAATACGAAAAACAAATGAGCAAACATAACCAAATGTTCTCAGACTTTATATGATACATATGGGAAAACTAGTATACTACAGTAACTATTTCTAATCGCGATGGCTACAGAGAAATACATTATTTTTAGAATTCAAAATTAATATTGTAATATAACCACAGTGAGAGAACGGAAACTACTAGGATACCCCGTGTTACACAGTTCCGGCCCTCAGCTGGTCATTAATTTATTTATATAAAATCTTAGAATAACATAATACCTTATATTTATCCACTTTCCGTATAATAATCTCACGATTAGCGAATCATTCGCTGCAGTTGTTCTTCTTGGTGCAGGAGACGAACGGTGGCACGTTGCATGTGCACTTCGTACACTTTTCGTCCACGGTGACCTCGTCCCCTACGGACAAGGTCACGTTCCCGAAGACACACTGCGAGCTCACGGCGCGCAGGTTCAAACCGCGGATCACTTTGGACCCCGTAGTTGCTGGAAATGCACACAACGATATGGTCCCTTCAATCATTTCAACCGAACTTTAAAAAGGAGGGGGCTGTTCCGTACATAAAGGTTATAACGGGACGCTATTACTAAGACCCCGCTGTCTGTCTGTCTATCCGTCTGTCACCAGGTGTCACCAACTTTCTAACTATCACGAACGGTGATAGTTAGACAGTTGAAATTTACACGGATGATGTAGTATTTTTGTTGGCGCTATAATAACAAATACTAAAAACAGAATAAAAAAATGTTTAAGTCGTGCTCTCATACAACAGACATGATTTTTTTGTGGTTCTTGTAGATAATGACACGGAACCCTTCGTGCGCGAGTCAAACTCGCACTTGGCCGGTTTTTTTGTATCTTTGTTCTTTGTGTTTTTATCTCAACACTCTATCGGTTAAGAACTAATCTTGTCTAAAATCAAAGGTAAAAACCCCACGACCCCACCTAGATAAGCATAAGGGCAGGACACACGAGAAATTCCGTAGCGTCGTTTTTGGTTACGTACAGAAACACCTGCGTCTATCACCTCAATGGTTGAAAACAAACCGCGTATTACCTCTACTTACTAATTACGCTTCGGTAAGTTATCAAAGTAAAAGCAAAAAAGTAGCTGTAGTCACTACTACTTTTGTACTTACTAGCTGTCACAAAAACTGACATTTTTATATGAGACAAAATTGAATACGGTAACGAAGCTCTTAGAGGCTTCCTTTTAGCTTTTGGAGGCTTACTTACAGTTTACGGCGAAAATCTAAAACTCACGGCAGGTGAAGGCGATCGGGCAAGCGGCGTCGCTGCTAAGGAAGATGGGGGCGCAGTTCCGGAGCAGCTGATCCTGGTAGTGGATCTCGATGCCGCAGTTGATGTCCCGGCAGCTGCCCGGGTCCTCCAGTGTCCCGTTCCACTGCGCCGTGCACACGCAGCTCTTGCGGCTGTTCTTTGGCTCGAAGGGCTCGCCCTCCCTGTACGTCTGACCGTCCACTTCGCAAGTCCTTAGGCCCGCTATCGAATCTTTTCCTGTGAAGATGACATGCACGGCTATATGGGTCCCATTCTGCAGGGAAATTATATTTGTATAACCATTACATGTTATTCCGAGTCCGGATGTTAGTGCGTATGAAATTTGTGTATCTGTACATGCTTATGGTAGACGGAATGTACTTAAGAAAATTAAATAAGAAACCGTTTGAGGAGACGAATCCTGGAAGCAAGGAAATGCGCACATCGGTCATCATCTCGCTGGAGTAGTAGTGAACTGGTAATCAATAAGATGGTTATACGATTCACTATGAGATATAGAAAATGTTTGTTGTTTGTTGTACTAAAGTTTGCCCGTTTTAACCGACTACAAAAAAGGAGGAGGTCTATGGGCGGCGCTATTCAATCAATACCACGTGAAGTGATCAGTCTTTAACACAACTTAACATAGTTTTTCGTTTAATTCCATAAGATCTCAACAAGCTTGATATTAAATTATATTATATATTATATAAGATAGATTATTTCCGCCATTCTTTATCGATATTGTATCATAGGAAAGCAAGCACACTAATAGTGAAACCTTCATAAATCAATTATTATGAATGTTACTTATGACTTAAGAGAAAGCAATAAAATAACGTTACTTCCTGTGGGAAGTAAGTTCGAGAAACGTCCATTTAAAATTCATATCATGTCCGCTGCACGTAATCGGTGAATAGATCGTTCGCAGACGACTAACGACGCCAGTTATCCTTACAAGGACACCATTGTGATGTCGGTGACTCATTGCCATAAATAAATTATTAGATTCGATCTATTACTGGGTCAGCTGGGTGACCTAGGTATGGAAATACGAGGCCGGTAGCAATTTGACATGCGAACACTGCAAATCTTAGGAAATGTGTCATAAATCGTCAGATTTACATATTGTTACATTAGTCGGATCTTCAAAATATTCTGGCTTTGTTAATATTTTCGGATTTTATTCGTCTTGTGTATTAATCGTACGCAAACAAAGAAATTTAAGTATTAATAGTACCAGTAAGAAATTTAAGTTAATAATTAATACTCTCAATATTTGCTCATCTCATTTCTCGTTTACATATTGTCAAGGTGTTTTTCCTGCTTCACTACCAGGTAATAATTATAGTATTAAGTGTTAAACCTCCTGATATTTTCCTGCATTCAAAACCATCATTTCAATCGATCATGCTTCACTTACAGATTCAGTGTTTAACCGGCTTATATCTTACTGTGGTTAAAGCCATTGTGGCGTTTCCGAACACACCAACAACGTGTGGTGTTTCCGAACGCACTCAACAACGCATATCCGGAACGCGAGTTGGGAATAGAGACGACATGGCGGTTGGACAGAGTTTAAAAGAGGAACATTGGACACATAATTATACGAGCGTTTTCTAACTTGTGGAATATCCCCATATTCGTGTATTTGTGATACTATATCGCTCTGATGTCTTACATAGTGTATTGCTTGTGTAACCATAAATCGCCACATGGCTAATATAACTAATAAACAGTTTTATCCAGTGCCTTTTACCACACGAACTCACCGCAAACAGTGCCCGTGCTGCAACACGAGTCCAATTCGTATGTGTTTATACATTGCTGCTGCATGTCGACGTCGAACGTCTCCACGCAGTCCACGGCGGCGCAGTCGAACCGCGGCTTGCCGGAAACGCTGCACTGGCACGCCAGCGAGCACGGGTTCTTGATCGCGCTCTGCGGGATCAGCGAGCGGTCTTTGTACGGGACACCTCTGGAAGGTGAACATCTCATGAACCCCAACCGTTTAGGTAAAAACAAAAAAATTAACCTGTAACGATTTAAATAATGAATTCACTTAGCTTAAGCACTTCATACACTTAAGATTCAACGAGTACTACTTGATAACCAACTTAGGATCAAACATAAGTTTAAAAAAGCAATGGACTCTATGTTCTTGAGTGATTGAACTATTTTTTTGATTTTCCTCGTATTTAAAATAAAATTTAATTATAAAGTAACAATTATTTACGTTGAAAACCGTAGTACACTACTCAAATGCCGCAATTATTTATGGATCATTATAATCATATCCTCGAATAAGAACTGGACGATCCGAAAGAAGTTCATTGCTTAAAAATATTGTTATCAGAGGCCTCTCCGGAAAGTCCCCATTAAAATTCAGATTAGCACAATTATCAAACAAAAAAAATAGTTTAGTCCTCACCCTTATCGCGTAAAAATTTTAAATCAATTTTGTGCTCTCTTCATGATGAACATTTAGAAAATAACGGAACATTTAGATGACAGGGAAGATCTTCCCCGTTTTCTAAATGTTCCGTATTTTTTTTATATTACATAAATCCTTAGTTATATTGCATAAAACCTTAGTCAAAATATAATAAACCAAATAGATGCACTATAGTTATAATGTATAAACATTTACGATTTACTAGACTATGTCATAGCTCAGTATTATTCCAAAAATCTAGATTTACAGTGTTACGTATGTAGTCTTTTCCTTTGACTAATTAAAGCCATCAACCCTACTCTAAAACATACTGATTACTCATTCGTCACACACTGGAGCGCGAAGTGAGCCATCGGCCACCGCTTTGTTGATGTTCTTGTAAGGTAAAGTACACACAAAAGGCTGTCGCCGAAACAAGCGGTGTAAGGTCGCGGGATTTCCGAAAAAACAACGGAGGTCGTCCGGCCGTGAGTAACTTCGTGTCTTAATGCACGGATGACGTTCCGCACTCCTTATTCGAACGAATTGAAGGTCGACCTTCGTTATGTGCCGCAATTTCAATAACTCGATGGCCCTGAAAACTCTGAGTAACAGAGCTCATCGTTTAGAAAATACATTAAAAAAAATGGTACGATGATGTCCGTTATTTAAAAGAAAGTCATCTTTACATAGTATAAAGCACAGTCGCTCCCGTTGATTGCTTAGATCTTTTAAACAACGTAACAGATTTTAGTGCGGTTTTCAGCAATAGATAGAGTGATTCAAGTGGAAGGTTTATATGCACATTGCACCCGTGCAAAGCCCGACCACCGACGGCGACGCCAATAGCGACAACGCCATTGAGCCATCCCTGGGATATTTCTCTAAAATAAATATCTTAATTAAAAACTAAGAGTCTATGGGGGAGGCCTATGTTCAGCTGTGGACTCAAACAGGCTGAAATTATGATGATAAGTAGGTAAATTAACTAAATAAATAAACTACGGACACCGGCATGGTTACGTTGAATACCTGTAATAGCACATGCTAGGGTCGGGATGGAGGTCGGGGCATGCGAATGCGTCTGGACACTTGGTGCTGTTGTCTGCGTTTGGGATCGGTGTGCAGCCCAGCTCCTGGTAGAAGCCGGCTAAGTTGCATTCGCTGGCCATGTCGGTTACCGCCGCACCGAACACTGAACAACATAAATGGGTATAACTATAACTATAGTGTTTTTTTTTAATGTGAAAAGTTGCCAAGCGAGCAGACGGTTCACGTGATGTTAAGTGAATACCGCCGCCCAAGGACATCTGCTACACCCGAGGGTTTCAGATGCGTTGACAACCTTTTGAAAATTGCGCTCCTCACTCACCAGACGAAACGCGAAAGTATTATACTTCTTAACGTACGTAAGTATTGTACTTACACTTACGAGCCTGTCCATTCATGCAACAGCCGAGGCAGCTGCGTGGCCCTACCACCGTTAGAATGGTTGTTTACAGACATGCAAGGTAAATGGGTATGTGTATCAAGATAATGGTATGGGTATCAATTGGGCGTTTACCTATATGAGACTCACAGGAGCCATGACCTCTAACAGAAGGAATACACAATCCTTTTTAAAATACAATTTGTTTAATATTTTCATAAAAGAACCATATCATAATAAATCATAAATTTTCTGATTATTTATTATAGCTCTTCCGTATGGGGCACGTCAAAATAACAGTTTGAACTACTAAAAGTAGTTTGAGTGATGATGTGTTTTTTGTTATATACCGAAAGCGAGTCCATTAGTATTTCCCGTCACAGCTATAAATGACAGTTACTTTTAAATAGTAATAATATTCAACACATAAAAATATCCAGAATCCGATCCATTCTTCGAGGGAAAACGGCGAACGTACACAGCTTACGAGCGTTATGTAATAAAACACCGTGGTCAGTGTTATAACTATTGTGTACTAAGTTTCAGTTAAAAACGCAGCCTTGAAATTTTTTCTCAACAACTTAACTCATCTGTCTCTATATTTTCGTTTTCATGAGTACTGCATTTACCATATTTCTTAAAGGCTAGCCCCTAACGCCTACGTCAATTTTATTCTAAATTAAAATCGTCATAAAACGTAAATTACGGATATTTTGTTCTTGATATGCAAATAATACTTAACATATTTAACTACATAACATGCATGTGTTATTCTTACGCAAGAAAAATTTAAAATATTACTAACTTACTACTGTTAATCTGATTACGTAAGAATCTTGGGCAACAATGGACTATTTAATGGACCACAACCCTTTTTACATGCAAAGTACACCTGCATCACTTTCGTTTTACGTAATTAATTCCCTGATAAGTATTCGAACCAGTATAAGAACTTTTATGAATGAATGCATTAATTAAAAATAGTTTTTATTTATGTGAAAAGTTGCCAAGTGAGCAGACCGTTCACCTCATATGAAATAACAAAATGCATGGTACCTTTTATTTATTAATGACATCTAAATTCCCCCCTCCCGCGCTGCCGACAAAGACGGACGTGTCGTGTACTTGTCTCTCAATTTTAAACCTTAAAAAATAGTTTAAAGTAGTTTTTGTGCTCAAGTTTTTGTAGCCGTGATCGTAACGATTGTGTTAAACTAATGTGCCAAACAAAAAGTGAGAATAAAGGTGTGATCGTACAAAAGAACAACAAAATACGTTTGTTTCCTAATTAATAAACAAAGTGCGGGGTGTCTGTAAATTCAATAAATGGACTTTGTACTCATTCAACGATTTATACCTAAGACTTATATTATCAAATCTTACTTTTACTCTCACGTATCTAGTGCGATTGGTGTATTGGTGTGGAAGCCGGCTAACGACGTTGCATTACTCAAGCAGTCGGGAGTTCAAATCTCACAAACGGCGATTCTTTTTGTCATTAATTTCGAACGTTTTTCTGATTGCTTTGTTGATTTTACTTGATTTTTTTTTTTTTTTTCTTCTTTTGGTATGGATCATTTTTATTAGGAAAAAAAAATCCTGTGGCATAGTCATAATACAGAAAGCTTTCTTTTAAAATTTTTCTCTAAATATTTCGCATTGGTCAAAAACAACTACGCTAAAAAAGAATCATACATTACAAAACATGTCGGTACAACGCTCACCCCCTAAATGCAAAGTTGTGCCACCTAACCTGCAAACTACGCATTATGCATCTGATTCAGAAGTAAACAAATCATATGACATTGAAAGTAATGAGTCTTTATGCACAACGAAACGCCAAAAACGATCATTTAAAGAATACTCAGATAGCCCTGTTACGAGTACGGCTCTCATGGAAATAAGAAAAATGTTCGTAGATCTGAAAACGGAACAAGAGTCCAGATTCGAGGCCTTCAGTAACTCTTTTAGCACTATGGTAGAACAAAACAATGAAATTCGTAAATGCCTCGATTTTATGTCAAAGCAGTATGATGATATAATCAAAAGAATGAAAGATCTGGAGCAAGAGAATAAGGAATATAAACAGCAAATACATACCTTGGAAAATAAATTGGACGTATATGAGATGAATACCCGAAGCTCGTCTATCGAGTTACGTAATATTCCACGTCGAGACAACGAGAAAAAACACAATATAACTCAATTGGTAAAAGATCTAGGTGTAGTGCTATCGATTAAACCCGAATTGCAGGACTGCGAAATACGCGATACTTATCGCTTGAAGTCTGGTACAATTGTTGTTGACTTCACTAGCACCATTCGCAAAGAAACTTATTTGCATAAATGTAGAGAGTATAATAAACTTAAAAAGAAATCGAAATTACCGCTGCTAAATACAAAAGATCTTAAACTGGATGGCCCACAAAAGTCAATCTATGTGTCAGAATTTCTTTCTAAAAAAACAGGAAAACTATTTTATCAAGCAAGAGAACTCGTAAAAAGAAAGTCACTTATAGCAGCTTGGACATCGTATGGTCAAGTGTACGTTAGAAAAGAAGAAAGTCAACCAGCCACACGTATAAAAGATGAGAAAGACTTATTAAAAATAGCCACGTGACTATATAGTTTTCTGAAGATCTTGTTGATATATAATGCTATAATCTGTAACTACAATAGACTAAGTATGATAAATAATAGCAATCCTTCTTTAAAATCCATGGCATATAATAATGCTAATAATTTGTATAACTGTTCTATATCTATCTTAATAATGTTGTTAAAAAAATATGTAAAGCACACAAAATGTTCCTCGCTTACACATTATACAAATATATGTTATTCTCTTCTGATTAACATTAATACTATGAAAACTACTCTTCTTATAAAGCTTATTATACTTATTTATAGAATTATTATAGTAAAATTAAATAACTACATAAGTCATGCTGAAAATTATCAAAGTTATATTAAGCAATTAACATTATATTCATTATTAGTTTATAAACGTGCAAAGACTTCCACACATACATACATAAACAAAAATTATACCTACATACATATTATATTTTCCCTGCAGTCAAAACCATCGAATAGTTTTTCTGTGTTTATCGATTATACGTACGTAAAATTTCTGTACAATTCTCATTTTTTCATCGTAACTTCTAAATTGAAAATTGCAAATCTTAGTTTATTTAAATACCTACTAACTGTCAACTGTAAAATGCCAACTGAAAACTCTATCTTACATTCACTCCAATAAATAATACATTAAATAACATCGATACTGTATCTGTGTCTGAATCATATACTTGCGATTTGGATAATTGTATTCCATCTGATATACATCCTCGCAATTCTCTAAAAATACTTAATCAAAACATTAGAAGTATAACAAAAAATATGGCTGGTCTTCATACTATACTAGTCAGATCAAAAGTTGACTGGGACGTCATAATATTGACTGAATGTTGGTTGCGAGGAAATTGCTATATTGAGGATTTAGCAGGTTACAACTGTTATAAAACTATTTATAACTATACACAAAATGAAGGAGTAGTTGTATATATAAAGACTTCCTATAATGCCGTTGTTGATGAACCAAATTTCAGTAACGCAAACTGCCTTAAAATAATAATTGATCCCAATACCGTATTGCTAGCTTTATACCGACCACCTAGCTACAAAGACATAACAAACTTTCTCAACTCCTTAATTCAACACTAATGACATTAACAAAATACAATACAATTATAATTGCTGGCGACATAAATATTAACATTACAGAAGATTCTTGTAGTTCTGAAAAAAATCAATACCTAAACTTGATGGCATCCCATGGACTCCTACCAGCCCATACTCTTCCCACTCGACAAAGCGCTTGCCTAGATCATATTATGTTAAGAACAAACCACCCGGCAAAAACAGCAGTTGCTCACTCAGCCCTTACAGATCATGAAACTGTTTTTCTATTTATAGGTAATAATATCCCACGTAATAGGGCAGCTAAGTCAGTAGTACATATTGATTATAACCAGCTACACATTGATATTACTCAACTAGATTTTAGCAAAGTATATCAAACTCAAGACGCCAACTTAGCTGCAGAGTTACTAACTGACCTTATACAAAAAGCTATCGAAAATAACACAAAAAACTCTAAAAATTCCTAATCGCAAGAAAATCATAAAGCCGTGGATCACTCCAGGACTTTTACGATGTATCAGACACAGAGATAACATGCATAAAAAACTTAAAAAACAAACAAGACGATGACACCCTTAAAATATCATATCACAGATACAGAAACTTTTGTAATTCTCTACTAAAAAGAGTAAAAAGGGAATACGAAAAACAAGAAATTAATAAAGCTGGTAAAAATAATAATCAGATCTGGACAGCCATTAATAAAATTACAAATAGAGCGAAAAAGAAAGACACATTTACGCCTTTACTGTATCTGTCTCCCACACCTGAACAATCTGTTAATTTAATAAATGATTACTTTACAAGCATTGGGAAATTTACCGCTGAAAAGAACTTGCTCTCTAATACCATTAACGCTCCAACAATCACTACCCATTAACACTAAAACTATGGTCTTACTTACAACAGATGAGAAAGAGGTTGAGAGATTTATTTTAAGCTTACGTTGTAACTCAGCAGCAGGATGGGACAAAATTTCGTCAAATCTACTCAAAACCCATAAAGATCTTATTGTACCTCCTCTAACGTATGTGTGTAACCTGGCTTTGACAAGTGGTTCCTTTCCAGCAGTCTTTAAAAGATCAGTTGTGCATCCCATCTTTAAGGGAGGAGACAGAAACCGTGTTACTAACTATAGGCCTATTGCGGTCTTATCTGCTTTTACCAAAATACTAGAGCGAATTATAAACAGTAGACTCGTAAATTTTTTGGAAACTAACAATTTACTTTCCCCAACACAGTACGGATTTAGGGCCGATAGATCAACTGCAGATGCCGTTCATGACCTAACAAACTACATCGTCACTAATATGGATAGAGGGACGAAAGTTTTAGGTATTTTTATAGATATTGCCAAAGCATTTGACACGGTTTCTGCTCCTGTACTATTGAAGAAGTTAGAGAACATTGGTATTAGAGGAACTCAATTGGAGTTGTTTAAGAACTATTTATGTGACCGAAAACAATTTGTTAAGGTAGGTGAATATACAAGTGAGGAGAGGAAATTAAATTACGGAGTACCTCAAGGAAGTGTACTTGGCCCAACACTCTTTCTCATCTACATTAATGACCTAGGTATGCTCTCTCTTCCTAAAGGCAAAATTATCACATTTGCTGATGACACTGTACTATTGTTCAATGGTAGAACCTGGTCAGACGTCTTTAACAATGCTCAAATTGGTTTCAACACCGTTTCGACCTTATTAAGAATAATATGCTTACACTCAATGCAGAAAAAGAAAAAACTAAGTACATGACATTCACAATAAAAAATACCACTCAAATTCCTAATGAATACAATATTATTGCACATACTTGCCCCGAACCTCAAAATACCAACTGTTCATGCGCTCACCTTAACAAAGTAGACAATATTAAATATCTGGGTATACAGTTGGATAACAATTTACGTTTTAAGTCCCATATCAACACCTTAAATGGCAGGCTCCGAAAACTTGTATACATTTTCAAAACATTAAGGCATGTTGTTGATGCGCAATTGTGCAAAAAAAAATATATTATTCGCTTGCACAATCTCTTCTCACTTACTGTATCACATCTTGGGGTGGTGCGCCCAAGACCATAATTCTTGAAACTTGAAAGACCCCAGCGTGCAATTCTCAAAGTATCACATTTTTTACCATTTAGTTTTTCGACCACGGAGTTATACCAAAAAGCAAAAGTACTAACGGTTCGCCAACTATTTTTATTACACACAATCCTCAAACAACACGGGCAACTCAAGATCTGTCCCAAAAACTTCAAAGAGAGCAGGCGTCATGTCCCTGCTGACAGATACACAAATAAAATAACTAAAAAATTTTCCTGTCGCTTCTTCTGTTTTCTGGGCAGTTATTTATACAACAAAGTCAACAAAAAATGTTTCCATTTATACAAAAACAAAATATGTATGTAAAAAGAAAGTGACTGAATGGTTACAGGGTCTAAATTACAATGACACAGAAAAACTCCTATCGTTTCTAATATAACATTTTTCCTTCTAGGCAAATAAAGTAATAGGTACGTAGGTACGCACACGCACACGCACATGCACACGCACACGCACACGCACACGCACACGCACACGCCCACGCACACGCACACGCACACGCACACGCACACGCACACGCACACGCACACGCTACACGCACACACACGCACACACACGAACACCAGCACGTATGATAGTGGTTTAAGTGTTAGATTTAATTTTAATTTATATGCATGTTCACTTATTAACAGTAATCTTTATGTTCTCATTAACTCTCATTTTAGAATGGAAATTGTAAATGTCTTTGAAAGATACGTCTTTAAATTGCAAACACGTTGTCAAATTTATAAGGAGAGGGGACCTGATGACCCAATAATACAAGCCTTGAGCTTAGTTTTGGTGCATCAGTCTCCCACAATATGAAAATTAATTTGTATATCCACCTTTTGAAATGCTATTGTGATACATACTGTGGTGAGAAAAAAAAAATAAAGAATAATTATTATTAATTATTATAATGTGGTATTCTATACCGAAATCAAGCAATTTTCTTTTAATGTGTTTATGTTTCAGAGTTAAATCTATGCAGTTGTATTTTGAGGAGTTTCAACATCTTGCTGTTAATACATAAATAACGATATGTTGTAAATTATAATATCGAAACGAGACAATTAAGATTGTCTCATTCCAATAAATAATGTTCACTGAAAGGCACAAACGTAACTTTATGGTAATTAGTATTGTTATGCTATGAGAGGATAAATCCGCACGGTCCGTGGCGAATTTTATGCACCTTAGCTCTTGTTACATTACACCAGATGTTGGAATAATTGAACGGGACTACGGTTTGTCTAGTAACAGGCTAATGTTTAACATGTGCCTCGAATGTCTGGGAAGCGTCCTAAAACCCAGCCACAAAGCGGTGCAGATGGGAACCATAATCGAGTTTACATCGCACGACTTAGATTCGGCTCTTTCTGCTTTAGTTTGCAGCATGATAGAAATGATCTAAATGATTGGAAATTTGCTTACAAATATTAACGCGACTATTCAAAATAGTTAGGTAGAAGAAATGAAGAACGCGGAAGTCTTAAAGATATCCTTAAAGACCCAAAAAATTAAAAATAAGGCATATGATAATACAAACAAAATGAATATTGTGACTGATTGACGTAGAGAGTTAACCAAAAAATAAACCAAGATCATTAGTTAGTTGAACAACCAATTCAAACATGAAAAATTTAATTAATTTATTTATTTTATATATCTATTTATTAAGGTTTACCAATTAAATATATAAAGAACATTGACGTACAAAGATGTTTAACATAATTATACAGTTGTAACAGTATATGTACAAATTTAAATTACAAGTAAACACAACATTATAAAACAAACTTGAATTAGAGAACAGAAACTTACTTAACTAAAAATTGTCTTTAATTTCTGAGAAAAAAAAACGAAATTAATCAATAAATGATTCAACAGGTAATAGTAAGACACGTATATATTGCATTAGAAAGTGAAGTCGTAACAATAAAGCGCTTATCAGCAAGCACATGATACCGTGAATCTATGTCATTGTCAGCAGCGAGAAAAACTTACGGAACAAGAAGCAGATCACAGACGCCTTCATGGTTCGGCTGATCGAGTAAAAAGCTGACGGTCGATTCGGTAGATACACTCGTCACTGATGCCGTTTATTTACGTGCACGAGAGACGTGCGACTTTGTCAGAGACACGAATGAGAATGACCCGCGGACGTCGTAAATCAGTGTTGAGTTGTTGACGCTGTCAACCCAAGCATCGGTTTGTAATAAACAAGTCACAACCGGCCTCGCAATATATTTAGATGCATCACCAGACTCACCTGGTACTGCCCATTTCTCTTATTCCATAATTCGTGATTTGTGAGGAATGCTTTATCCTGCTTTAGAATAACCAAAAGAGCTCAAATTTGTTAACGTTAATGGGGTAAGCAGGGTAATAGTCAAGCCAAACATGTTTCACTAAGTTTATTTACAAACTTGACGAATGGTGGCCCTCGTAATGGAACAAACGTGAGGCAGTAAGTAATTTTGGCCGATACGAAATCCGAAAACAGAAACCCAATCCGTCATAACACGAGAGAAATTTCTGATTTCTCTTTTGGATTCAATTCTTAACTCAGGTCGCAAGCCCAATGCCCTAGTCAATTGACTATCAGTCTTCTCAAGGTTTAAAGTGATGCTTTCTCGGGGTTTTTTTATTGAACTACAAAAACGTTTTAGTTTATGTTAATGTAGCTATATGTTATAGTTATGAAATACTTTAGTATTAAAATCAACTCAAGGATAAATGTCATCGGTGCTGCAATTTAACTTTTTTGCATATTCATGATTCACTATCGAACACAAACCGGCATGTAAATGATATAATCGTTTAAGCTACAAAATCTTTTAAGATACGTGAAGCTCTATAAATTTAATAAATGAAAAGGTTCACAAGGAAGATTTTTACTCTGTGACGTTATTTCTAATTCGTATAGGTTAGCCCTTAAATTCAAATTTAATGCTTTCTTTAGATAGACGAATTATATTCACTAGTTAAATAATACTATTTTAAGTACTTTATTAAGTTTTACTATATTTTAATTCCTGATGATTTCATCATAGTGGAACCTCTTAAATGAATTGCAATTCGTCTGATGAGTGAGATAACCGGAGCTCCACCTTTGAAGGTTGGCAAAGCCTACCCGCAGGTGTTGTGATCACATGCATCACTCCTTACATAATGTAACATTTAAATTTCTTAGTTAATCAATGATTGAAACAATTGTTTGTATTGGTTTAATTTTAGCTACGGATACAGCTCAATGATTAATTAGTTGTTTATTTAATTAAATCTTATTAAAGCTTTTGGTGGAGTAGACTGCTGCACATATTTCCAATGTGATTCAGATATCGAGCTGACAGGAAAGAGTTTACAGCTTCATCATTTTGCATGATGCAAGGTTTGAATTCTATTCGAGTGAGCACCAATGACTTTTATGAAAGTCTCTTTTCCTATTTAAAAAAAAAATAAACACTTTCCACACGTTGCGATTGTGACTGCTGTTCTTCGGATCTCACTAACTATCACGTTTGGAAGTAAATAGTAGTCTACCTTTGATTCTATCTAGTATACTAGCAAATTCATATAATAGATATGAATATATAAAACTGGCTGATATAAATGTATATACATATAAAACTGATTATTAATAAATTATATGTGTTAATAAAAGTTGGTTAATTTTTACACAGTTAACTTGATCACTAAGATTACTGATGATGTCAACACTTTCATCACCTTTGTATCACATATAATTTTTCTAAGTTATGGTTAAGGTCCATAAACTAACGCTGATGCTTGTATTAAAACTTAGCCTATTGTAATGTTTGTGTGTTGTGTTATATTATTATATAATTTAAAAAAAAATTAAAAACCTTTTTGACTGGGTAAATAACTCCAGATGAACATATATTGTATACTACATGTGTCATAAACAGCCAAATATAAATTTGGCTATCGTTTTCGTTAACTATCTCTCAAATTGAACTATCTTAAAGAATCTAAACCAAAGGGATATACCATAAAAGGGTATACAATAAAATCCATTGCTATAACAAAAACACTTTAATTATACAATATTTTACTTCTCAAAAATAGTTAACAACATTACGTAATTCGTGTAAAATACTCTGTTTGATACTTTAGGTATATAATACTTATTTATGTATTACATAGTTTCTATAATGTTCATAGAAAAGAAATTTTACAACTAATTATAAACGCAGTATGGCATATACCGTAAAAATTGAAACAACGTATCATACATCCGAGCTAAACTAACGAGGCCATTTTGGTATTATTTGATGTTACATGAGCACGAGGCATTCATACTCCGCGCTTGTCCTCTCTTCTCCGTCGAAGGGGTAGTAGCAGGTTGCGTGGCTTGGGTGGATCTGGAATGGTATAGTGTCAAATTATGAAAAGCTATTCAATTCAATTTGCAATGCTGGCGGCAAAAAATTTGGCCCTGTAATCCCCAAGGATTTACAGGGCCAGGATTACAGGGCCAAATTTTTGATTAAAGGGCCCCGAAGGGCTAGGAGGCCTTAACATTTTCCACAATTCCCATTCGACGACCCTGCTTCGACGACATATAGATGATACTCAAGATGAAAACACAGATATAGTTGTGCGTGGTATAAACGCAATCAAATATTAATACCAGATTCTGTGTGCTGCGATGTCCTTGGGGACTAAAAGTGAGAATACCGTCCGATGCTGTGATAAAAAGATGTTTAACGAACTATCTAAACACGCTAAAACAGTTGACAGATTGACAACCGATCTTGAAATCGGTGGTGCTATATCTATATCTCAGTTGGGGAGGCCTATGTTCAGAAATGAACTCTGAACTGGCTGAAATGAAGATGGTGATGATGATTTTTTTTACAACCAATACCTTAGCAGTAAAGATTGTTAAAAAATGTTATAGACGATACTATTTTATTGTCTGAACTGAACTAGCTGCTTTGTTGCCAAAGAACGGCCATATTTTGAGGACTTTCGTTTGAGGTCAAACTTACCTTTCCAGGGGTGGTGCAGCCGTCGTGGTTCACCCTGCCGAAGTACAGTTTCTCCCCGTCAGCGGTCACACCGGCCTCGACCGCGCCTGGTGGAACGTGGCCATTCGTGGAGAACTGCCATGAGAACATCGCTGGCACAAGCACCTGAAAAAGCACACGTGTTAATTCTTTTCTCTTCATTTAATAAGCACATTTGTTAATTTACATCTGCAGACGTAGAAACTGTATCCTGTTCTAAAGAAACAAATAAACGAAGCACTGAAAGCTATCTCTAGGCCACGTGTAAGCGAATCAAGTAAGCGTAAGTATTATGAAGGTAAATCAAGTAAAAATAGAGTAGAATACAGATAAGATAAAAGAAATTACTTTGTGCGCCTGGGGTGAAGGCACTATGATGAGTTGAATGAGTTGAACAAACATGAATCACTCAACATACGTTAATGTTAGACGAAAGAAGTTTCCAGACAGTAAATAACCATATTATTACATAAAGCACTAATAAATAAATTGTAGGAAAGTTGACATAAAATATTTTCAACCAAATCGAACTGCTGAATTTTTTTTATATAAATATTTTAGGACACAATCTTTGTACACAACGTTCTCTAGTCCCAAACTAAGCAATGCTTGTACTATGGGTACTAGAAAACTGATAGACATACTTAAACATACTTTTCTTTTTTTTTTTGTAAATAAATACACATTATACATATTTAAACCCAGACACTTGAAAAACATTATGCTCCTATTATGCTCCACACAATATTTTTCCAGTAGTGGGGATCGAACCCACACCCTCTGGCGCAGAAGGCAGGTACACTACCGACTACCGACTACGCCATTCGGGTCGGCGAAATAATAAATTTTAACGCTTATTTAATAAATTAAAGAAGTTAAATAATAAAAACTAAATAATACATCTAGCCCACGCAACATGGTGCCCAAAATATAAGCTGTATTTCTTCACTTTATACTTAAGTTGCGCGAGAAGAAAACCAGCTCGTTTCCAGCCGCAGCGATAATTCTAGGACGTTTAAAACAGTATGGACTATCAATGAAACCAGGGCTAACTTAAATATCAAAGAGTTTATAAGAGATTGTAAAGACCTCGTTACTCTTCTATAAAGGAACAGGTATATTTGGATGCGTCCCATCTGATTTTGTCTGTTCCCTAGATGAGGTCGGCACTACGAGTAAATGTGACTAGGTTTTATTATTACTGGCCATCTGTCTAACGTCAACTCTTCTTGGTAAATACGGAAGAATTATCTGTGGGTCATATAAATAGGACACAGAGGCCAATAGCTTGGCAATTGTGCCGCCGAGTCCTAACTGTTCTTAGATACATTCAAATGTTTCAAATTTTTTTTGGGAAATGCGGAAGATTATCCCAAGTCCATATAAGGTTTACGGCGTTCCTAGAAAATATAAGCTGCAACTAAACCTGACTTACTAATGTCATTGTACTGCATCTTATCTGACAGCTTTTTGGCGATTCTAATGTAGACAGGTTTAAGTTTGCGAAGTTGATTTAAATAAAAACAAAGACGGTAACTCTACCTCGAACTGATCTTTCAATATCTCCTCGCCGCCGTAAGCGATGTAGCAAGCGTTTTTGGTGGGTATCACTTTAGCGGGAAGGATGTCGCCCTCGTGGTGCGCTCTGCCCGCGTAAATCTCATCTCCGTCCGTGTCTGTGCCAACCCTAAGCGCGCCTGGCGGGATGCTGCGCTGACTGAGGCTAGCGGGTACCCATCGGTAAGTGCCTGAAAGTTTTAACATCGCAATGAATAAACAGCACCTTCCCAGAAGTTGGTTGGTGTTTACGTCATATATACAATAAACACTGGGTTATATTGAGGACATATAGGTTAGAGCTACAACAATTAACATAAAAGAATATGGAAGTAGCAAAAAAGTTAAACGTTTCATAAAGTTATGAAAGAAGTTACTGATTTTGCCAAACAATGTTTTATTAACATTATTTAAAATTAAATATTAGTCATAAAATATTGTACTACTACTATGTAAATATATGTAATGCCTTCTTTGTAACAAATTCATGATATCTAAATGTATATAGAAATATGATATACATATATACTATAATATACCATATTACAGCATCAGTAATAATGAAGTATTTATGTTCATGTATGGATTTAAACACTGACAACACAGGAAGCGACGGCCAAAACTCTGTATGGAATTTAAAAAAAATTAAAAGAGAAAGAGTTCGTAGCAGTTTTTGTGTTTATAAATGGTCACGGCGAGGAGGTGGCGAAAAAGGTGCAAGGAACCATAGAGAGGATTGGCCCAACATTGGCGGACAACACGGAAAAATAGATAACACCTTTGTACATCCCGTAGTATACGTAGTATACTATTAAAATATAACTAACATTTACCTTATTAAAATTGTATTACATCCGATATAATATTACTCATGTGATAAGTATATGGACATAGCGATATTTCGATAGATTAGTCACGAGGAAAGCATTATTTTCGGATTGTCAATGACACGTTTTTAAAAAGTAATGATATTATGATGTATCATGTTATTTCAATCGTACCATTACTTGAGTTTCTTATCGATTCTGTTTGATAATGACTGTGCCATACCGAGTAGACAGCGGATAAGATAGTGATGGTAGAATTTCGACACGGATTTTATCGATAAGATACCGGCTAAAGAAAAACAATACCCGGAGGTAAAGAACAAATCATTGCTGCTCCACACCTAATAGCAAATCGAGTACGAAAGGTGTTATCGACATCGCCCCGACCGTATGCTTTGGAAGTTAATGATGTTACACGTTATATATAACCGGTATCATACCGGTACACCTTGTACCATATATACCGGTTATTACGCGCCATATGGTTAAACTTACTCCAGGGCAATTCAACGGTCTCTCCGGGCAATTCGGGTACGATCTCCTCAGGCTCAGCGTTTTCGACCACTTGGACGGGCTCAGGGGGTGGGGGGTAAGGGTAGAAGTAAGCGGGATGAACTGGGTAGTAGACCACACCGGGGCCAGGGTACATGGGGGGGTGGCCGGGGGGGCCCGGCGGGTAACCGTGGGGGGGAGGTGGGGGTGCGCCGTAACCATAATATGGGCGTCCTGGACAACATATTTGCTCATTAGAAATGTACATACTTTATGAAAAATTTGCCGTTTTTGTTTTCGTAGTATGTTACATAGCCATATTTCCTGTATCGTCAGATATAACATCTTTTACGGGTAAACAAAGATAGAGAAACATTTACAAATTCACGATCAGTTTCAGTTGGTTTGTGAAAAATTTATTTTTAATGACAGTACTGTACAAAGAAAATGTTCTATTTCTGTACAAAGGAGTTTTTTCCTCCACAAAACGTACATTCGATAGAACATTATTTCTTATAGGTACAATACATGTTCCCTAAGAAGTGTCTGTTCAACGTGTATGTAGTAAATAAAAAGTAAAATGGATTGAGACGTAAATTAGGCTTCGAATCGCATTGTTCGTATTAAATGTGTTCAAAATTTTTAAAACTGTTTTTAAAAGCATTTTTAGGTAATAAATTATGCCATTATCATGCAATTACCATTGTGTTATATCTATGCATGATTTTGTCATTACGCTAAATATAAACTTATCGACTTAATTTCGTAAGCCGTTCGTATATTACAGATAGTATTACAGATAGTATTACAGATAGTATTACAGATAGTATTACGGATAATATTATGTATATAGTATAAACAATAACCAAGATTTAAAGTAGACATGTATTATATGTAGAATTTATCAAAATTTGGACAAAACGTATTTAAATTTCTCCTAATAGTGAAATATTAAGCTGTACATATTAACCGATTCAAAGGCACTTGGGACAACTATTTGGGTGAACCGCAAATAGTTCGCATCCTGGTGTTTGTCCACGTGAAATTTATGTTTGTAAAACGTCCTTATAACGTAGGATAATGTTATCATAAAGGGCAATGTTTAAAAAAAGGCAGACTAGAATGTATTATAAAAATGGCGAAATTAAATGAAAATACAATTTGTTGGCGATATTTTAAGCACCTTCTACAATTAATGAAGATGAGCAAAATCCGCGAGGGTACAAAAACTTTTTCGTTATTACAAAAGTACCCATGTATCCGTTGACAGACAAACATACATAACCTTTATATTATTACAGTCTTTATACCTGTCGTAGTATGTTTGTGTGGATTTATCACGATATATTGCACGTCGATGACATATTTGAATTGATTACCCCAAATACTTGAATACTCTATGCATCGTTAACGAATGAACTATGAACTATGAACAGTTGATTTACTTTGAACAGATGATTTACGGTATATTACTTAATTATATTACTTAAAGAATTTTTCCACCACTAACGATCGAAATAATTATAATGTGGCCCGTAATGAGGCAAACAATACTGAAATAATTAAATAACATTAACATTAATCAAACACCAAAACAAATTAGGGAGCAGGTTTATAAGTACAAAGTAAATCATGTTTATGCTTACGGGACGAAAAATCAGATTTTTTGTGACGTCAAAAGTTGACAAGTGAGCAGGCGGTTGACCCAATGTTAAGTTATTACCACCTCCTATGGACATCTACAACACCTTAGGTGTTGCAGTAGTGGACCCCGACTACCTCACTCGCCAGAAAAAAAAAAGAAAAATTAGGTCTATGCCCGCGTAATGCGTAAATGTAACACTAATAAGTAGGGCATAATTATGTCGTCTATATATCATATCTTTATAATTTTTTTTGTTTATTTTATTTATTCTTTAGCAATTAGAGCCGTGATAGCTCATTGTCCGGGCGCTCGCCCTTAGTTCAATGTACTCGAGCAACCTGAGTTCGATCCCCGGTGCCGGCACCAATGAAGTTTTTAACTTTAAGTGCTGACGTGCTCCGCGGTGGAGGAAAACATCGTGAGGAAACCTGCATTTATTTTCTAAATAATAACATAAAAAATATATTCCGAAGATATGTGAAGTCCGCCAATCCGCAGTGGGGCCGCGTGGTGGACTATGCCCTGATGCCCTCTCTATAGAGGAGGCCTTTGCCCAGCAGTGGGACATGTATAGGCTGTTACTTTACTTTTTTTTACTTTAGCAATTAGTGTAATATGGCAACGCAGCAGCACCTGCCGTTGTACGAATGGGCAGGCTCGTCCGGGGAATTACCACGGTCGCACAGAAAACCGGAGTGATGTGGAAGTATTACTTTCGCGTTTCAACTGTTTAGTTGAGGGCCCACTTTTAAATAGGTCGGCAACACGTGTGCAACCCACTAGTTATTGTAAATGTCCGTGGACGGCGGTAGTTACTTAACATCAGGTGAACCGCCTGCTCGCTTGCCAACATTTTACATTAAAAATATACTACTTCTGCACATTGCTAAAATGTACAATGTCTCTTAGAGGTTTCATTTGTCACTTGATTATAATTAAATCCTTTCATTCGCGTTCAATTTTGAGTTGTTATTAATAACAATACATTTGACGAAATTAATTTAATTATTATTAAGCAATAGTGGTAACAAACGTGTCCGAGTGTCGATGATTGAAATGTGTCTAAAGTAATGAAACTAGTTGCGAGTACAAGTGCAATGGTTCTAAAATGGTCGCATTATCATTAATCCTTGTCTATATCTTGCCTATTCAATCTTATTTACTCTTTAACTCTTTGTCATTCTAGGATTATTGTTCGAGTATCGTCACGAGCACTATGTTTACTATGGGACGATGTTCACGAAGGAAAATTGTTTAACTTGTTCGAGTAACAATCCTTTTTTACGTTAAGACGTTACGATAATAATCTATACAATAATATCTAAGATTGATTATAAAAAATAAACACTATATAGACAATGGAATAATTTATATTTTGCTGTAATTCTAATTTTGGGTTTCCATTCAAATATAATTTGTTGCGGTACTGAAAAAATAATAATTTTAAAAAAGCTAAAGAAAACGTTAAATGTTAAAACGCTGTAATTAATTCAGAAAATAAATAGAATTTGAATAGAATCGAATCATGAAAAGAATTGAATCATTATATATGATCAGTTTAAGGTATATCAATATTTCGAGAACTTTCTTCAATAAGTAACAATGACCATCATTACATTTCAAATTCTATAAACAACTACAACCTTCACTGCGATAAAATGTTTCGTTTCCAAACCTACCCACTTTCTGTATAAAACTTCACTCACATTTCAATTAAGTTCATAATTGATAACATATTTACTACGAAAAATAGCACGAAAAGTACTTTGAACAGTAAAATAAAGCAAAAACGTTATCATTCGAAAATAGATTTCGTAACAAAAGATAAAATTAATATCTATTGATAAGTAATGTTCAATCCCAGAGCCACGTCAACACAATGATTTAATAAAATTAGTAAAGACAGACTGAATTTGACTCTAAAAGTTAAACTATATAGGAAATCACCAGATTTTCTTTCCGGTAATCGTTATGACAAACCTCAAAACCAATCTGATGAAACCTGAAGTCACATGACCTGAACAAACACTGCAAAACGCAAAACGCATGCAAATTTTGTTCGACGTGTTACGAACACAGGTTAGTAGGAGCTTCTATTACACTTGATTGTTAGCGTCGCGTGAATATTTGTTAACATTATGAGAACACGAACTCACCGGCCATTTTGTCGATGCGTCTGGTCTTGAGCGGTGCGTTAAACTGAAGCTGGCGATAACAGACTGGAGTATATATGGGCGAAGTTGCAGCGGACACATTTCGTGTAATTATTCCGGAAATTATGATAAACTGAAGCTATCAGCCGTTAGAATTTGTGGGTTGCTTTTGCTTCACTAAGAATTCACAGGTACCTGTGACACGTCATACCGGTGAGCAATATCCGAAAGTGTCTTGAAGATTGAAATATTATTAAAGAGAGACAATATCTAGAAGTTTCACTGCAAAAGTGGCAACCTTCCATTTATTTTATTGTCAGTATGTTCCGAAAACTAACTAATACTGGAACATTCTACGGTAGTCCCAGTTTTTATAGTTCCGGAGAAAAAAAAAGGTTGAAATTTTGACTCACAAAATAAAGTTTGGTAAAATACATTTTTATTACGTATTTAAAATACGCAATGAAAATTTAGTATAATATATTTAACAAACTATGTTTTTTTCTTAAATTCATTCTATAGCGTGGGGTGCTTAGATCTAACCTAAATCATTTTCTATGAGTCGATACATTTCTAGATTTTTCTCGTTTGCACTGAATCGGTTGTTTTGATAGATTGTTTGATGAAATCGCGTTTAGCTTCAGCGCTGTATGTCATGGGTTCCTAGCCCGTTCGTGTCAAGAATGTTTCTATGACCTAAGATAATTGTTTCCCCGTCTCAGTCGGTGATGTAACGTTTTAGAGAAGACATGGAAAATTGCCATGACAGTATTTCACAATTCCCCAACTTTTATAAATTTAATATTTACATCGTATTCAATTATATCATTTGCTTTATCAGTGACGGTTCCTGGGATTTAACTGTTATTCTGAATTATATTTGCTAAGTAATTACGTAAATGAGTTCTAGATAATATAAAAATTAACGGTCATCGTGCTATATTATTAATTGGACATTAATCACTGGCTGTGAAAATATAAAAAATCACAATAAAACGTAACATTTTTAAACGAGTTCATTGTTGCTTCCCGTATACAATTTAATTTACGCTCTTAATATTACGCATTACGCTCATGTGTAACGGTAAAGAATGTTTGCGTACGGATAAGATAAGGAAGAAATTAAATTAAAAGCAATATTTATATTCAGACACTGAGGATTTTCGTCATCTTAGATGCAAGCTTAATTTTCACATCTTAGAACCCGCAAAATTGCAGAATGCTTAGTTGCATTCTGCAATTTCATCAAAGGGATAAAATCAGTTGCCTCCAAATATTAATTAATGTCTCAAATCCTTTTAACGTTCTTCAGTACAACATGGGTTTAGTCATAATCAGGTTAATTTCTGTATTGATTAAACAACGAAATTTTAGTATTAATCAATTAACGGTTTAATGAAATTGTTCCAAACCGTTTGATAATAGCTTGTTGTGTTATTTTACTCGTTTATCCTCTTCATAAATAAAAACTAATGTTTGTATGTTTGTTCTCTATACGCTTTTGAACCGTTCTTCTGATTATGATGAAGCTATGCTGAGTTGCACTTGCTTAAGCCTACGAAGGTTTCTGGCAAAAAAAAAAAAGAATTTTTCTTTACATTGATTCCTATCCTCTATCAACGCAAGGCATGTCGATAAACCTGTTAAAATAATAAACCTCTTTTATTATTTTAAAAGCATATTGTCCCATAAAAATCGGTTTCAGTGTAGACTAGATGCGATTTATGTGTGTAGGGTTTCTTCACCAACGGCTTGACAACGGTTGAAAAGAGGATACCTACGGAGTTTCTTTCGCCTGTTTCTTCTTCGTTAGAAGAACCTCATTAAGAAACGGTGGTAGATTTAAAAAAAATGAATATCTGTTGTATTAGATTTTTCTAAATTGTAATGGTTTCATCTGTTATTGTTTTTTTTTTTTTGGTGAAAATTTGGCAAGCGAGCAAACGGTTCTCATCTAATTATTATCAGTGACTAAGGCATCTACAACATCAACATCTATAACATTACGAAGAAGTGCTGAAAGTCAATGTTGCATTCATGTAAATAAAATATTCATTGTTAGTCAAACATTTGTGCCGATTTAAGATTGCCATCAAGGAATTTAAAGTTGAGAGCCGTGATAGTTAAGTGTCCGGGCGCTCGCCTTTAATTCAATATACTCGAGCAACCTGAGTTCGATCCCCGGTGCCGGCACCAATGAAATTGTCAATTTTAAGTGCTGAATTATACGTGCTCAGCGGTGAGTAAAAACATCGAGGAAAATCAACATGAGGAAACGTGCATATTTTCGAAACAATTAACAAAAAAAGAAATTATTTCGAAGATATGTGAAGTCCGCCAACCCGCAGTGGGGCTGCGTGGTGGACTAAGCCCTGATACCCTCTGTACAGAGGAGGCCTTTGCCCAACAGTGGGACGTACATAGGTTAATACTTTCCTTTTATTCTACATAGAACGAATGAGTCTGAGTTTATTTTGAGATTATTTCTATGGAATTTCGACTAATAGGTACAAATAGTTACCATAGAGCATGACATCGTATTACATGTTTAATTAAATAAGCGATAAAGTGTTTTATTCTTTCGCTAAATCGAAATTGAATATTGCGCATTTTTTATTGCAGAGTTTAAAGCAACACTTTTAGCTACGAAATACTGTAGATATAAGGCGCTCCAAAGTTGAACGAGCGTTCGAGTTGGAAAATATTACTATAAAAGTAAAGTTAAACTTCGAGTTCATCTACGCAGCTTTTCTTGGGCAAAGCCAGTCTCTAAAAGAGTCTATTAAAGCACGATCCTCTAACGCAGATTGCCAAAATGCATGTAGATCCAATTTAATTATATTTAATATGTACTTTTGCTGCACATTTAATTACTTAAACTTGTAAATTTGTTCGGAGGAGTTCAATTACAAAAACCATGACACGAGAATTTTATATATTAGATATAATAATAACTATTATTATTTTGATTAACTTTCTTTTTTATTTAATAATATAAACAGAATATACAAGTCAGTCTTAATCATGAACAGCCTTGTTCCATTTAAAAATATATTAGAAATACGCGTTCGTAAATCTACCTTTAAAAACAACAAATTTGCATTCAATTCGCAATAACTAGGAAATACATTTTCAAAAAACTTAATAATATGCGGTGAAACTTCACATGGTTGTTCGTATTGAAATATGAGTTATATTTTTCAAACTGGAACTTCAACTTATTAGTACAGTTACTATATATCGTCTTTTCATCCCAGCGACAAGTATGGTACACGGGAAATCGATAACCGCCACCAGTTTCTCCACGCACTGACACATATACGCAGAAAAAGAGCATTACACATGTAGACGGCCATGTTTTTTTTATGTCAAAAGTTGCCAAGCGAGCAGGCGGCTCACCTGATGTTAAGTGAATAAGTTGCAGATGTGTTGACAACCTTTTGAAAATTGGGCTCCGGCCACCTCACTCACCAGACGAAACGCGAAAGTATTATATTTCCACTTTACGCCGGTCTTCTGTGAGGTCGTGGTACTTACCCGGATGAGCCTGCCCATTCGTGCAACAGCCGAGGCTGCTGTGTGGCCCTACCACAGTTATGATCAACCTTATCAACACGTTTACCAATATTCTACCAAAAGCTACGAACGCTTAAAAATAGCCACGTGAAGTGCCCAGTATACCCAGTCAACCCCGCCACCACTCTATTGTGTACAAATACGCCAGTTTGCCCCTGTAAGGTCTTACGTCGGTAAACACTAGTATGCTTTCCTTATCCTTTACGTAGGAGAACGATCCGACACCGTACACCACGCCCTGGTGAAGCAGGGGCATCCCCGACTGCACAGCGGCGAAGTTCTCCACGTTGAGGATGCAGATAAAGTCGCCCCAAGCCGGCGGCAAGTAATCCCTACAGTCAACCATGACTTGGTCGCGATAGACGACCGCCCTTAATATGTTACTGTTCCTCACGTGCCTTTTGTTGGCGAACCCGAAGCCGGCGAGGGTCCAGCCGTTGGCGGTGGCTTTAGACTCCCTTTCGGCCAGCGGGAGGTAGTACGGCCGCCGCGGCAGCGTCTGGTGCTTCGGGAAGACGGTCTCGTTGTCGGCCACCGAGATGAGGGTCAGGTCGTAGATCGTGGTGTGCCTGCTATTCGATCCGATCCGGACCCACTTGTTATTCCTGTCTCGGTGCGTGGTGATGTAGTCGACCACCACCGTCCTCGAGCTGTGCGGGTTCCCGTTTATGGCGAATATCTTGATGCGGTGCTTCGCCACGTTGTAGAGCGGGTTGGCGGCGGTGACCAGCAGCCTGTCGTGCACGAATGTGGCAATGCCCGCGGGCGAATTGTCGATCGCGATGCCAACCACGCAGTCGAAGGTGTCCTCCTCGAGCCAGCGGAACATAGCCGACGCGAAGCTCACGGGGAAACTGAGGAATATTATGCAGACGTACCTGGAGACAGCGTAAATTTCATTGAAACATGAAGAAAGCTGGCCAGTGATTTAGATTAAAAATATGCAAATATCACTAATCACTGTGATACTCTTAGATTGAAAGTAACTAGTGTGTACTCATTTAAGTGATTCTAAATCGCACTAGTAAACAACAAGTACGAAGTAGTGTTACTTACATATTTCTCGTAGAACGGCAGAGAAACAAGAAACGCGTGTGTCCCGGACGATTTTTCTCGACAACTCCCAGTCGTAGCACGGTCAATATTCATAACATTACAATTTATTTATAAACACCGCATCAATGACTACTAGCGGGTAAGCCGCGTCACAAGAAATCAATTTCATTTCGTTGTTCCCTAACATATTTAACGTAACAGAGACTGAGATCTAAATGTTTGTGACAAAATATGCCTGCGTCGTAGAATCTTATCACGTAATAGGGCGCCAATATTTCTACGTGAGTATACAATACCGAAGAATTAGGGATTATTAATTGAATTATTGTGAAGGAAATAGTTGTTACACTTCACCTCCATATTATTTAACCTGTGTAGAAGGCGTTAAGAATAGAGAAATTAAACATACACCCAACCGACAGCTCGGCAACCGCGCTAAGGGAGATCATCAGACGTTAAATTTTATAGACACGAAATAATCCGTGGAGAATTTGTATGCATGCAAATGTGGATGATTTGTTAGTAAAATTACTAACGCTTAAGGTTTAACATATCATATACATGTAACTGATAAGTTTCTCTTCGTTTAAGCTATCAGAAAAAATACGTTTTGGTTTAAAGTAAGAAACTTTAATCTCACAAACGGAACCCTTAGTATCAGTGTGCTGTATATGACGAGACAACTATTTATGTGATCTTCAAATATTTCTTTCGGATCTGGCTGTTTGTCCACGTGAAATTTATGTACGTTGAAGGTCCTTACAACACAAGCAATGTAATCAAGTATATACAGCGTGTCGTTACCATCGCGACAATAAATGAAGACACGTCTAACGCTACTTGCCAATAATCATAAAAAAATATTTACGTTAAACAAAATCCATAATTTAAAAAAAATATTTTTCTAACAAACTAATTAAGTAAAAAAGAAACAAAATTTGTAACATCCTATACAACTCGCGACACAGCGTCGCATTACAAGCCTCTCCTTCTAACAGTATGTTTTGTCTCTTTTAAATTCATTCAACCCATTCATATGCTTTGTGACCTTTACAAATGAACTTTACGTAACGCTTTTATAGGTACGGGTGTTCTAAAATTCTTTGTTTTGGAAAATTTAATAACTCTGTAAATATTGATGTTTAAAGAATTTAAATGTTTAATACAACTTTAAAAAGTTATCCCCTATATGTGTGTTCATTTATTGTCGCGATGGTAACGACACGCTGTATAATGCAATTTTCTTCTCACCTGTTTTGTGAGAAAACACCGGAAAGTGCACACGTGGACGGACTGGGTTTACGAGCTCAGTGTAAGAAAACCTAAGCAGAGTCACGCATGTGGACATGCAAAAATTAACAAAAAATGCTTGATATTTGAGATTGTCACATATTTTAAGATGACCTAGAGTAAAATTCGCCTAAAATAAAGGTTTCACAGAGTAAGGTAAAGAAAAGATCCAAAAAATTATTTCTTTCGTAATCAACATCAGTAAATTTTAAAGTTTTTTATAGTGCTAATCTCTGAACTTAAGATTGAACATTAAAACATGTAGAAAAAGTACGAAAAGATTGAAGATTGAAGATTGAAGATTAGCTCAATGGCTAGAGCGTCAGGCCGCGAATGACGAAGACGTGGGTTCGATTCCCACAGCGGCGACAATCTTTTCGTACTTTTTCTACATGTTTCAACGTCAGTAAGTTATCAAATAATTGAGAACCCACAAATTCTTCTTTTATTTGAAAGCTGGTGCTTCCCATGTAGTCCCTAGTATATTAATTGGTATTGGAGCTTTAGCTCCGGAGATACTTGGTAACTTAATCTATTATAAAATGAATATAACAGAAAAGAAGACAGCCATAAGACATAAGAGAACAGAGCGAGATATTTGACGTCGGTTTTGTTTCTCGTTAATAAAACCATTTTTATTAAAAAAAAGAGAATCATCAAAATCGGTTCACTCAATTGAAAGTTCTGAGGTAACAAACATAAAAAAACAGGTTAATTGAGAGTCCTCCTCCTTTTTTGAAGACGGTTAAAAATTAGTAACGTGTGGTATGTATCCTCACTCACCAGTGGCCCAGGCTACCTCACTCACCAATGCAGAAGTGTGACAGTTACACTTCACGCCGGTCTTCTATGAGACCGTGGTACTTCACCGGACAGACATGCCGATTCGTGCAGCAGCTAAAGCTGTTGCAGTTATAGGTCATTTAAGGTCGAAGTGTTTTAGAAATAAAACTTAGAATAATTTATTGAAATCTATCCAGTGGTTTTTCCTTGATGCGCGCACAACTGCAGACCTCTATCATTTTATTGTTATAGATATTTTGTATAATATAACCCAGTAAAAGATCAATAATAACATATTTGCAGAAAGTTAATATAATATTTTTATTTGCTTCTAATGCATTGACTTTCCGCATGTTTTCAAAGCGTAGATCACTCTTTGGGAGAGGTCGAAAAACTCCCGGAAGGCTGTATCGGCAATGTTCTTCTTATTCGTCTCGAAAGAGGCGTAGGCGAATACTAGATCCTGCAACAGGTCTTTGACTATCTGTCGCAAGTATTGCGGAGTTGGCCTCCCGATATTAGCCTCGGCCAGAAGAAGAATTGAGGATGCCTGCGAAAATAGTTCGATAAATACGTGACTGTAAGCGACATGCAAGTGCGCAGTGTGAGTTTGAATTTGAAAACAGTGTGTACAAACACTTTTTATGTTTACGATTTTACATCTTTTCTGTCTTATTATTAAAACGCCAATCCGCTAGGGGCATTGACTGGGTTACGGCGAATCTATTGCTTCATGAAATTATAGGCACAAGTTACACCGAGCCTTTGAACAAACGTTGATAACACATATTTTGGTCTCGTGTGGGGATTAAAGTTACATGGCGCGTAGACGTCAACATAGTTGGCGATGAAGCCACTTAACGCCATCTATGCAGCTGTTAATCTTTGGTGTCCCAATTGTCAGGTTTTAGGTTCATATGAGGTTGATAGAACGATTACTACTACAAAATTTAATAATTATTACGTCTATTTCATTACAGGTAAAAAAATAGTATGTTTTTATAACATACGGATGCCATTTTAAAAAAAAATTGCCATTTTACTATATTCTCACCTTTGTCCTCCAAAACTTGAGTATCTCACCTAAACCTGTTCCATCGCGGTACTTTCCAACATCTTGTATGCTGAGACGTAGGGAATACAAATGGTGACGGCGACAAATTTCCGCTGTACGAAGAATGTTATTGTTCAATCAGTGAATTTAAAATAAACAAAAAAATATCTAGATGACTAAACAGCACGTAAATAATGACTTTTATGTTACAGTTTATCCATAGACCAAACCATTTCAACTTCAAAATAAAGAAACCATATGATTTTAACTGTTAAATTATTATGACACAGTAGTAGGTAAGTGAATGGACGAAACGAATTGCATTTTATTAAAAAACAATACTAAAGTTCTTACCGCTGCAGTTTATCTCGTCATCGCCGTTTGGGCAATTCTTCTTCCCATTACACAATGCTCCGATGGCCACAGAACTATTATCTGGACTCTCTTTGCAGTAATATCTTGTCAGTTTACTCTCCACCGAGCATGCTCGCACGCAATTTGGAGAACATTTCAGTTTTATACACTTATCCTTTCTGCATATGCAATCGTTCGATGATATTAGCTTTGTGTTGCCAGTGTACGAACGTTTCAGAGCCTCCACTAGGATTTTATTGACCGCATATAAAAACCTGTACATTTGCTCGGCGTCGTTACTATTATACGTGTGCCTCATATAATTTCCATAAATCAGACTAAGTAGTGTAAAACTCCTGTCTCTCACTATTTTTATGTACTTCGTGTTAGGGTTAGAAGCACTTATCAGATGCTGCAGAAAAATAATCGATTTGTATAGGCGCAGGAGCTCATTCCTCACGGGCTCGTTCTCCTTCGAAGCCATTTTCATTTCCAAGACTTTTGTTACTTTTAGAAAAGCTTCGTTCGCTTCAAACTTGCCTCTTCCTTTGCCTTGTAAACAAAATTGTAGGTTCATATTAAAAAGAAATAATATCTATATGTTCAATTTACATATGAAGATCAATTGTTCTTTATGTAGTTTTATTTACTTAAGTAACGATTCACCCTAATTAACAGTAAAAAGGTACGTTCATCTTCATATATATGGTATATCTAAGAAAATATAAATCAATCAGACATTATCTTACCTTCACTACAATCACGCTCATCAGACTCGTCGAAACAATCAAATTTGCCATCACAGATTGCGTTTAAATGAACGCTCGTTGAGTCGTTAAAGCCCGGACAACTCCATCGTCCTAAACGATACTTGAGTAAGCAGGCATTTTCGCAGGATTTGACGCAGGTTTTTGAAACGCAGCGATCCTCGCTGCAAATACACGACTTCGGAAATAAAGCGCTGTCCCTGAGAACCTCTTCCAAGTCTTTGTCCAAGATTCGATGAAATCTTCGAGCATTGGCCACCAGTTCACGGGCCTTTTCTTGATGCGCGCAAAGTCCTTTGCTCAGATTCAAAGTAACTTGGTTTAGAGTATTAATAGCATTTCTTAAATTTCCAGCTTCGTTATTATGTTGAAAATTTTCTTCGCAATCGTCTATAACGTTGATTTGGGCCAGAATCCAGTCATGCATTATATCTATTTTTGTGAAGGTACCATTGAATTTTTCCAAATGGCAATTTTGCTCAAAAGTCGCATTAATTTGAAGCAAAATGTTTTTGGCCTTAATTAAACTTTGAGCAACTGTAACAGAAAGAAATTATTTATAGTCGGAAAATCTCTACATTGCATTGGGTTTTTTCTGCATTCAATTATAGATGTAATTTTTGAAATTGGCAAATGTAAATAACACTAAGAAAAAAACCGTACTGTTCAAATTGCAAAGATATAATTCCAACCTTGATCAATGCAATTAGCTTCATCTGATCCATCCGGACAATCTACAGTACCATCACAAATGTTATCCACATAAATTGTTTTTTCCCCGATAGCGCATTTCGATTTATTTAAATAATCGATTTCTGAACAAGCCAATGCAGTAGAGACAATGCACTCTTTATCGAGTTTTACATGTTCTAAGTCACTACTAAGTATAGGTTTATTATCATTGTGGTGTAACAATTCATCAATATTTTTTTGTGTATGATTCCCTTGATTATCACCAATATTTCCTTCACGAGTAATTGTTCGTCTTGAGTAGTGTTCAAGATTTCTTATATAAATATCATTCAAGCTATTTGTAATCGTATTGCTATAGCTTACAATGTCACCATTGAGTAATTTTAAATATTTCGCATGTGCGAGTTCTATCATTTTTTTCCTAACATTATCTAAAAATACACGTTTGTCATCAATGGACCGTAATGTCATTAAATACTTTTTTGCAAAACTTTCAATTTTGTCTGTGATCGCTTTGGTTATATGTTCCCCTACAATACTGTCTGTATTGCCATTGCTCTCAAAAAGAATCCTATCAGAGCTAGATGAGTTTGAAATGTTATTGGAGGCCTTTAATTTAACTCCCTGCATTATGAGTTCCACATATTTGGCGCCATCTTCTCTAAAAGACTGCGACGTGGCCTTTCGAAGCTTTTCCTCTAACTCTGATAATAGTTTAGGTCTTTCATCAACGGACGCTCGAGCAACTGTATTAGCAATTTTTTCGATTTTTTCCATTATATCCTTGATAAAGTTATTTTTAATTTCATTTTCAACATAGCCATGTACTGCTAAAAATATGTTTTTATTTATTTATAATTGTATTGAAACAGGGAAATGTTATTGTTACTTACCTCCTCTGTAACATACTACTTCAACTATAATTATTAATTTCAGAAACAAAAAAAACATTCCTCGTGTGTTCAAATAATAGTTTAAATTTTTTATCATTGAGTATGTAACCATTAATCGTATCCTGAATTTTAGTACTGAATTTTAGTTATGTACTTATTGTAATCGTCGATTTAATAGTCATTCTTTTATGGCTAGCATTTAAAACTCACTATTTTATGGTTATTTTGTTCAATGTATGTAACCGATTATGTGCAAACAACTGTTACTCATTATCGTTTAGGTATATGAATTTTATTTTTTATTTCGCGATTTGTGTCATGATATCTTACAATAATGATACATACAATCTAATGTTTACATACTCATTTGTATGGAAACGACACTCGTTTATTAAGACTGACTGACTGAAAACATATTTCTATATAATATACTCTCTTTTTACATGATAAATCTTCAGATATCTGATATAGACAAATCTTGTAACGTTCACCAACGTTACGCACAAACTTTTTTACTAGTTTTTTCAATACTATACGCCATTTACTGTTTAAAGATATAAAAAGAGAAAAAAATAAGTTAAATAAAGTTAGGGATGCCGACTTAGGAATTTTCTTCCTAAATTAAGGAAGAAAAATATACAATGGAAATTTTTAGGAGGTATATTTTTTGGGAATATTTTTAGGAGTTAAATTTTATTCACATTTTTGAAAAAAGATAAAACTACACAAAACGAAAAAGAAAAATATAATTGTATAGTGCTGTGCTGCTTGTGGACGTCAGGCCAAGGCTTATGTGTCTTGTGTGTATATTTTAAATTCTTCCGCACTAAACTATTATATGTAATATATATACATATACAGCGTGTCGTTACCATCGCGACAATAAATGAACACACGTCTAACGCTATTTGTCAATAATCATAATAATCCTTCTAATAGTATGTTTTGTCTCTTTTAAATTCATTTAACCCATTCATATGGTTTGTGACCTTTGATAACCTTTGAACTCTGTAAATATTTATGTTTAAAGAATGTAAATGTTTAATACAATTTTAAAAAGTTATCCCCGATATGTGTGTTCATTTATTGTCGCAAAAGTGATACGGTACGGTTCTCAGCAAAAGTAATACGACCCATCTCTAAGTTTCCAGCATACAAACAAATTCGAATATCGTTTTACAAAATCAAATTTCTCATAATCAAATCCATTTTTTGACATTTCTGACAGATATCAAGACGACCCGAATGGCGTAGTGGGTAGTGTACCTCCGCTCCTGCGCCAGAGGGTGTGGGTTCGATCCCCACTACTGGAAAATATTGTGTAACGAACATAGTGTTTTTCTGGTGTCTAGGTGTTTATATATGTATTATATGTATTTATTTACAAAAGAAAAGTATGTTTAAGTATGTTTATCAGTTTTCTAGTACCCATAGTACAAGCGTTGTTTACTTTGGGACTAGAGAATTTTGTGTAAAAATGTGTCCTAAATATTTATTATATGTTGTTTTATTAATGATATACATAATTCCCCAACGGTTATCGGTTCTACGAGCTATATGGCCGGCCCATCGCCACTTCAGCTTGCTAATCCTCTGAGCTATATCGGTTACCTTGGTTCTACTGCGGATGTCTTCGTTACGAACTCTATCACGCAGAGAAATACCGAGCATAGCCCGCTCCATAGCTCGCTGAGCCTCTTTGAGCTTCCTCATACGGCAGTGAAGGATCGTGTCTCGGTTCCGTAGGTCATCACTGGCAACACACATTGATTGAAGACTTTAGTCTTCAAACATTGAGGTACATTGTGCAAATGTGCGGGAAGTCGATGGATGCAGGTGGCTCAGGATTTTCGTACTTCATGGCAGTCTGTGGGGGAGGCCTATGTTCAGCAGTGGACTCAAACAGGCTGAAATGATGATGATGATGATACATAATTCAATACTTAGCAACCTCCGTAAGCACATTCATTTCAAGACATATATATCCGAGTACCAAATTTAATTAAAACCTGCTCAGTTTCAAAGAATGCAGATAATGAAATTATATGTAGAATATGTTCATAGTATTACGTGCAGGTAGTTTATTTGACCAACACACCATGAAAATGAATAATCCCTTTATTAATCAATTTTGAAAAGAGTAAGAGAACACTGCAGTAAGAGAATTAAAATAACATGTTAATATTATCGTTATACTTTAGTAAAAAAAAATACAATATCTTCCTAATGCGGGAATGTTTTCACCAAATGTGGAGTTTGAAGTCTACCGGTTAGAACGACTAAGGCAAAAAATTTATACACATTTGTCCTTCACACATGTTTTTTTTGCCATATAGCTATTTCGTTTCGGTGTAAAAGAGAATGCAACAGTGATTTAGTCTCTGCCTACGGTCCGATAAAAAAAAACGTTTGTTCGTTCGAATTGAACTCACAAATATTTTTTTTACTTATTTTATGCAATCAAGTTTTTGAGCCCAAATTTTCAAAAATTAAAAGCAATTAATGAACAAACTAAAAAAATATTATGTGGCACTGACGTAAAATTAAGAAATAATTATTTGATAATTTTGTTGTAATAACTGAATGTTTAAATATAAGTGCATAACTGGAAAAATGGAAAATTAATATGTGTTGTAAATCCAAAATTAAGAGAGAACGTAATCACTACGTTACGATTAAATTTATCATCAAGTGACATTGACAGATTAAGACATCCTTATTCCTTGTTTATTTATAATTAATAAATAGTAGAAGGATAAAAAGTTATCAAAACCTGAAACAGTTGAAATAATTATAATGAATAGTTCTATAATTAAAGTTATGCAGGTATTGTATGAAAAATAGTTTTATCCTAACCTAACTTTTGAGACTGTAAAAATAGTAGATGGTAAATATTGTATAAAAATTACGACTTAACAGTATTTAATACAAATACAAAGATTTGATGTAAATGCCATAATATGCCATGCCTTTATAATTAAAGTGTTAATGTTTTACATTTAGTCAAAACTGAGTGCTGTGGGGCAAATAACGCAAATGAAGCCTGGATTAGCATCACAACTACATACCTCAGCTCCAGTATGCAGAGTTGTCTCTGGCAAATACCGAATTACTAAAAAAAGAGATAGACCACTTACATATGAAATGGCAAACCCACCACACTTCATTGCTCACCGCAAGTCTTGGAATTCATGGAATACATGTAAGTTTTATTGATTTATCTTGAAGAAAATATTGTATAAATTAGAAGGAACATTAATGGAGGTTTCATTGCACTAGTAAAACGCATATAAAATTTTGTTCCATAGCCAGTATGAAAGATGGCCTTCGTAGATCAGAGACAGCAGTAGAGGATGAATTCATCAGACGCTTTATGAATGGGACTTGGCATGGGCTTGTATGCAGTGAAGTAAGTTTTTTTTCTAGTATCACTATTCATGGAACACAGAAAATATTTTTTGTCTTCTAATGTTAGATTATAGACAAATATAGTGTAGCCTACTAATTAATGTTATTTTTTGGCACCACTTTTGTATACCTGTATATGTAAAGGCATTATTTCACTCTAGTGTCAGCTGAGCAACAATTTACCATCAAAAGGGGAACATTTTTATTTGCATTGGTTGGTTTTGGTTTCATTTTGTTGAACTCCATAATATACATTTTCCATACATTGTTTTAATGATTATTTTAATTTTAAATATAATTATAATAAATTTTAATGTATCTTGCAATAAAATGACAGGTATTAAATACTCTTATTTCAATTAATTTATAATAATATAATTTGTAATGTTTACATTTTTTTAAAAGTAACAATGAAAGTGGACAAAAACATGTCTAAATCTTAAGGCACAGTTAGCGGGAAATACAGTTGCTTTGGTGTATCTGAAAAGGTCCTCACATATCCAACAATGATTTAGACATTCCTTTTTTTAACCAATTTTAAAAAAGGTTTCTCAATTCGACCATATAAATTTTTATTTTTTTAACAGACTCCAAAAAAAAATGAGATACTTTTTATGTGTGTTTGCGGATAGGTTCATCGTTTATGAACCGATTTTGATTTTTTGTTGGGGAGGTGATATCCCAACGGTGGTACCATTATAAGGAAAACCGGACCTGATGATGGCATCCCAGAGCTATCGAGGGCAATCCTCAAAACTTTATAGATGTTGACAACGTTTTTAGTTTCCTGTTTGAAGTTAGTTTCTTTTTATTAAAAATTATTTATGTGAGAGTAGAAAACAAGCTGGTGGTTCACCTGATGTTAAGTAATTACTACCGCCCATGGACGTTAGCAACACCCGTACCATTGTAGGAGTGTTACCACCTTTTAATAAAGTGGGTTCTGGCTATGTCACTCACCAAATGAAACACATAAGTGTAACAATTCTACTTCACGTCGGTCTTCTGTGATATAATGGTACTTATAGAGACGGACCTGCCCATTTCTGCAACAGCAAATACTTGCTTGGCCCTACCACAGTTAGTCCTATAATCAAATGTCAATATATGATTGAGAGTTGCCACCAATATTTGAGTACTGGAAGCAATGAATACATAGAATAATTAACTGGATATATTGTATTTTCTGAGTAAAGCAACAGTTGTAGCTAATAATTAAAAACAGCATTTCTCAATGACACATCTATACATTCTGATATCATTTACAGGTCATTATTAAAAGGCAGTTCAATCACATTAGAGTTGCCGCAATCATAAGGAGAGCAGTGTCACCTACAAAAATGTATTTCCTTCTTGGTTACACAGAAGAACTCCTGGCCAATTGGCTCCAGTGTCCCGTTACCTTGGAACTGCAAACAGTTGACAGCTTCCAGGATGTTGTTTTCAAATACATATAAAATACTGTAGTTTGATTTAAAATTAAAGATAGACTAGGTATGCTGTAATTTAATTTTAAAGTCCAAATTTTCTAAAGTTATTAACTTTGCTAATATTTGAAACTTATTTTAAACTGATTAGGCAGTTCTTATGATTCTTATATAAGAAAATGGAAATTATTATTTTAATAAATATGTATCTTTTTTAATGAGAAAAAAAAACTGAAAATTATCAACACTTCCATATTAAAAACTTTCATCAGCAAGGTTATCCTGCTTTGTAGTGCTGTTTACCAGTGGAAGGAATGTGCTTACTACTGTTATACTTTTGAAGATAGATGATAGAGGGGATACATCCAACTACTAACTCCTCAAAATGAAATACGAAAATTTATAGCAGTTAAATGTTGTTAATAATGTGAATAATAAGTTTAGGTTTTGTTTTTGTTAATAAAAATCTTTCATTTGTTTAAATCGCTGTCAATTACGATCCACGGTCAATGTATAGGGTACATTTTTGTGGACGATATTTCACCACACGTCTCGCGTAGAATGTGTGAAAGGGGAGAAATGAAACAACAAGCGGGTAAAATTCATATTCTCTTATAATTTGATTCATTCAAATATACATAATGTGTCAACAAACAAAACAGCGAGACGGGCCTTACACACACACAGACGAGCGTAGGCCGCAACCGGCACGCACATTCGCACACGCACCCACTCACGCACACAAGCACGCACGCACGCACGCACACACGCACGCCTCATAACGCCCGGGCGCCGTGTCGAGCCGCGACCGAACCTCCGCACATGCCATTTGTACTTTTCTAACAGTTAAACGCCACTGTGCCTTCCTTACCGACTATTCTTAATATTTTTCCATATATATTAGAGTCTTATGTTTATGCGGACAGTATTATTGAAAGAAATAAAACAAATCTTCAAAATTAACTATTAGGTTCGATGATCACCGGAATCATTTGAAGAATAGAAAGAAAACTGGCTTACAATATCGTTCTTACAAGTTGAGCATGCTTTCATTTTTAAAAACGTTCATTAAAGTATAACTGTATATTGTAAATATGGTAAAGAAGACACAGTTAACAATCTGTGAGTGATCTCGTGTATACAATTTCATTCCGTTCTCATTTTATGCCAAACAATCGTCATATAGTTGTCATTAGATTTAGATGTATGGTGTTCTCTCTCAGGTAATTTGTATTGTCTATCACAGCGACGTAAAGCATTTGTCCTTACATACTAGTGAGTTAAGTTTTGCGATCTTATCATTAAAACACCGTAAACACATTTTTGTAAACTCGTTAAGGTGGTTCAGAAAATATTTTCACATTATTATGATATTATTCTTTTTTTTTTAAAGTCTCAAACAGTCTTTTTTCTTATTGAGCTAATTCGATAGGGCCCGTGGAATGTCTGCCGAGATAAAGGTTATATTCGAGGCTCAGACGAAGGGTGTTGCCACACCGGCGTTGCTACGTCGACGTTCGTGAACGCGGTCGTTTTTAAAACGCGTCCGAGGAAAATGCCGTTCTTTTGTACGTTTCGAAGATTGCAACCGCTGAGCTTTAGGCGTATTATACCTACAAACGCTAGTGTGTCGGCAGCCTAAGGTACGTTTTAGTGCGTGCCCGTGCCGAGTCCCGACGCTCGCCCGTCGCTGAGCGTCAATCATAATCGAAACTGCGCATTTATTTACAAATGTACAGACGGCGCGATGACTCGACGCGGCGGACAGTGCGTAAACCGAAACGTCGCCGAATTGAAACTCGATGGGGGGGGAAGTAAGGGGGGGCTACGCAAGATTAATATAACAGTGCCGTACAAAGCATTCGGAGAGAAGCCCCGATGCGAACTGAAGTTCTACGCGTAAGATTTGAACCTAGAGAAAAAGTTTCACATATTTACACATACGTTCGTGTGATACGAGATTATAATACTAATATGTACAAATGATAGAAAAAAAAAATTGTAAATTGTAAAGATTTTTTATATTGAATGCAAGCGATACGGGAGTTTCAATGTTGCGAGACGTTTTCCCTTGGATGGCATCGTGAGGTGTAAATTAACATTCATCGAGATACAGAAAGTGTATTGCGCGTCACAGACTGCCTATTTAGGCCACTACTCTAACGCTATTAAGTAAAACGTCCATCAAAACCCTAATAAAAAAAAAAAAATTACGAGATCACATGCCCTACGAATAAGACAAAAATGTTACGATAAAGCTCCGGTTAGTTAAAGCGTAGGAATACGTGCGCCAGTGATTTCTTTGCGAAACACAGCGTCGGAAGGGATATAAAATGAATTCGTAACTATATACGCGTTAGAAAAGACCCGATTTATGCGACAACGAATTTCGCTTTGCACCATTAAACATTTAAACTACGGAAATTTGTTCACGGCTAACGTAAAACTAATTCACGCTCTGTACACGGCGAGTCGTATTTCGATCGTTTCGAGCGAACTTCAACATCAAAATATGTACGCTAATATTCGGGAACATCTAGTTCGCGAGGACCAAGAAACATTGTTGCAACTATTGTCGTGTCGCATTAGAAACGGCTCCTAAGCTTCACAAATTACACTGATTTTCGTTAAGTATAGATAATTCACACTTTGTGCTCTACTAAGGTACTCATGTAGAAGGATTTCGATACAACATACGATTACACTATGATAGTTTAATATAAAAAAAAGCAAAAACCCAACAAACGAGACAACATGATATGACGTTAGAACCTATCTGTACTTTTTTTAAAATTATAAGACTTCAGTAAGAGTAATAGTAAAATTTGATTTCGTATAAAACTCGATTTGAACCCCGTTTTATCCTAAAAGAAATATTTCAATATACCCTTCTCATGATTTGGCTTAATCACTTTACTCGTAACACACGATAATAACAAGAGAGACGTTACCTATCACAATAGCGTAAGTGGTAATTAAAGAAATAAACAAGGAAGCACCTTAAATTGTTGAACGTAAGGACGAATAAATATTCGAAACTTATGAACGTTAATAAAATTATTAGAATCGAAGAGTGGACATAACTAAAACAACTCGATAGTGTCTATGGTACAACTGACGAGTAAGTAAAGAGTGAACAGAGAACGATAGACGGTAGACAATATGACTCGGAGCTAGATTCATTGTCTTAAAAATCAATCATCAACGTCGAAAAAAGCTATTGGACGCAAAGTCAGTATCATTATTAAAAAATAAAACAGAAACTGATTGATTCGTTGATCGAGAACCTTCTCACTTATTGTCAAAACTTTGACCTTCGTGGGTGAAATAAAAAAAAAAGCAAATGAAGATCTTGACAGATTATTAAACCAAAATACGCGGTTCGAGCTCTTTACGACTGACTAGGGTCGCATCAGTCTACGCATACGCCAAGGCAACAATTAACGCAGCCGCCCAGGTCGAAACGTCGCTACAAACATCAGATCATCACCTTAACATATTAACCTATGTACAAATTCAACAACTTTACCTCACGCGACATATCCATAAGGCCACAGAGCTAACTAACAATACACGGTGAAGATCACATGTGGTTCAGATTAAGTACCTTACCGGTTGTGAAAAACGAAAGTGAAAAGAAAACAAAGCGAACATATTCCTATACTTTGTGCGGTTGATTAATAGTCCAGTCGATTCGATGTCACCGACCTCCTAAGCGATGTCCCAAACGGGGCGGACGGCTCACGATCCCAGGCTCGACACACACAGAGACACGGACTAATACATACACACACGAACATTTGTACTACGCCAGTATGCTGGCCCGCTAATTCTAAAGGCGAGACACGCCGACGAACATGGAAGGGAGGAAACATACATAACAGCAGTCTCTACAGATCAACTAACGAACAACGTGCGCCGAATTAATTCGTGATTCCGACGCGAATACCGTACTGTTTCGACGAAATAGCGAACGGATCTGTGAACGAAAGTTCACAGTGTGTTGAAATAAAAAAAATCAGATATAATCTACTTAAAGCCTAAGGGAGAGGGAGGGGGGGGGGGGGGGTTTGTTCGACGGCGACTCCTCTAAATTTCGTACGACAGACTAAGGATGTGGGAGGATATGGATAGAGGAGGTTAAGGGACGCTAAAGTTTCGCTGAATTGTTTGTTGGGACACAAGATGCGACATTAATCTAGTATCGTCGCCCGACTTTGTTCTAAGTTGACACCGCTCTAAACCGCTATCCCACATAACAACTAACAACACCGAACTAAAACCGCACCAACGCCGAAATGCACCACAATCTAATATCGCATTACAAACGGACAGACAGCTCCGAAAATGGTCTCATACAAGAACATCAAGTGGAGGGGGATAAAGTGTATTTCCGAAATAAAAACAACGACCAGTGAGACGCGATTGTTAACAAATACAGCGATAGAGATTACAAAACGTGAATCGAAATGAGCGGAGCGACAGTTGAAGTAATCAACTGTCAATTTGACGTTCATACGGCCGAAAGGAGAGGAATTGACACTTCGAAACGCCAAAGTGTCCGTCAATTGAAGCAATAACGTCATTGAAAATATATATGCGATCACAATTCGCGTTACGAAGGAGGCTAAAGTAAAATTTCATAAAAAATCAAGGGCGATTGCAAGGTTGCAAAAATATTTTTTTAAATTTGTTTGTGTAATAAATGAAAAACACCATGATCATGCACCCATTGCACACACACCTTAGTTTCATCTAATAATTCATAAAATCCACGCACAACAGTGACATCACTCAAAGGCAGTGAATTATTTAACAAACATCTTTATATCGTCAACATTTTCAAATAGGTATTTAATAAGTATCAAAAATAATTTGCATATCTAATACTTTACACAAAAATAGGCGATCACACATGGCCACGTCAAATAATACAGAACTTATGGTCAAAGTTTGAAAGTTAAAGCCTATACTTAAATATCGCAATGATTGTACATAAATGTTCGGCCGTTATGCTCCCATCAATTAAAGAATATTAAAATATTTTTTATTCACAATTAAAACATTTTCTTGTCGGAGAATAAACATTAATAGTTTTGCACACACGCTTTATCTCACTGATCTTGAATTAAAAAAAAATGAGCAAAAAGGCAGAAGCGTAATAATGGAAAGACTCCAATATCATACCAGTCTTGACATTTTCACATACACACAACACATTTTATGTTCAGACTAAAAATACTATCTAAATTATATACAGTGGAGGAATTTTCAAAACACTAATTGGTAAATGGACGTTTGACATATTCTCCACAAAATTCAAATTGTATAATATTAAAATATTCATAATTTCAAACAGCTTTGATACAATAAAATTCACGTTAAAGCCAGATTAAATAGAAAAAGCGGCCATGAGATATGTAAATAAAAGATACACAGATGTAAGTTATGCAAGGCTTCATAGCTGATTTCTCCATTTATCAATAACTTAACACCTCAGTCATTCCTCAACTGTATACTTTGTTTACACAAAATATTTTAAGCATATCCCACATGCTACACTATTGAAAAAATATGTCATCTTTATTAATTTACGTGTTTATCTTCAAAGTCATTGACACAATAAGCGTAGGTCCAAAATTTGAATATGTGACAAATAGTAATTTCCTTGTCCTAAATAGATTATATTTAACTATGCCGAGGATCTAATGAGGATTAATCTTGGAGATATCACCATTAAATACACAAATATTTTTAACAAACTCTACATGTAATCTAAATTTGACAAGTGTTCAAGCAAACATAACAATTAAGACACTTGTCAAATTTTGCTTGAACTCTTGTTTTTTATATCAGTTACATCAATTTGTATACTTCATTTACATCAACAGCTTTAACACGGCTTGAAATTTGAACATAGTTTAAATATTATTACATATTGTTATATATCTCCTATATAAAATCCTAAGATATACAATTCAATAGGTGAATGAAGGATACTAGAATTGCACATTAAGATAGATATAATATTCTAAGTAAATCATAAATATCACTGATAGAAGACATTGGTTAAAGTTTTATATGAGGACTACATGAACATAAATTAGATCACAAATATTTTAAAATTGGGGATATGTGTAGAAATGCTAAAGCAATTCTTATGCAACAAGGTAGGTGAAAAGCTCAAAAAATATTTATCATTATGTAAAAAAAAACAGTTAAAACAAACATCTTCATCAATAATTGGTCAGGGTGCACCTATCGGTTATTTGGTCTAAAGTTTGCTTATCATATGAAACAGGGCATGCTTACTATAAAGCATTATTTTATAGGGGAATTCATAACTATGAATGCATCACATGTAGATGAAATATGAACCATGAAAATGATCAGTTAAATTGATAAATATTTTGTGAATTTGTCTATGATTAATACATTATAAAAAGAATGTATGATTTAAACAACTTTTTGGGAATATGCAACAGATTTGATTATTTTTAAAGCTTTTATTAGGCTAGATAAATAGAAAACGAAGTTTTAAGTCTGTTGTAGGATGTTACATATAGTCCTCTAACTTTTAATACTAAGCACAAGGATTACTCCCGTCCAAAGGTAAAGTGCCTCATATGCCTTGCAGCTATCATTTTCATTCAGGAAATCGTATTAATAAATAAAACTGTATAATATTTGTGCAAATTCCTATGACCATACATTTCTCTGCGGCCTGTCCAACTAACGTCAACTTATCGGTGTCAAACTATATAAGTGATATTATAAAAAAAAAAACATTCCAAGAGATACTTTTTCTAACTAATCGAACCGGAGCAAACGTTTCATACTTACACTGTGACGTCTCTCTCTATTGAAGAAAGCCTCGGGGGATCCCACCGCAGCCGATCATGCACACTGAGACACGAGCGAACATAGGGCACTTTCACTTTCGGCGGCGTCACGACACGAACGGAGCACTATGAGTCGCGTCACAACACTATAGCACTATTGCTGTCTCGGTCGCGCGCGGGCGGTCGCCGGCGCTCATCTCTTTCTGGCGCCGCTGTTGTTGTCGCGCTGGTGGTCGCGTTGCTGGTGGTGGTGGTGGTGGTGGCGGACGCGGCGGTGCGCGCGCGGCGACGGGTGCTACCTGCGCCCGATCAGCCCGTTCGAGTTGCCGCCCGCGCTCGGGCACATCTCGAGCTCCACCAGCAGCGGGAAGTGGTCTGGGAGACGGACATGGGTGAGCCGGGTTATGCGGGAACTGTCTCACCTCCTACCGTGGGCCCATGTTTACAAAACAGGTAGGATCGCTCCGACTAGGTAGAACCCCCCCCACAACCAGGTGGGACTACTCAACTAAGTAAGATATTTTTTTCCGACTAGGTAGAACTAAGAACCCCCACAACCAGGTAGGACTACCCAACTTTACTGAGCTAGCGCGCTTACTATCCACGGCTGCATCGCCACTTACCATCGGGTAAGCATTGGCAGTCAAGCGCTAGTCAGTTCCATATAAAAAAAATCTTCCGCGAACCCCGGCGCTACTGTGGCCTTCGCAGGCCTCTCCGCGGGTGTTTAGACACCCAGTCCAGCCAAATGGTGCCGTGTCGGTGCAATGAACACGACACCCCCCCCCCTCTCAAGCCCTCCACGAGGCAGCAGTTAAGGTAAAATTATCCCAACTAGGTAGGACCCTCCCAACTAGGCTGGGTTGACGATTACCACAACGTTGACAGTTTTTATTCATTTAACAATATAAATTCACATTATACGTTATGTTTGTTGTAACTGGTTTCGCTATTCTTTATTCGTTGACGGATCATTTCATGTAACACCATTGCACAGTCTTGACGTACCAGTGGTCTAATATTAAATAGCAACAATGAGCAAGTATCTCAAAAGATGGCGCTATATGATATTGTTAGCATGGCAACAATTCGTATTGAAAGTCTTAATTTGTATAAGATTACCTTTATTGTTTCAAAACATTATGAAATTGTACGCAAATAAAACTTACTATGAAAGATCTTATCTTGATGTTAACACACAAAGGGTTCGTCAACTTTATTAGTTCCGTTCAACATTTACAAAACGTACCAGGTGTACCGCAAGGAACAGTATTGGATCCTGTCATTTAGTATTTTATTATATATGATTTTGTTAACAAGAGTCGAATTATAGTCACCTGAGGGTATATGTGGATGAGGGCAACCGACGACTTTGTGCTCGCGGAACCAATCCTGAGATAAGGGACCCAATAGACCGAGGGGCGTCATCGACTGTTTACTGTAGAATATGTAATCGATGATGCCTTTGAAGTCGAAACTGAAATTGAGATAAGAACGGTTAAAGCACATTTGTTGTACGACGTGTTGTACTTTTACGTATGTATTAAAGGGTGTTAGACTTATTTTAGGCATAGGCTTGTAGCTTAGTATTGTGTGATTGTATTATTCTGTGCTGTATGGCCGTTTAACAAACAGTGGGGTTTGCAAATTAACCATTAAAAATGACTTTATTCATTCATGTAGCGCAGTTTTCTAGATTTTACATTCGGCGTCGGGGTTGTCGGTTCGATTCACATACGGGAAAACTATTCATGTGACCCACAGATGATTGTTTCAGTTTTGGGTGGTTTGTCCACGTTAAATTTGTGTATGTGAATTATCATTAAATACCACACAGGATAACTACTTGTAGGGGTTTTTTACGTTCGAAAGAAAATATAATAAAACAATCATCATATTTATATCTGCACGAGCCAAATCGGGTCAGATTTGTGTCGAAGAGGTTGGGTAGTAAATCCCAACCACCACTGGGACCTAGGAGTTCTATTGTAGTCTTCCTTTCGAAGCCAGATAGCTTCCTCTAAACCAACAACCCTGATGAAGATGACGGTCGTCGAGGGGCCAACAATCCGGGCTTTCTCGGTTAGTAATTCGGGCCCTCTCACTTCGCTTGGTTCAATATTGACCAGGGCATCACATTATCTATTATCTTATAAATATAGTAAAATTATATTCACACTCCTGAAATAGTCTTTACATATTATTACGTCTATCCTAAGGTTGCCTGAAGAAATTGCTTTAAGTAATAACGCCGCCCATTGTAGAACTCTTACATAATTGTTGTTTTTAATGTACCCTTTTTTAATATGGTGTGTGCAATCATCACTACATAGTATAAAACAAAGTCGTCCGCTGTCCGTCTGTCCCTATATATGCTTAGATCTTTAAAAGTACGCAACGGATCTTGATGCGGTTTTATTTATTAGATAGAGCGATTCAGGAGGAAGGTTTATATGTATAATAAATTTCACCCGTGCGAAGCTGGGCCGGGTCGCTAGTAAAGAATATTCAACCAATCAAACTATTTGAAGCGGCTTGTGTCTCCACTTCATCGACGCAGAATGTACAGAATGGGCTCTCCGACGGTCTGTCTCATTCTGTTGAAATCCTTACTAATATTATAAAGGCATAAGTTTGTATGTATTGATGGATGTTCGTTACTCTTTCACGCAAATACTACTGTATGGATTTGAATGAAACTTTACAATTATATAGCTTATACATCAGAATAAAACATAGGCTATAATTTATACACATATATTTATGAACATCTGTCTTTCTGTCTGAATGTTAAGCCCTCAGTCTATTCTGCGCAGATGTGGTCTCGGGCAGCGGACAGTGATTTATTTATTTATTCGAGAAAACAACAGCATATCATATAATAGTTTTTCCAGATTATCACATCTTATTGAAAGCCAATTACAGTTTTCCATTATATAAATACATAAAGTAATGAAGGTAACACACGTTCAATAAACAAATGATTTAAAAAGGTAAACAAAAAAAAATTGGCAAAACTTAATTAAAAATATACTAATGCATTATTTACTAAAACAAAAAGAGAAATAAAAGAAGGGAACGGCTCGAGTGCAAATGTGAGTGCGTGCGTGCGTGCGAACGTGCGTGCGTGCGTGCGAACGTGCGTGCGTGCGTGTGCGTGCGCGCGCGCGCGCGTGTGTGTGTGTGTGTGTGTGTGTGTGCGCGTGTGCGTGCGCGTGTGTGTGTGTGTGTGTGTTCGTTTTTGTTATATTATGTTTAGATCTTCTTTTATTTTTTTGATTGAATATAACTCACGTGTAATTGGTGTAGGGCATTATGTCCTCGCTATAAGCGGACGCCAGTTTGAAGTTGTGCGTGAACTCGTGCTCGGAGCCGGGCATCCGCCTCAGAACGTTCGCGTAGCCCAGCTCCTTGAAGTCGCGGTGCTCCGACGACACGCGCCCCGACGATAGGAACTCCACCACGCCTGAAATATTCCAGGGACACTGTCCGATTAGGAACCCCACCACGCCTGAAATATTCCAGGGACACTGTCCGATTAGGAACCCCACCACGCTTGAAATATTCCAGGGACACTGTCCGATTAGGAACCCCATCACGCCTGAAATATTCCAGGGTCACTGTCCGATCATCATACATACAGTAGGAGTGAGGTGAACATTTCCAGTTCCAAACAGATTGCTCCTTAACAGGCTGTCAAAAGCTTTTCTCTATTCATGCTTGCGACTTTTACGTTACAAGCTCTTTCTTTTCCTTGCGTCGTTTTGGTTAGAAAGAGAAGTACGGTTGATGGTAAAGTACGGCTACCTGTTACTATGATAACAATTTCACAAGTTTTCACAGCATGCAAGTATGGAATAATAGGCTGTTTTGTAACAGGTATTTATCACTGTTACTTTTAAGGAACACGAACAAGTGCTCGATTTAACCCAGTATAGCTCACTCCTAATATATAGCTTGTTTAACCGAGGGGGAAGACGGGTTCTCGAGTGGCAGCCTTGTACTGGCCATCGCATTGTAGGACGATCCTCCACAAGATGGAGTGACGACCTGTGCAAGTCTGCGGGAAATCGATGGATGCAGTTGTTGGCAGGATCGTGCTTCGTGGCAGTCTGTGGGGGAGTCCTATATTCAGCAGTGGACTCAAACAGACAGAAATGATGATGATGATGTCTGATTATCACCATCATATCACTTCGTTCGCCGACAACTTTGCTGTGACAATAAAAAAAAACAATACAACAAATTTCCTGTGTCCATTGCATTGGACATTTCATTAGTGGTTCGCTACAAGATTTGAAGAGCGTCACGGCTTAAACTGGCTCATTACTATGTAAGAAACACTCAAGAATTTGACTTGAATTGAACGAAATCTATTCACTATACAAAACAGCGGCTTTCTTAACCGCCGGGTATCTCGACGCTCAGCATTGCTCCGTCGCCCGAGCCGAGCGTCTCGTCGCTCGGGATCGCACCGAGCGATGCTCGGCGGACACTCACCGCTGTCCGGCAGCGAGTTGAAGTCGCCGCAAAGCAGCAACTGCACGTTGTCCCGGTGGCCGGCCAGACGGAGCGTGCGCGCCGAGTCGTCGAGGATGCTGCGTAGCTCGTTGCTCAGCATCATCGTCTGGATGAGCTTCACGTCGCAGAACTCAGGGTCCCAGTGGATGTGGGCGGTGCACACAAGGATCGGCTGGCCGAGCATCGACGAGTCGGTCGGTATACCTGGAAATAGTTATAAACAAAATAGTTGTGATTTTTTTTCTGGCCACGAAAACAGACACTGATCGAATGATCTACAAAAATTTACAGTTTAAATTTTCATCTTGAGTGTAGTAACTACCGCTATACATAAAAGTTAATCCCTTAATTGTAATAGAACGTTGTAAGGATTCTAATGGGTTTTAAACAGAGCTTCTTAGGCATGTATGTATGTATGCACATAACAGTTACTATGAACGTTGACAAAGTACAAAGTCTCCCTTGTGACCAAAATAGCAAAAATTATAGTCTTACATTGATGTCCAACGTATGACGATATTCGAAGAGCAGATCCGATGCTCGTATTATTTTATAGCTTGACTCAAAAACTGTTTATTTACATACGAACCGAAATTCTCGATAGATTTGGTTATTGAAGACAGAATTTTGACGTAAGTATTATCCGAGACAATGTCAAATACCTATTCGCTAGTAACCTAAGTAAGGCGATATATTAATAAGCGATTTTTTAAAACACTAAGCAAAATTAAATTTTGTATAAAAAGTTCGAAAAGGTCGTCGCCGCTGTGGGATTTTAATGTAAAAATATATAAATCTATAAAAAAATACTAAGTAAAATACTAATTTTGTATATACAATGTCAAGTTCGTATACAACGATCGAGTTAAGGGCGGGAATAGACCATGTTACCGTTCTCCCAGGCGGCCTCCTTGGTTTTCAAGAGTGCGGCCAGCCCGATGTTGTCCTTGGGCATGACGCGGTTGAGCATGTTGTCCGAGCCCTCGCTGTTCGCCATCGCGAGCTGATTGAATTCTATTAGGTGCTCCTTAACCAGAGCGAACCTGTTCAAATGAACGTTTATTTTTTTTTGACGCGTTTGGAAAAAATTAAAAAAAATTAAATTAATTAAAAATTATGAGTAAAATTTTTGTGATGCGCGCACCCACCGACTCTTAAAAGCGACATGATGCTTGTTAACCAATTTAATATTGGCAAGCAATAACAACTTTTTGACATTACCAATTGCGTTTGATGTCTTTACGCTAAAGTTTTATTTGAATAGTTGTCAAGCGAGCAGGTGGTTTAAATGTTATTAAGTGAACACCTATGGATATCTGCAATACTTGAACGCTGACAGTTGCGTTGACAAATTTTAAACAAGTGGGCCCTGGTAACATCTCTCATTATATTAAATAAAAATAGTATTGAAACTGGGAATATAATAAAATGAAACCAAAGAGTTAAGCATACAAAAATCCATAACCTTCAAGGAAAAAAGTAAAATACACACGGTATTCTACTTAAGTAGAGAAAGTATTCATAAATGCATAGCGCAAAACTCGAAAGTGGTTACTGGATCACCTGACAGGAACATTAAAAGTCACCTGTATCAAGCCACATCGAACAACTTATTAAGATATCTCAACTAGATCGATAAACATTTCGAGAAAATTCTGGTTAATAAACATAATAATAGTAAAACAGTTTCGACCTAAGCCTGGTCGTAGAACAATACAAATTGCCAATCGCATGTCTTACATACTTGGCAGATCTAAAAAAGATGGCGCATCCGTCGACATATTTCCTTTCCGACTCCGACATGGTCTTGGCGCGAGACTTTGGCGAGAAGATGCCGTCGTATCCATCCTGCTTGAGCTCGGGCAGAAAGAAGTTGTAGAACTGGTCTGTCTCCACTTCCTGTAAAAAGATCACAACCGTCACATGTCACAGTCTATTTTGAAAACGATTAACCTGTCGCTCGCTCAATATAACGTACTCGATGAGATATTTTTAATACAATAATGTATATCGTACGATTAAAATTTGTAGAAAAAAGGACGAAAAGTTTTTCGACGCTGCGGAATCGAACCTATCTTTTTCGAATTCTCGCTGGGACGGGTTAACTACTAAGCTAAGCGGTTGATTGCCATACTGAAGAACATTTCAACGTCTTTAATCTACATTGTGCTTTCGCATTTCAACCAATGCCTGGCGCATCTAATATTCTTTAAAACATACAAACAATTTCAAATTTCTCTTTACAACGATAATTCGAACGAGAGATTTCGCTATTACCATATAAAATTTAAGTCTTTATAGTGCTAATTTCTTCACTTAAAATGAAACATTAAAATTTGCAGAAAGACATGAAAAAAATAAACATAACTGCTGCCGATTTAAGAATAAGCCATCAGAAATAAACAAACTAAACTAGTCAAGTAACTTAAATCTACGACAACTACTTCAGTAATCGTTTCTTCTATAGAGGTGCGCCCGCACCAATCTCTCGGCTTAAAATCTCGCCGCTCGAGCTGCGAGCTCATAATCGAGCCGCGACATTGACAAAGCAGTCGTTTAATGGCAACGACACAATGCACCGCCGAGCGACTCCGGTTGAGCATTCCGGCGGTGTAATCTCGAGAGCACAATGCTCGTACTACAAGATTGCGTTGATTGAAAGGGTGCGCCGCGGACGAATGATTGCCGAGTGGTATATTGGACCGCACGTGACGACCGATGCTCGGCGCGATTAGGGATGAGCGGTTACGATAAACGGGGACGTTTTCGTGTCTTTTCCTTCTGGCGACTTGAATCGCAATTTACGTTAAAAATAATATTATGTGTATTACAATATAAAAAGTAAAGTAACCACCTATATATGTCCCATTGCTGGGCAAAGGTCTCTTCTGAACAGACATATCAGGGTATAGTCCAGCACTCGACCCCACTGCGAATTGGCCGAGGACGTATATACACATATGTTCGAAACATTTTTTTTGTTCTTATTTCGAAAATATGCAGGTTTCCTCATATAGCTTTCCTTCACCGTTGAGCAAGTGACAGACAAGTCAGCACTTAAAATTAGGTTTAGGTTACTCATCTATACAGATAAATAAAATTGGAGTGTCTGTTTGTAATATTCAAATAACCGCTTTTTACTAAATAAATATGGATGTATATACGGTACATATACCAAAATAACATTTCTTAAAATTTTTGTCTGTCTGTCGGTCTGTTTGTTCCGGCTAATCGCTGAAACGGCTGGACCGATTTTGACGGGACTTTTACCGGCAAATAGCTGATGCCATAAGGAGTAACTTAGGCTACTTTTATTTTAGAAATTTTATTTATTTTAAATTGCACGCGGACGAGGTCGCGGGGCACAGCTAGTCTATACATACAGATAAAAAAATTGGAGTGTCTGTTTGTAATATTAAAATAACCGCTTTTTACTAAATGCATATGGATGTATACACGGTACATATACCAAAATAACATTTTTTACAATTTTTGTCTGTCTGTTTGTCTCTTTGTTCCGGCTAATCTCTGAAACAGCTGGACCGATTAGGACGGGACTTTCACTGGCAGATAGCTGATGTAATAAAGAGTAACTTAGGCTACTTTTATTTTAGCTTTTTCTAATCTTTAAAATTCCGCGCGGACGAAGTCGCAGGCACAGCTACTATTACAATATAAAAGTACCTAGTTAAATGAGAAACGAAAATTTTGCGGATTTTATGGCGTTCGATATAGTTTTTAATTCCCAAAGTTTCGAAAGCTTCGAAATCATCACATAAGAGATTTATAAATTAATTTAACGCAACTATCAAATTATATAAAAGGTCTGTTTTAATTTCAGGTATTGGAAATTGAAAGTTCCTAGTCAATTGACCTACTACGTTAATCGTATGTTTTTTTTTTAGGTTTAAGATATTTACTCTCTCAAAAGATTTACAAAACAAATCACTTACAAATGTGTCGAAGCTAGTGGACTTATTATAAAAATAGTGATGGAATAAAAGGTAATAAAAAAAAAATAGATAAGAATTTGTACAAGAAGTGTGGTACGTTCTAATTAAGCGGTAATTATCTATATTCGAAATACAAAAGAATGTATGTGATATTTATATTGTATCGGGTTCGACGATAAATAAGCGCTTGCCTTTCTAACGACGAATACAAACAAAAATACATTGCTCGACATGAAAACTGTAATAAGAAAAGTTTGAATAAATCGAATTCAAATAGTCGATAAAATTCTGATTCTGTGCGTTTGTTGACAAACAGCAATGATTTGTCGCAATATTATGGAAGGGCTTTATGTTCCCATAAAGCCTTTGTGTTCGCTGCGTCAAAATCATAAATCTGCACATAAATAGAAATGTGGATATCGGAGCAAATAATACTGTGTTCACGAAAACCTAACAAAATTGTGCTTAAACGGAATGATATTCATCACGATATGAAATGTTGTTGTCATTCTGTTTGCAGCCGTAATTTTCTGATATGTTAAGTGAGATTTGTAATCATATTTAATGCGTAAATTGGTTAACGTTTAATACTGGTAGGGGTCTTGAATCATTAAATGTAAAAATCGTTGGTGAATGTATGGGGCGTTCCAAAACGGGTAGACCGATTTTGTTGACATTTTTCGGTAATTTTTTAACTATCCCAACGGCTGATCGACAGGTTTGGTAGCGATCTGATCAAAAATTTGTTTTGGATACATAAAAGTACTCCCGTGCGAAATGGTGCTGCCGGGGCGGGATGCTAGTGTCTAAATTGGTTCTGATCTAAAACATTTCATAACTATCCAATAAGATATCATTCGATATGAGTAACAAGGAGTAACTTATGCGAAAGGGAAGAGCAACAAAAAAGATATACGCCGGGTTTCTGAAACACTGATCATCGTAGATGTCAACTAATCAGCTGTCAAATGGCCTTTCAAATTTCATTTTAATGATCAGAGTTGCCAAAAGGATGGTTAAACTCTCTGAATAGACCAGAATGATCTTCATAATGATCATTCTGATCATTAAGAAGATCATTCTGGTCCATTCCACAGAATTATCATCGATAATGCTATAAATGGTCCAATATACAATACCTGTATGTATACAATCATGTATGTAAAAGGTTGATACGAAAATTTATTATTTCCACAGCCTGTCATTTCGCGTTGAGCATTCTCGGAACAACAACGTTCAATTTGCCAAGTCTCATTACGAAATTTTACACAATAAACAAAAAATGCAAACGTTACGTAAAACGATGTTCTCAACCAGTTTGCTTTAATGGGAAGGTTCAAAAAAAACTTGTTCGTGCCGATGTCGAAAATAAGTAACTTTCAAAGTGTTGATTTTATGATTAAATTGGCAGTTATTTCAGTTTGAACTGTCGTTATATAAACATAGCACCATGTTACATAAATGAAATAGAGCGAATAACGCCAGGTTTCTGAAACACTGATTATCGTAGATGTCAACTAATCAGCTGGTCAAATGGCTTTTCAAATAGCACTTGAGTTGCCAAAAGGATGATTAAACTCTTTGAATTGATCATTCTGATCATTAAGAAGATAATTCTGGTCAATTAAGAGAGTTTAACCATCCTTTTGGCAACTAAAATGAAATTTGAAAGGCCATTTGACAGCTGATTAGTTGACATCTACGATAATCAGTGTTTCAGAAACCGGGCGTTAAGTGGTTAGCATAAAGAAATACAGATTAAAAGAAAGTTTTATTTTAACACACGATAGTTTTTATCTCGTATCCCAGGAGAAGCCACACGTGGTGGGCGGTTATGTATTAAGTGTGTCTGTGGTTTGTACTTGCCTGCAAGCTTATGATGTCGGCGGAGTAATGCCTTATTTCGTCCAGGATCCCCTTCTTCCTGTAGTCCCACTCTAGCGCCCAGCTGGGGCAGTAGCCGTACATCTGCCGAGTCGCGTACTTGTCGCATAGCACGTTGTAGCACATCACTGTGAAAATGCCTGCACAAAAGAGAAATAAAACGTTTCACGTTAACTGTTAAGTAACGCAGCAATAATAGTCGACATAAATCATCATCTCTCATCGTCGCAGGTTGTCCGGGGAAGTACCACGACCTCTGCGTTTCTCTTCTCTTTTCTGCGTTACGTCTGGCGACTGAGGTAACCGGAGCCCACTATATTAAAAGGTGGCAAGGCATCTGCAACCCTACGGATGTTGCAAGTCTATGGGCGATGGTTACGCTTACCATCAGATGAATCGCCAGCTCGGTTGCCACTTTCTCACATTATAAAAATCTCTATCGTGGAACAGGCAATGTAGCCAACAGTAATCGCCGTTTAACTAAAAACTTAACTTTTTGATTAAGAAATGTTTTTTTTTTGCTGAACTTTGTCTTGAAAATTATATATTATGTAGTTTTTAGGGTCGGACCAGAAATAAATAAATAATAAAAATTTCTTGTTGTAGAGGTAATGTTTATATTCAAATGAAAAATTTGTTGGTATAGATTAACACGAAAAATATGACAAGTCAGATAACAAAGTCCTTCTCTAAATATTTTGAACTTGCTATATCTATAGCATTATCATAAATAAACAACGAGCGGTTTATTCATATCTGTACTAAGTGCGCATATGTAGTATCATTTAGGATGACGTAAGTTAAATTCCCGGCATATCAGCGTAGTGTCCGTGCCGACATAAGAATTAATACTCCTGTTATATCCTATATAATTTACCCAGTTTAATTTTGCCTTTTGAAAAACGCATTCGTATGTTTAAAATACGGAGGTCTAATTTTATATTTTCGAGTTAGGTAAAAAGGAAAGATATGTTTTGAAATACTTGGAGGGTAATACACGTAAAATAGAAATTTCGAGTAATATTGGGATATCGATTAATATTTGGGACTGAATACAAGATCTTTCAAGTTGTAGCTACTTTTAACTTATCGAGGTTCCAATGTATTTGGCAAATCATTATAAAGATGACGCGATGCGACTTTGATTATTTTATGAGGTTTTGGCACAATATAGTACCACACATGTACCACGAAGCATTTTTAAAATACTTAAATTAAACCGACTGATTTCAAAAATAACGCAGAATAAGGGGTCTGTCCTTTGTTTTTGTTGTTTCATATAAGAGAGCAAGCTGGCAACCGCGGCCATTTCAAATTGTTCAATTAAACCCAATCAAACCTGACTCACCAGAGCTGAACAGCTGTTTCGACTGGCGATCGATAGATAAGAATTCGGTAACCTGACGACCAACATCCAGTAATGGAGAGACATCGAAGAAGAAGAATTAAAACTAGACTCTCCAAATGTCACTCACTAAACATCAGGTGAGCCTCCTGCTCTGCTGATGTTTTTTTTTTATATGAAAAGTTGCCAAGCGAGCAGGTGGTTCACCTGATGTTAAGTGAATACCACCGTCCATAGACATCTGCTACACCCCCTTTGAAAATTGGGCTCCGGCTACCTCGCTCACCAGGCGAAACGCGAAAGTATTAGTTATACTTCCACTTTACGCCGGTCTTCTGTGAGGTCGTGGTGCTTACCCGGACGAGCCTGCCCTTACGTACAACAGCCGAGGCTCCTGCGTGGCCCTACCACCGTTCCGTTTGTTTCCGGCTTGTTGGAAGCAACGGTGTCGTGACCGAGCTCTTCGTTTCGCCATAATGAAGACAGCTCTTCGCTTTCATCCCCCCTCCACGGCGGTTAGGGAAATGAGCAGTTCCACAATCGCGTTAGCGCCCCACGGGCGAGTCGTGTGGAGTGCATTAGGATCATTGGCAATGACGAGGGAGCGACGTAAACGGTCGCTTATGCGGGCGCTGACGTACCGATAACTGCGCTCATTATGCGAGCCCTAAACGCGGCGCCACCACTGCAATTTGCCGCGTTGCAGGCGGAGAGTGCGGCATACGCGGAAACGGTTATTACCCTCGAATTAGTTCTATGATGGCAGGTGTAAGCGGAAACGGAGCCGAGGCACGTATGAATCTGAGGTTTACGTTAAACGTTTCCTTGATCTTTGAGAGGTTTGTGCATGTTAGGCGTTTGTTCAACTTTCAGAAACGTTACCCGACCATCACCCCTAACGTTAACTCCATTCTCTAGTCCCATTACCCGTTCGTGTATCGATCTGCAACATCTCGCTGTACGGCTCCTTTTTATCAACTCAATGGATGTCCGCGACTGTACCATTGATGCAACTATCGAGGTTCAGACGCTATCGAGGTTCAGACGCTACCGATCGCGAATACTTGACGGACAGGCGCTGGCTGAGTCGAGGCGAGACCGTTCCGAGAGGATGGCGGCTGGAAGGACAGGACAATGCCGTCGGGCGAGCAGCGTAGCCGCGCTCGGGACAAATTGATAAGCATCACGATGTGGCCCCTCCACATGCCGATTGCCCGATGGACACGCGAACAGCGTCACCTAGCGACACGCGATCAATAGCGGCACGTGCCATCAGGCATTGTATTCGCGACACGTAGCCCCTTTACGCGGCGCACATGCCAATCCCGATATCGTCGCTATCGAAACAATACGCGTCGCATCGCTAATCGACGGCGAAAGCCCGACGCCCAAAGCGCCGCGCGTTGTTAATAAAATGGCGACGTTGTCGAACATGTTTAGGACGCGTGCGCCTTCGTTAATCGAAACTGAAACGGCGAAGGCGAACACGAACGCGACGGGATGATGACATCGTACGTGCACGAGGCGGCAACAATGCGGGAAGGTGACACGGGAACGTAGGGCCGTCATCGTAATATTTTTTTATGTGAAAAGATGGTAGACGAGCTGGCGGTTCACCTGATGCTTTATAACCGCCGCCCATAGGCCCCGTTCTGCAGCTCCGGTAGGGTTGTAGATACCAGAGCTATACTTCACTCACCAGTCGAAACAGAAGTGTTACAAATCCACTTCACGCCGGCCTTTTGTGAGGTCGTGGTGCATCTCTGGACGAACTTGCCCATTCGTGCAACAGCGAAGACCGTTGCGTGGTCCTAGCGCAGTTAAAAACGGCCCGTTGCTGGAGCGTGGGCGAAATGATGGATCAGTTGAGACAAGCACAATTGGATCGTGGACTGTCTGAAGAGGAATGAAGCGGTAAAAAGGGGCAATCGGATGGGGTGCGACGGCGGATGTCGAGCTAGATGGCTAACTGCGAGTTGTCGTCATTTTTTATGCACTTAGCGGTCTGTCGTCATGCCGGCGTACAGACGCGTCCAACGCTTCGTGTCTCAATCGTCAAACGTGGCGTTGACAATCTAACAAATCAATTCTAATTGAAAAGCTAATGCTTCGTAACACATGTTCGAATGTAATGGGTTAATTATAAAGATGCGGAATTGATTCTAAACTGTTTAACTTTTTGACGAACCAATTGGCGTAGTGGATAGTAGTAGTGTCTCTTCCAAGAGGATGTAGGTTCGATCCCCGCTACATGAAAAATTTTGTGTGATGAACATAGTGTTTTTCTAGAGTGGGTGTTTATATATCTATAATATACAAAAATAGCGTTTTTAAAAAACATATCCCTCAATATTTATTTACTTATATTTGACGTTTATATTACCAATGGGTTATATAAAATACTATTTTTCTCTCTTACTTTAGGATAAACACCCAGATGCGAAACAACTATCTGTGGGTAACATAAATAGTTGTCCCGTGTGGGAATCGAACCCACGACCCCCGACGCCAAGGCAATAAATACCTTGGCCACTGCGCCACGGAGTCATCAAATACTATGATAACAATAAATAAAAATATTTCTTTTGCTATTCATGTAAGTACAATCAAGAAAAACCGGCAAATTCGACACTGGCCACGCAACCCTCGTCCACTATGATGTTCTTCCCATTTATAACCTTCAGATTTGTCTGCCTCATTGAGTTTTAAATAATTCAAGCGTTCATTAGACAAGGAATCGATAGCGTTAGCGGTCTTCGGTCACGCTCACGCAATTATTTCTTATATCAATACAATTAGTGAGCGATGGTTTTTTTTAGCCGTAGCTTAACCGCGGCTCATTAGAGACGATTTGAGCGTTGGTTCTACTTTTGTGTCGACTATGATCCGTCGGCGTTCGGTCATAGACCGCAGTGCGGGCGGTGTGACGTAAGGACTCAATAGGTGTTAACAAGAGGTTGTTAGTGGGAGTTGAACGCGGGTTCGGGCCAGTTGCTGTCCGCTCGGCTCTATTGATTTCACCTTCAGCTGATGGAACGGTATCGTGCGATTTTCTCGTTCGCTAATTGAAGTATCACCTGTTTTTATCGAATCGAATCTTGTGCCATATTTTTTTATCGCCAACTGACGAGCAGACAGAGACCACGATAACATCTGACGTCAACTAGTCATATAGTTAATTATATCATAGTTAGTTTTTATTATAGTAGCGATATAGGAACATACTCAGTCTAGTGCCATTTAATTTCTGAGACCAAAAGATTGCACAGAAACTGTTTTCAACCGCCTTCATTCGTTTGAAGGTTTTAGTATTAAATTTTATTTTAAGCACAAAAGAGAGTTCGAGCTTTGAGTACTTTTTTCGGAAATTAAAAAGGAATAGCTGTAATAACTTGTGTGTACAACAAAAATAAAAAGACCGGAGTCCGGAGCATTAAATATCAAAGCTTATGGCGTGTACTGCTTGATTACTTTTCTCTAGGTTAACTTAGAAAATTAATAAATGCAAAACGTAATTTATGTATTTAAACGTCCTCACAACAAAGGATAATGATCCAACTGTGCCAAGGGGCACTATTAAAAAGAAGAGATTAACCGCAGATTTTTGTAAGTTTTACCCTGGGCGAATGAAATAATTTCAATTCCTTAATTGGTAGACCGTTTTGACGTTACCGATGGCTGGAAAATTCCTTAAATTGCAATAAAAAAACTACTTCGATCGAAAGGGAAGCCGAAACGGTACAAACAACCATATTAAACCATGTGCCCAGCAATGGACGCGTGACAATAATAGCAGTAAGGTGGAAAAACAAGGCAATTTATCGCGAGAAGCAGCTGTGTGACGCCAATGCGGACTTCTCGGTACGACGGCGGCGATTTGCATAAGAAAAGCCGTAATTACGGCGAATCCAGTCATTACATCGATTGGTGGCTTCGACGGCCGACACAACACGTGGCTCTGTTCGTATGGGACATCGGGCATCTGTTGAAGGCTGGAATAAAAGAAACGATTTATAAAACAAGACGCAGAAACGATTACTGGAAAGAGCCCCATTCCGGTATTGATTAATAAATGGAAAATAAAACGCAACAGGAAAAAAAAACGAAGTCGAGTTCTTTCCTGATTATCAGGTCTCACAACTCTTACAATCGTGGTGTGACAGAAAATAATACATTAACTTTTTCCCTCGAAATCCCATCACGTGGCAGCTAACAAGCTTTCCCCTATAAAAAGGATACAGTTGTGATGCAAAGATTTTGTCACATAAGACACCTGAAAATCTAGAGCAAATGGAACCATCCGTTTTCGTTGACATACTTGCTTAATTACTGACTAAGATCGTGATATTATACTGCCAATCAATGTTGTTACAACGACGACATACTGGCTTCCATCGTGCCTTCACGAAGTATAAATCACATGACAAGTATAGACTTTAAGATTATTAATGGGAATGATTGCCTGTACGTCTGTTCCCATTCCACGCCGTTATCGCCAGAAAGGACTTGAATAAATTTGGAACGGACTTAGCTTACGCGTTCGTTTAACAATTTCACCTCGAAAAAGAATCACGCACACAAATATGCGGGTAGTCTTGTGTGAAATAACTCCGGTGAGGGCTGTTATATATTGTGAGCGCTTATAGTGGTGAACGTTTGGCTAAAAGCCGGATTAGTGAGGTAATGGGCAGCGGTTGAGGCCCGTTGAGAAATCGCTTTGGGGTTCACCAGCTGACCGCGCGCGTATGCATCACGCTACAGAGGCGTTCGAAATTCGAACTTGCCCTATAGTAGGTATAAGGCGAGAAACCGGTACGAGATTCATGAATGCACATTAATCAAAGGTATACGCAAATGCAATTAATACCATGTCGTTGTGATGACTGATAAATTGCTAAAGGTATTTATGCAGTTCTGTTGCGATGTGATTAACTGTTGAATTGATTTAATAGTATAATAAAAGCCACGGATTGGAAAAATAAAAAAATGTAATAGTCGTATTCTTAGGCTGTTCAAGTTCAAGTTCAAGCGGCCCTAATAACAACTAAGTTGGGACAGAAAGTATGCGTAACTTTTTTTGTTGACGTAGAGGAAATGTCTCGCGGGGGGATAAGAGCGGGCTATGTCGGACTCGCAACAACTAAAACCCCCCGATATTTTAGTGTATGAGTAATAAGTAATAACCGATTACAGTTAGCTTAGTCTGTGTCAGTGAGCGGTTAATGTCCCATAGAAATTAGAAAGGAAGGATTTGAACTTACAACAACGTATCATTTTAAACCTAAAGGGACAGTGGAGTAGGAAAGAGATATTACACTACTTATCGACGAGCTTATTAATTACAGAAATCTGGCAGATGAGCTTCATTTTCTTTTCATGTAGGACGAGTGTTGAAACACACACCTACACTCGTGCTTACCATTGGCATTCAAGCTAGCAATATCGGGCCTCAAGTCCGTCTTGAAAGACCATTTTCTTTTATGAAAAGTCACATGTTAATGCTACAGAACAAGAATAGTGATAAATTTAAAACATATCCACCCTGAAACTTACAAATTGGCCGCCCTCACTCCTCGCAAAAAAAAACCTCTCTTTTACAACATATAACTTCCATTATTATTAATAATATTGTGTGTTTAATACGTGGATAATGTAGTGGGGGCTGCAATATTATTACTACACCAAGGCAACAGATCTGTTTATGTCATATATTGTAGCTGTTTGTTATCCCCAATAAAATAAAATAAAAATAACCATTCCCATATAGACGTCAACGCGCGCACCTCTCTTAACGGAATACAACATTATTTAGCGGATTACGAATACGCCGCGCGAGCTCGGTCGGTGTCGCGACGAGGTCGGCAGTGGGAGACAAAAAAGGCATACACGACCGTCCGCGGCCGTGTCTCATCTGAATATAATGGCTCGCTCTCGGAGCGGTACGTGCGCGCCAACGCGACACGAATGGAGCGTACGAATCGTTCGTTCGTATCGTGTAGGTACCCGCACGTGGTGCATGGCCAGGTCGAATGTTATATTATCTGTGGCGACGCGTCCCACGTGGATAGGCGCATCGCATCTCAGCTGTAAGATTACTTCCCCAATGGAGAAGTCGCGCTATCGCTATACAACTGTCTGCGCTGTTGCACGAATGGGCAGGTCCGTCCGGATAAGTACCACGACCTTGCAGAAGATCGGCGCGAAATGGAAGTGTTATACTTCTGCGTTTCGTATGGTAAGCGAGGGCCCATTTTATTAGAAGGTGGCAACGCGTCTGCAATCCTACTGGTGTAGCTAAATTCAATAGACGGAGGTAAACACTTGAGAAGCTAACTGACGTGTGACGACATATGTATGTCAACTGAACTTTACAATTTGTCAAGGCAAATTACGATTCTAAGGAACTTTCGTTGACCGACCAATAAGTTATATTTAACGTCTTTTGCAAACTACAAGCGCTTCACAATTCACCGTAACTTGATTTATTAAGTTGTTAGCGCTGGCTAGGTTAAAATTACAAGCGATCGAGAACGCGGTCTACCGCAACGATCTTCATCGAATTAAGGAAATTGTGGCGTGTCGTTTATTTATATCATTCTTAGGGTAATGCGTGGATCTATTGGATAGAACCACGCAGCAGCTTTAGCTGTTGTATGAGACGGCCGACTCTACCTGGGAATTGCCACGACTTCACTCGATTAAGAGATTAACGCCGCCCATGGAAATCTGCAACACCTGACGGGTGACATATGCACTGACAAACATTAAGAAACTTGGCTCGGTCGCCTTCCTTCACCCTACTTCTTATACTTCGAATACTACCACTTCCGGTCTTCTGAGAGGCCGTGGTACTTTTTTATGTGAGAAAGTGGCAAACGAGCTGGCGATTACGTAATAACCACTGCCCAAGGACATTTGCAACACCCGTAGAGAAGCAAATGCGTTGCCACGTTTAAATAAAGCGGGCCCCGGCTACCTCACTTACCAGACGAAACGCAGAAGTTCTAACACTACTTTACGCCGGTCTTCTGTGAGGTCGTGGTACTCACCCGGATAGACCTGCCATTCGTGCAACAGTGAACACTGTTGGCATGGTCCTACCACAGTACTTACTCGGACGAGCCTTCCCATTCGTGCAACATCAAAAGCTGCTCCGTGGCGGCAATAATTACTTTGGTTATACCTTCCCATGTAAACAAAAAATAAAAAAATTTGCGCATTTAATGCGCGCAGATACCACGAAGATAGCTCGCATTAAATCCGATACCAACAGCCGGTCGATACGATATGGGCGAGATAAACATTGTCATTTTTTATTAGAATCACCATCGCGCGAGGCCAACAAGCTAACGGCCGGGCCACATCGATCATTTTAATTTATTTAATTCCAAAAGATCCCTACACAGGTTACAGATGATTTGCATACAAACACGAATGAACACACACTACGTAGCGTCGCATGATAGCAGGGCCGGATTTAGAGGTCTGGAGGCCCCGGGGCAACAAAGGAGTGGGGACCCCATGGCCCCAAATTATTTTCCAAATAAAATGAACATTATTTTTCAGTCGAGTGTTCCAATAAATAATTTATTGTGAAACCAAGTGTATTTCTTTTATTATTAAACGAACATTACAATTAAAGAATATATATGTAGGTCGATGATTTCTGTTAATATTTAATGTTATCATGTTTGTACAAAGTACTGTAGGTAAAAGGTAAAACGCGGTAAAAAATATGAAAGGAAAAGTTGTGTCTGAATTTGAAATTTTTTTTCCGAAGTCTCTGTTGAGGGGGCCTCTCTGTTGTGGAGGCCCCGGGGCTGTAGCCCCGGTAGCCCTCCCCTAAGTCCTGCCCTGCATGATAGATTGGAACAATGGGGGTGAAACGGGCGACCGGTGGAGCGCGCGGCGCGGCGCGACAATTTAAATCGAATGATAAAATTCACAAGACACGTTCGAGATCGGGCATACGGGGCCCGTTTTTAGATGCGAGTGTAAACAATGGACGGCCGGTGCGGATCGAAAAGGCAATAAGATCTCTCGTTGCATTCGACGTAGGGTATTCCGATGTGGGATTAGTTGCATTGCATTGTGCAATAAATATATCCGCGCAAGGTGCGAATACGTTGCGACTAGGAAACGCATACGTAAATCTAATTCTCAAATTGTATTACTAGTAGAAAATTACATGAATAATCAAATCAAAATAAATGAAACTTCTTTTTTGCATCGGCTGACTTGTTATTTACCCTTTATTATATTAAGTATATCAAAGTTGACTGTCTATACATGTGCCAGCGGCACCGCTGGTAATGAGTTATTTAATTTAAAATACATGTATCAATATTTCTTTGCTAAACGCTTTTTAAATACAGATTGAAGTTGTACCCCGACATACAATCATCAAAGGTTAATGTTTTTTCTGTCGTTATAAGAAACACAAAAACAAAAAACATTTCTTACATTCAAGTAAATGCATTAAATCGATAAACATCTACATAATTAATCACAAGGGATTGATGTCCTAGCTGCTGAATAGGTTTATTTATCAACCAATATCTGTTTCGACTTCCGTGGAAAAGTCAATAAATACCATCTTAGCTCCGTGTACTGTGGACATGACACTTGGACACTTGCAACACCCGTACACGGTAGCAGATGTGTTGCCGCGTTTTAATAAAGTGTGCCCGGCATACCTCGCTCGCCAGACGAAACGCAGTAGTGTAACACTTCCACTTCGATGAGGTCGTACTACTACCCCGGATGGACCCGCCCATTGCAACAGCGTAGGCTGTCGGAATGATAAATACAACACAATCCTACTTTAATGACCTTCGCTTTTCCTCGAATGATGTTTTCGCACCAACCTATTCGGATAGGAGTACTTACCAGCCATATGTAGTTTAATGGTCACCATTAGGTGCTTATTTAATCGAGACAATGAGTCGCTCGAAGCTCCCAATACCGACAGACATTACGCCCATATATAAGAACAATCGGAATACGTTTAGCGTTGCACTGGACACTAAAGTTTAATTAAAACAACAATTACAGTTAATGCTTATTCTTACCTTTAACTACTTGACTCTAATGCATTTGGGTCTTAAAACATCTCGTATTATTTTTGATCCGTTCGTTATGAACGAGATTTATCTTTTGCCAATAAACAATAAAACTAAACAGTTCTCCCATAAGACCTATCTTCATTTCCTTTAAAAAAACAAATTAATCTACTGTAGGATATAAATCCGTAACCGTTCTGAGGTTTTACAAACAAAACTAAAATTCGGAGAAACACCATGATCAAGATCTGTGTGTGAATTATCTGTAGTACATACAAGTACACTCTCACGTAAGACACGAAACCAGGACCTACGGCGCCGAATACTATAAACCACAATCCATCGATCAATGTTACACAAATTTATAGTGTAACTAGCTGACCCGGCAAACGTTGTTTTTCCATATAAATTATGTGTAGGGTAGAAAAAAATGTTTAGGGTGGACCACCGTTAACATTTAGGAGGATGAAAAATAGATGTTGTCCGATTGTCCACCCTGGCCGATATGCACACAAAATTGCACGAACATCGGAGTTCAATTACAAACACCGTGACACGAAAATTTTATATATTAGAAGATAATGAAATTCTTTCATCTGTTATGTTATGCATTTAACAACGTGCTTTACATATTAATCTGTGTTAGTCGTTAAATGAACCGCCGTTCATTATTCTTATTGCATTAAGTAAGTGTCTAATTTTCGATGACTCCGTGGTGCAGTTGCCAAGGTATTAGCTTCGGCGGGAGTCGTGGGTTCGATTACTAAACGGGACGACTTTTGTTTGACCCGCAGATAGTTGTTTCGCATTTGGCTTATTGTCCGCGTGAAATTTATGTTTTTAAAAAGTCCTTACAACACAGGATAATGTTATCTTAAAGTAAGGGCAATGTTTAAAAAAACAAATTTGAATAGAGATAGACTGTATGTCATTCAGCACGGTATACTTTTTGTCCTATATATTGTCTAATTTCGAAAAGGGCCGCGTGGGCGGAGTCGCAGGTGAATACTAATCAAACATAATCCGAAGCATTTAAACCAATTATGCTGTGGGCCGACGTAATCTCCCGTGTGATCCGATAAACACCTGGCCCCGCTCCACGTCCCCCCCCCCCCCCCCCATCTCCCACCACGATCCCCGCAATCGATTAACTTTTTTGTTCGCGTCCGCTTCACGCGTGCAAAAGGCGATCACGCCTCGAGCGACACCGGCGGATGTACCTAGTGTTTGTTTTCGCCCACGAGAAAACGCCTCTCGTCTGTCCCGGGCTAGCCAGCGGCTCTCGTTTTGTTCAAAAATCGAATAGCTAAAAGCTTTACAAAAGGAAGGGCTTCTTACTTCTGTAGCATTTTTTTATGTTTTTTACCTCAGAACGCCGCCCACAGGTAACCGATTATAAAAAATTTTTTTGCATGGGATTCTGTGTACTTCCCATGTGGTCCCATATTTCACCTTGGACTTTAGAAATATATCGGGAAGCTTTAGAAATATATATACCTCAAAATCAAATAGAACATGTATAGTGAGTGGCATATTAGAAGTCCGTTTTGTTTCTCGTAATTAAAAATGTACTTGTCATGCTGAAGAAATCTGACGACTGAAAGGGCTATTTAATTTTTTATAAAAGACATTTAAAATTTTTAGTAAGTTAACATACAATTAGTACCTTAAGTTTGGATGTTCACAAAAACGGTAATCACCCCACATCAGGTGAAGCGCCTGCTAGTTTGCCAACTTCTCTCGCTCCCTCATAAGATTACAGGAAAAGGAAGAGAAAACGAATTTCCAATCAGAAATAGATGGCATCCAGTCGGTTCCAGGCAACCTGCAAGATCGTCGCTCCAACTTGCCTGAGGGCATTCTACACTTCGTTTCCCGAGTGTCGAGATGTCGGTCAGTTTAGTTCTCTGTCGAATCATCTCATTCCGGAGACAATCCTTCAGAGTAAAAGTAACGTGACTTCGTAACTACAGCCTAAATGATGTTCTTATAATTAAACAATAGCAACGATTACATATTCAACAAATCAAATACCATCTATGTCAGTGCATTGTTATAATAAACGTATATAATTATAACCTTCATTTCAGCCGTTGAATGTATGCATGAGACATGGCATCGTTGTATCGTAAGCGATAACCTACCAACCTGCCACTACGTGCTAATACCGAGGTCCGAATATAGTCAACGGGTGGCTTTGTAGGCGCCAGATGCGGTGTTCACGCCGTATTAGGGGAAATGCTTGAATTTATATGTGAGATATTAACTTAATAAAACGGGAAATTATTGCTAAAAGGGTTTCTCTTTTAAGCAGTTAAAGATAAACTAGTAGACCAGTGCGTTATACTCACAGTACCGTGAGCAGTGATCGAATGTTAACAAATCAATATGTCTTATATATAAAAATGGATTTCTGTTCGTTAGTCTCGCTAAAACTCGACAACGGCTGGACGATTTGGCTAATTTTGGTTTTGAAATATTCATGGCAGTCCAGGGAAGGTTTAAACGATGGGAAATTATGGGTAAAATTGCATGGAAAATCGAAATAGCAACAATTTTATTTTCCCATACAAACTGTACCTGTCAACCTGTCAATAGATTTTTGAACGCGTTCCGATTCCTAATAGAAATAATTTATATGGCAAAACAACGTTGGCCGAGTCAGCTAGTTTATCAATAAAAAAGAAACATTAAACATTCTAAGATGTTTTCAAACGAAAGTTTTTTAAGCAAGGATTAACTTTATTTCATTTGTCTACATAATTATACAGTAATTACAAGCAAAAACCTTTGGTTAGGGTTAAAGTAAGAAACCCTTGCTTAATAAGTAATGAAATTATGTAGTACGTACTTGAGAGTGACCGCGCTCGATTGGCCTACAAAGTGTTACATTTAATGAGATAGCGATGGCCTTTTAAATAGTAACAAGATGCCAATAAAGGCAATAGAGTTTGTTGATGGCCACTGTGAATAGTAATTCATTACGGTCAAATACTAACTGTAAATATTTCTTGATAGTCGAGGTTTACTTTAAAACATCAATATGAATACTTACATGAATAAAATATTATTGTCACTCGCCAGATATTGTTTTGTTTTACTAATCACTATTGTACGATATACGGATACATTAATATAAATTTTCAGAATTTTACACATAGTATTTATGATATTACTAATATTATTAATTTTTCACATAATACGTCATCCAGCAAGAATGTATTAATAACTTAAATATGTCAATGCTAATAACATTTAACTTTTAGTTTAAAGCCTTTACCACACAATTTACTGCGAGTTAATAAACATTATAGGTCCCCCGAGTGTAGAAGACAGTGTAATTCCCTCAGTTCAACGCCGCGGATGGCGCAGAATCCATGTTTTAATTATAGGCAAAATGGTGCCTCGGGTACCGTCTTCAACTATCTGTTATATTGAAATTTTATATTAAATTTTTACAGCGCTAGTCTCTGCAATTATGATGAAACTTATAAAAATGAGGGAAAAGGTTTTTTTTCGCCACCGTGGGAATTTAAACAGAGTCCGCACACTGAAATTGTTCGTGGGCTATAATGACATAATGATTAATGCACCAAACTTTGCTTAAAATGCGAAGAGAAGAATGTAAATCACCGAAACAAGTTAAATAGAAGCATTTCCAAGGTTTAAGGTAAACGATGCGACTAACAACGATTAAATTTACTAAACGTGTTGTAGACCACATAAACACAAGAAGTAAAGAAAAGGTAAAAACTTAGACTCGATAGATATCGAAAGATAAAAAAGAAAGAAAGGTAAAAACTTAGACTCGATAGATATCGAAAGATATCTATCGAGTCTAAGTTCTTTAATCGCTACACTCTTGTAACAACACAGTTCATGAGTAACGTAAACGAACTTTTAAATAACTAAAATTGAAACGAATAAGAATAACAAGAAAGATATATAAGAAAAAGGAGAAAAAGAACAGAGGGTAGCTAACGACACCGGAAACGCAAGAAGGAAGGCAAACAGAACAAAGCAATAGCCCGAATAAAACACAAGGCGGCCGATAGATACAATTCATTTGGGCCGGCATAGAAATCGGAAAGAGACCGATCAAGGATAGCAATAGCGACAGGTTCACGGATGCTATGAGGTCGCGCAGCCCGCTGCCTCGGGCCCATTGTCCATTGTTCGGCCGCGGGCGCCGATACGAAGGGCACTTCCGCGCTTTCCGAGCGGGCCGACCGTGAGCCGCGACCCGTCCCACTAGAATGGTGGCCGCGCTAATTGGCCGAAACCGGGGCTCACAACATTCCCCAATCGTACTGTCGACGTTGGACATTCCTCGCCGATTGTGCGACCCGGGGAAATTAAAAGAAACCGGCCAAGTGCGAGTCGGACTCGCGCACAAAGTGTTCCGTATCATTATGTATAAAAACGGTAAACAAAATCATATCTGTGGTATGGGAGCCCCAATTAAAACTTTATTTCTGTTTTTCAGCAGAGCATTGAACCGAGGGCGAGGTGCGATTCAAAGCTCAAACTATCTGGCTGGTTTTTTAATAATGTGTCCTCGCTTTAGGGGAAAAAAAAAAAATGTTGATAGCACTCGAAACCGTTTTACCGCCTACTGATTATTCTATCTAAAGCTTTTCACTTGACTACCTTCGGACACCTAAAATACCCCTTAGGTTTGAAGGTACTAGGGGTTTAAGAGGCTAGATTTCGGTTGGCTCACTTACTAGACGAACGTCCAAAGTAAATAACTACGCCGGATTTCTGTAAGACCGTATTGGTACTTTCCCAGTAGAGCCATATAATAGAAGAAGTTGCTTTGTGGCACTGCTATGGTTTTTCATCTTCTAGAAACATGAAAACGACAATAAATAATTGACTCTTATCTCCCACATCTGTGGAGCTAAAAAGCAAGGGAAGACAGAAAAACAAACAGATTAAATAAAGAAATTAACGTAAACACAACCAACACGACATCTCCGGGTGACGGCCAATATTCCGAGGCAGTGATTGCGGTCACGTAATCGTGAACGGTAAGAGGAGAACGGTCCGAAGTTAAATAGCTAAATGGTCGATCGAGCGGAACAATTTACATACGCGTATTTTTTGCCCAAGCGCAAGACGTAATGGAACGGGCGCGCGAATACGTGATTCGCGATGGCAACTCAATTTAGCAACCGTTCAGTGGAGACGTCTACATTGCTCCGAAATTTTCCAACGGGCAGAAAGGTGCGGCGATCTCCGATGGTCATCGATGATGAGCCAATCATCCCGCTTTTAAAAGTAATATCATCAACTCGCCGTAAATTTCTATTTTACTTTGTTAGAGTTAATCCGTGATACCTCAGTGCCTGGGCGATTCAATACACTCGAGCAAACGGAGTTAAAATCCCAATTAAATTGTTATTTACAATTTTGAGTTTGCTAATTCGTGGTAGGGCGGCATGATATACCATGCCCTAATACTCTATTTACAGAGGAGACCTTTCAATAGTAGCGGAGCATATACAGGATCTTGGTTTATTATACTTTAATGGTGTCTCGGTAAACATTTATATTTTGGACCAAAACCTTACAGAGACAATTCTGCTGTTCTTTTTATTTTTTCTTTAACAACAGCAATCGCGCACCAATAAAACAAATACAGAAATAGTCCCTTGCAAATGAGCAAAATGGACCACATTAATCTAATGGTCCAATGAATTGCGAGGCCAACTTGTCAACGGCGAGATATCATCAGCATACAGATGTTCGTATGTTTTCAATGCGCTTGGGTAGCTCGCGATAAAATAACGCTTGCATGCGGAGTGAGTAGAGCCACTTTTATGCGATTTAGATAGCCTATAAGAGCCGTGATAGCTCAGTGGCTGGGCGCTAGCTTTTAATTCAATATACTCGAGCACCCTGAGTTCGATCCCCGGTGTCGGCACCAATGAAATTGTTAATTTTAAGTGCTGAATTATCATGTGCTCTGTGAAGGAAAACGTCATTAGGAAACCTGCATATTTTCGAAATAATAAAAAAAAAACATTTCAAAGATATGTGAAGTCCGCCAATCCGCAGTGGGGCCGCGTGATGGACTATGCTCGGTACAGAGGAGGCCTTTGCCCAGCCATGGGATATGTATAGACTGATACTTTACTTTTTTTTTAAATATTCCAACGTTCATTTCGCTTCGGGTCTAAAAAAAATATTTCCCAGGATATTTTATTTATTATGGAGTTTTAACAGCATGCAAAAAATTTCTTACTATCAGAGTTTATGTAAACGAGTTTCTTTTTTTAACGATCGACGTTAATTAATTGAAGGCGGCGAAACAAAACATAAAAAGCTGGTCGGGGGCGGTGTTGATTTATGCTTCTCGATACGCGTCTTAACGGTAAAACAAATTGGCTAAGTTAAAGGATAATTAAAGGCGTAATATAAAAACATGCATTAGGGGCAGAAATAACGAGAACAATAAAAAAGTCACGTAGAGAAACGGATCTAGGCTTCTGTCCAGCATATCTGTTAATCTTACGAGAAAGACTAAACATACTTATGATCCTAGCATATAAATTACAACCCACAACATCTAAATGTAAAATAAATGGACATCAGAATCAGGAAACAATGCAATGCTATTCCCAGTTCAATGTTTTTGAACTATTATTAATCAAGGTCTTGTAGATAGAAACTAAATGTATTGTTTTCTTTTTACTAAAATAAATTTTGTTTATGACTTAACACTATACTTTAAAACAATATGCCCAGAGCGTTATAATAGATTGTTTAAACTTTATATACACAGAACACTGCTAAGTCATCGTTGGTTATACGGTAGGTTGAGTAAATTTTTCGAAAATTGTCTGTGCTTCACTTTTAGCTGTCGAGTGTACAAAAATATAATTTACAACAGCGGTGCTAGCATGCATCCCGAAGTAACCCCACAATATTATTCCCGTTGCGATAGTGAAGCGGACTCTGCTTGATTATTTATGAGATGAGCCGCGTGCGCCGTGCCCATTTATGACAATATGACACATTATGAATGCTAAATTATTGCGAACTGGCTCATTATAGCTATTAAATGTCAAACTAAAAAAGTCTGTTACATTATCAAAGCCTGTGAGTTTTTTTTTTATTAAAAGATCCCCATTATTAATTTCATTAAAAAGTTCGCATGAACTTATAGTACATGATACTTTTTTTATCACAAAAAAAATCCAAAAGTCGATTAAAATTAAATCTATTTGTGGAAGTAAAAAATATTAATACTCACAAGTTGGACGCGTTCTATTTGGTCGCGTTAATGGAATCCAAGGCCTCTGTGGTGGTAAAGTCGCAGTTACTGTAACAAAAAGAAAAACAATGTAAGTACAGAACCTAAAAAATTAATCACCTTACCACAAAACACGGGAGGTGAAAACTTATATCTGTGCAAACAATGAAATGAATTGATTATTTTCCACGAAAAAAGTAAATAAATCATTTGCGATCATCTCTAACAAAAACGGGTTGTTATTATAATGAAATCGAGAATCGTGCGTGTTTATCCCAGGATGTAAATTTATTTGCGACAGAGTTCTTCGCAATCAGCTATAGCGAAAATTAATAATGTCGATTGTGGGACAAAAAAATTCCATTACTTTTAAGTCGTTCACTCGTTGGTTTTATCTATTGGCATGGTCGAATAATCAAGAATCTATAAAGTATAAATTATAGATCGTTTTAAAACGGTGTAAAAGGCGGAAAAAACCACTTCGTATCCAATGATCCGATTGGAGTTACCGTCATCGAAACGGTATTAGAACAGCATTGCTAATAAATGTACAAAAAAGAAAATAATTCAGCTGGCGCGTCGAGACCAAAAAAAGACTAGTATGTATCCAGCTGTCAAATGATTCATATAATACCGTAACGCGATGAGGAGATGAGTTCTGATGAATCCCGATATAATAGATACATCGCGAACGTGTCACGAAAATTGAAATGGCCGTAACTAATAGGAGAGGTTGAAAAAGTGATCCGTCAATGAGAAAAAAAAAAAAACACAAGACACACGCGCAAAAAAGATACTTGCGAACGTAGCCAGTTCATCAGCATGCTTGTATTGTTAGAGTAAATTAATCAACAACCGGACCATGTCATGCCTCTCATGGAGGACCGTAATTTTTCATGCTATTCAAAGGAGCCGAATAGATAAGATGTTTGACAGTCCGCTAATAGCAATAGACTTGACGCAATTTTATGCCGCAGCCCTGTGATATTTTATTTCTCCATCGTTAAACGTAATTGACCATCATCGAGCCATAACAGCGCGAGGACTTCGCTTTAAGCGGATATTAGTCACCGTAGCACTTGTTTATGTAATGCGAGCATAAGCCAAGAAAAGGCCTGAGACCATTTGGTCCCTCGCCTCAGATTTTCCATCTGTGTATATGGTAAAGTATTTTGTTGTTGGGTATTTCTCGAGCTGCATTCCCGCCGCGGCCCGCGCATGTTAGTTGCAGATTAGAAATGCAAATGGTTTATCCAAATAGCGTGCACTGCAACAGGGTTCAAAACGGAGGTTCCTGAATCCAATGCCATTTGGATTGAATAATTGCCCAGTAATACCATTATGGTTAGCCGAGCGTGAGTCAAAATATTAAAAGTTCGGTTCAGCAACAATTATAACATTGCTAGCGCACAGCGATGAGCAGATATGAAGAACATATCTATTAACAAGCGAGTGTAAAAAGAGCAATTTGAACTTAGCCCGCGTCGATCTGATCTCAGATAAGATTCTATGCGTTGGTTGCCGGGTGTGGCCGTTATCAGGCGCATTGTGATGTTGAATAGGTTTCTGTACAGGTGGGTGTCTGCAAATGTTCGCCTTAATATTAATGCCACAATCGAGGCTCAAACGGCACTTTTGTTTATCACGATAATCCGCGTGCGTACCGACTGTCTTTATGAATGTAAATGGTGCAATTATGAAAATCTGCGAAATTCCACCTTGTATTGGCTTACACGACGCCCCGACAGACCTGCAAGCTGGATGCCCTAACAACATAATAAGAATTTAAAATTTTGTTCTCACTTTATTATTCCAGCGTAGTGGAGTTTATTGTATTTTACAGTAGCATAAAACTAACCATTATAATATTTCAAATACCGTGGTGCAATAAACTTAAATCACAAAAAGATACATATCTGGCTTTACATTTGTTTTTTTTTTTCGTTTTATTTTTTTTAAGATTTAGAAGAAGTTGCTATGAATAACCTAAACACGTTTTGAGCTCAGGGAAAGTTAAAAATCTATTTATTACAGAAAAGACGTTATGAAGAACCTGCTACGATAAAACACGTGAATCTAGTGGAATGGATCAGTTTTCAATTCGTGCAACGTCTCCATACTGTGAACTATCCCAATTCACATACTTAAAACATTTCCCATCTCCAATTTCACCATGGTAAGTTCGTTCAATGCCGGCCACGTGGTAAGAAAACTGTAACGATTTTCCAGCAATGTCGTCTAGAACGATGTTAATTAACCATGCGATGTAATTTGAAAGGGCGCACGTGCCAGAAAATATTGAGCATCCACTCATTAGTGGGAGTGCTCTCTAAGCGCGCCAGTGGGGCAGGGGCGTAGTCGACTCGGCGCGACTGCGGGCGACGCGGGGCTCATTACAAATTGTAATTAAGGCCGTGTGCATGAGGGAGCTTTGCCACTTGGAGCCGGATAAGGCTTTTGGCCTGTTTACAAAGGACGCTCTCATTGAGTTGGCTCTCTTAGTTCCTTATCAGAATAAACGTTCTTCAGTTGTGAGATTTACAGCTATATATATATATATATATAGCTAGAACTAGTAAGGTCATGCTGTATTATAACAATATGTCAATTTTTTTGTTACGCGGCTTTGTTTAATTAACTAATTACTTCTTTCTTAATCTTCTCTTAGTTTCTATGCAATTGTTTATTTATGAACCTATTGAGAATAAAAACACATGGGCAACGTTTTCAATTTCTAGTTCCAATCGATACATCCCGTGTATCGATCGAACCCACGACCCCGACACTGATGCCAATACCGTAGCAACTGCACCACGGATATATCAGCAGCATGTCAGACGCGACTTAGAACCGAAATCTGAATTCATTAACCGAAATATCTCTCGTCATGTCAGCGAAGTCGATGGAAATATCAACAAACAACCGCTTAACGGGGCACAAGTGGAACGGCGTGCGCCGTCCGGCCCTGCAATAAATCACGACAAGCCCCACAGTAACGCCCGTCCGACGACAAAATACAATACAAGCATGTACACATAGGGCTCAGTCCCACTTGAACGATATAGGTTCCAATACGACAGTCTTAACATTTTTAGATTCATTACTATCAAAGGAGTAAAGCTCCATCAAAAAAGAAGGAGGAAATAGTTGTGCTAGGAGAGAGCTACAGAGACTAAGTAGGAAGCGTGAATGTTTATGGACATGTTTTTTTAGGCAATGTTACACAGTATAATGCAAACATTTAGAAGGTTGGGTTTATGTAAGAAAAAACTCAATATGAAATTAGCATGGTAAAGTACGTACATAAAGTGTTACGTAAAAAAGAAGATAACTCTTTCTACAAAAAATAAAGTATTTTCTATAAGGTTATGGTAATATCCTGTAAGAAAATATACGGATATCTTTTCGGTGAAGTTTAAGAAAACATTTATATCTCCTGCTAACAAGTGTGTCTTGGCCCTTAGGGATCTTATTGAATATTTAACGTTAGAAAAAGGTTGCTACACCCGTCGTCGGATGAATCTCCAATATGTTTTGTGGTAAACATTGAGAGACGGTCGTTCACACCCTGCGCCGACGCATCATCGATCAACCGTGTCCATAAGTCATTTTAAGAGAAACCGAATACGTTAATAAATGAATACTGTGATTGTTGTTTTTGTAACACAGTCCTAACATTCGTACTGAAGTGAACTGCGAAGTCGTAATCGGATAGGAGCTAGAAACACGATATGTTTTTGACAATTTAAATTATTATTTTAATTTCATACGTAGTCCTGACTCAGCTCAACGAGTAAATCATAGTTCATCATAAAATACGACAGAAAACGTTGAACTGTGATATTTACCGTAAAGTGAAGATCACCTGACTTTAGAACCATAGTCATTATTACGTCCGAATGACTCTGATGTACGCGTTTCAGCAGGCCAAACAGGATCGTGACTAGTAACTATGCCGAGTGACCTTAGTAGACCATCGAAGTCATTAGCATCAAACCTTTGCCACCCGGTCTAACCTTACAACCATATCGAAACGAGAAAACACTGTCTGAAACACGTCGAAGACTTTGACCGACACCGGGAGCTAGCATCGGGTGCCAGCACATCGGTGTGGTCAAGAACACGAGAACGTTCGCAACGAACGCTATAGTGGTCGGCCAGCCTTTCCTCTCTTTGTTCGCTCGATATCGGCGATGATCATCAGCTTTCGCCGCATCGGCGGCGCTACCGGGCTTTTGCCGCCACCGTGAGAGCTGGCGACTTTCGACGAGGAGGAAGGGGAAGGGGGGGGGGGGGGGTCTCGCTATCAACGATCGGCCGTATCAGATGGTGAATGCAAACAAAACGTTCTAAAGTGGTCAGAGTGTAATAGCTAAGAGATGAGCTCGCGATGCATAATTATAATGCCGAGCGGTAGCGTCACTATCGTGATGTACCCACGGACATACGAGCAGACGCTCGAGGTAATATTTATGGCAAACGTGATATAAGCATCGGTGTAGTTGCAAAATGGAATAGAAAAAAATAAATATTTCCAGGACATACTTTTACACAACATTATCTAGTCCCCAAAATAAGTGAAGCTTGTGCTTGTGAGGAACATACTTAAACATACTTTTCTTTTGTAAATAAATACAATATTTAGATATATAAACATCCAGACTACTAACAAAACACTATGTTGATCACACAATATTTTGCCAATGTAAATACAGACAGATTTCTTATAAAAAAAAATCAATCAACACTGATCTGTACTACCCAACAATGAAAAATGCAGTCAATTAAAAAACAATTAATTGTCCTTTAAGAAAACCAGTGTGTTGGTACGCACGTAAGGAGTTATGCTTCTTTAGCGTAACAAAAGAAAAGTAACTAAAAATATTATCCCGTGTGCCAGTACTCTCGTTTTGTAAAAAAAAGAGACAATAAATGCGATTGATGACCGTTTAATTTAACAACTTTAAACAGTTGTTCATTTGTTGCCATGGTAAAATTTATTCTCCTCATTTTCTTCGTAGAAGTGTTACTTAAAAAAAAAAAACAACGGCGATCGCGCGTAAACAGCGGAACGCGACGTTTGGAGCGAAACATCGAGACGGAGTAGTGCCATTACATAGTTACGAGCACCGGTGGCGACGAGCCTATGAGCCAGCCAGCTCCACGCGCCGCGGCCGGCGTCCATTGACTGTGCCGAGACAGCGCCAGACGTCGGGGAGCCGATCGGAACCGGTACCGCCTGTTACATCACACCCCGCCTAGCAGGCGAAAACTCGCCGCTCGGGTCGGGGACAAGCGTTATGCCAATTATTTCCGACTGCGCGTATGACAAATGAAAATTATGCTTATTTAGCCGTTATCGGTAAAATAACTTTGGAATGTCGTTTCACCTGTAAATATGATGCCATTTAGTTTAAAGTACCAAGTATGCAGTTATACATATACCAAGTATATGTATAAATGCGATCGTCGTCTCGCATTCGTTTCCGAGGGGCATTCGGTTGTCAAGCTAAGTGAATTCTCATTAAAAGTAAGTTTTTTTCCCTTTAGTAAGATCTCAATTTCGCAAGTGAACAAATTTGATTCTATATTTAATAGTGACGTGCTTCTTGTAGCTGTGCGAGCTACAACTGTGCTTATATTTGTGGAATATTCCAATTCCTTTTCAATATTTCATTCCATTGGTGTGGGTTATGCGTTTAGTTTAATAAATAGAAATTCCATTTTACGTATAACTGTTTTATGTCCCAATAAATAAAAAAAAATACGCGTGGAAAGTCCAGATATTTTCGGATGTGCACCAGGAACTCAGCACGGTTCTGCGAATCGATCACTCAACGTCGTGCCGTGTAATTCAATAACGACAGATGTTTATTGAAATATAACTTGAAAGTTTATTCGAAACGTCCTTTTCTTATGTAATAATGATGACTCCGTGGCGCAGTTACCAAGGTATTGGCTTCGGCGTCGAGGGTCGTGGGTTCGATTCCCGCACGGGACAACTCCTTCACAACTATTTGTGTGACCCACAGATAGTTGTTTCGCCTCTGGGTGTTTGTCCACGTGAAGTTTATGTTTGTAAAACGTCCTTACAACACAGGATAATGTTATCCTACAGTAAGGGCGATGTTTTAAAAAAAAATAACAATAATATGGCAAGCGAGCTGGCGGTTCTGGCGGTTCACCTGATGTTAGGTGATAACCGCCGCCCGTGGACATTTGCAACACCCGTAGGGTCGCAGATGCGTTGCCACCTTCTAATAAAATGGGCTCCGGTTACATACCCCACTCACCAGACGAAACGCAGAGGTGTAACAGTTCCACTTCACGCCAGTCACATCACAACACTTATCATCCCCGGTTTATTTTTAAATGAGTAACATTATGGCCGTTTGGAATAATTATAAGGTATGCGTAACTTGTTTACCCTTATCCGCCCACGTTATCCATGACTAACAAAAACAGTTGCGTTTTGAGATTACAATAATTATAGACGTCTGTAGGTATAAACGCATGTTTTGTCAGTTTGTGGTTTGGCGAGCGTATTAAATAACAAAACTAGTTTTGTATGACGAAAAATTGTAGTGCCGGAATTAGTAATAATTTTTTGTCATCCACGTAGAACCAGTTTAGCTGTACATTAGTTTTAAACGGAGCAAGTTGTAGCAAAAAACGCGAACTTAATGATCTGACGTGAGTGTATACTTGTCGTTTATAGCTTTGAGGCTATCTTATTAATAATACAAGAAAGAAAAAAGTGTATAACGTAATACTCGTTGCTAAACATGTATGAAAAAATATTTCAGCTACGAATAAAAGAAAAGATGAGCTTTTCGATTTTTCCAATCCCTCCCTTGAATAACTTTTTAAAAGCTGACAACGAAAAACACTCGCCGAATAGCAAAAAAAAAAGAAAGCGCCTTTTTCACGGCGTCCCGACGCGTTTCAGCTTCGAAATTCGATTGAGAGGACACTCAATCGAATGCCCAACTTAAATTGGCGTAGAATTGCGAATGAATATTAATGCAAAAATAATACTGAAGCGGTCGACGAGAGCTATCGGGCTTGAATGCTGATCGAGACAGGATATCTCGGGTCTGCATATTAAATATTTCACCGTCGATACCGCCGTTTTTAGTGGCGCTGCGTTCCCTTGTTTGGAGCCAAATTGCTTTTGTCGCATGTATATAAATTAGTGTTTAATGAATTTAAATAAAATTTACCGTTGATAAAATCGTCCTTTGTTGATTAAGGCGCCAACCACGACGTCGGGAATTAAAATAGAAAAAAAAAAAAAAACGCTTAACAGACGTATAACACTTCCGCTTCACGGTATTTCACTGGAAGACCGGAAGAGACAATTCAAGCACTAGGGACTGCTATCATAGTGTAGTAAATCTCTGCCACTCGCCCAAGCAAAATTGGTGCATTTTTTTACCTTACCTTACGGGCTGACCGTAGCATTTGTCGAATCTGCTAGGGCCCTTAACACATCGACCCAAGTAAGATAAAACTGATAATCTCTTTCATTTAAAACTTTAGGCTAGGTTCTCACACAAATTAAGAACAAAACGTGTAGCCCTTTTTCTGGAGGGAACGGGTAAGAATCTATGAAAAAAGAAACTAACATAATATAGTATGGGTGCCATAATAATTTAGTATGGGGCCATATCTAACACCAGGCTGTATAGATATCCTCGCTATACGATTCAAATACAGGGATCGAATGCGTGACCGTCTATTTACTATTCCTCTTCCTTTCTCCCGCCTAGATGGCACGTGCCTCATGTTATTCGTGGGTTGATCTAGGTATTTTACAACTCTGGATGCGTGCAGGGGACAGGTCGAGGGTGGTAAAGGAGGAGCAATTCTCCCTGTCTTCTGCTTCCGAGGAGGAGAGTCGCGGGGTAAGAGGAGTGTCGGTATTTCTTCCTAACCTCCGCGGTCGAAACGTGGTGAGCGGCGGAGCCACAGACACCTAGTCTGTGCTCCGCTGGGGGTTGGGAGATTTGCTGCTTATTGGCGCCGGCTCTCCTAGCTCCCATGGCCTCTGGTAAGCGAACGCGCGAGAACTTGCCCCCGCGAGGGCGGGTATGCGTAGGTATTTTCCCCACGTCAACGAAATAAAAAGAGGTATTTTACGATGGGCCACCTACCAGACGTCGACCCTCCATAAGAACAAACACTGAAAAATAGTTGTCCCGTATGGGATTCGGACCCAAGACCCCTGGGCACCGAAGCGTATGGCATAGCATCTACTCCACGGGTCATCGATCCATTTGCCCTTGTCACCGACATATCGCCGTGATTTGCTTTCGCTTAGCACTCGATTGCATTTACTGGCGTCCGCGATCGGAATTATAATGTGGGCTGCTTAATATACAAAAGCGACCCAGCGATCTCTCGTTGTATTTATCGGATTGAGGCAATCGTAAAGAGCGGAGCGCTCCGCCGCAAGCTAAAAAAAGTCACTCACGTACATATTAACATGTTAAATAAATTGTATTGACATACAATGTTATTACGAGAATGGCGTGTGGTCGATGACCGCACGCGGCACAACCAGTCTAGTCGAATTTCGACCCGGAGATTTTTATGGTCGGATTATTGGGCGACACGGTAAGGTAATTTCGTTTATTTCGAAACGCATATGGGTCCCGACGGATTTGAGAGCATTATTAACGTCCGCTATAAATCCTAACGACCGCTGATTTCATAGAGGAGAGGTTTCTTAAATGGTTATCAACTCAGAACTTTGATCCCGTCCGAACCGGAAGCAGTCGATAGACGACAATATTTTAGCATGATTCTACCTTCGCATACCTCTTAATGTAATTGGTGTCAAATTGCGCAATCTTTGTCACAAGAGCCGCCGACAGGACAATTACGGACTGTGTCTAGAAAACAAAAAACGAAAAAAACATGACATCACGACGAAAGATAATATCAAAGTAATTGTGTTTGCTCGTAAGTATTGCATTATCGATTTAATTTCACAATTACTAAATTTTAAAGTTGTGAAATAAAATCGAATCGGTAGCTTGCTCGATTGTTTATGCGAATTCGTGAAAGTATTTAAATTACAATTTGATACAATTTTTTAAAGTATTTTAAAAGTAAGTATTTTTTAAAGGGAATCAAATTTTTATATCGAATTTAGGAATTTATATATAATTTCATATGATTCACGTTCACAATGACGTATAAAGTTTTAAAAAAATTCCTAACGATGTGTACTCACAAAGATAAGGAACGGACTAAATAATATTATCTGGACCTAACACGGTTAAACAGCAATCTCGACAATAACAGCCGAGCAAACACGTAAAATGATTCAACCATTAAACGGATTGATATCACACACGATAGAGAATAATATTTTGTGGGCGGAGATGTAGTACACGGCCGTAGAAATAGGAATGGTCACCACATTTTTTGATGAGGTGGCCGGGCGCTCGGGGCGCCTAGCTTGAACCTCGGTTACGCGTTATGGAGACTAAGTTCGAGGGCTCCCGAGGGCACCTCGGCTTATGCCGTCATGCAATTACTATTCTCACCAGTTTGGGAGGCCACCAAGATCTTAGGGCGCTTTGGCCGACGCTCCATGCAGTGACTAGGATCAAGGGCCTCCGAGAGGGTTTGGGCTGTCACTCAATACCCGTTTAGCATTCCGATACGAGGGTACACCGAGCCGGACCTCGGCTCGATCGGTAGCTATATTCTGACTGAGGTCACCACATGATTCTGTTACAATGTATGGTGTCCTCCTACTCCACCTAAAACTTTTCCGTATCAGGGTAAACCAAATTAACAACATCGAATTAAGTGACCTATAGAAATTCAGCATTATTTTAAGTAGTACATTAGCCAAAAAGTAAAATGCCGATATATTTCTGGTCACCGGTTTTCCCCAGTCGAGTATACAAACCGAAGTACATCGTCTCAGCGGATCTTTTTGCGACCATACAAAACATAATTAATAACCTTTGAACTAGGAAACACTTACAAAGATAAAATGTTGTTTAAATATTAAAGACTGGGAATACCGCAAGGCATTCCTACCTGCAAAGTTTAATAGGAAATAATAAACGCACGTGGAGTAAACACAGTTGTTATTGCGAGATTTCCAACAAATAATACGCAACCGATGCTCTAAAACATCGCGTCGCGAATTTCAAAAGACCGCGGTTGGGTAACGACGGTAAACCGCACTAGGTATTCCCACGCGAATAATTGTCAAGGCGCAATCGTTAATGGGGTTTTACTTGAAAGTTCTCTCGTACGCGCCGCAACACGATTGCAAAAGCAGCGAACAAAACCAGCTCCAATTCGTGCAGTGAAGACTATTTATACTATAATTAATGCTTTCTATGGAAATTAATTAATACGACATTATTACTTCATTACAATGGTATTTATATATTCGAATAAGCATACGTAGCGTAAAAAATATGTAACCATTATTTGCTTGACTTGAAGAAAGAAATATGTAATGAGATCATAAGAAACAGGTTAATTGTTAGGGACCGTCTAAAGGTTTATGCCCGCTCTTCGTGTTCTTTAATAAAATAAAAAAGTCATTGAGGAAATTTAATTATAAGAAACGACATAAACACAATTGGTGTGTTTTTATTTGCTTGATAACTTATTAAACACCGGTAGGTACATAAACTGTATGATTCGTAAAAATGTAAGATGGGCCATTAGATAATATTTTCGAACTTGCGAAATGGAGACGGGTTGACGAACCGTCAGCACACAAATCGTAGTGTTGTAAAAAGGTAAAGACCAATAGAGACGATGAGTGTCGCGTAATCTCGGCTAATACTGATATATGATGGATATCGGAAATTGCTATAGGAGATTTATAATCCGTAAGTAACGTCGTTGTCATCAGCAGGTTGTAGAAATTTTGAATTTTGTGTCTAATTAAGGTACCGTTGAGATGTAGGATTAGTAACGGTTCCAAGATAATGTTTCGTATATCATAACATCTATGTAAATGAATATCCTATCTAGGTGGAGTTGACACGAACTGAGAATTATGTTGTTAATGGCCGATTGACTAAGTTTGTTACGAACAGCCGCCCGCTTGACGTCAACACAGATCTTGAACAATAATTATATGTGGCTCACACGCACACTTGTCACGGGACAATCATATAACACGGGACCCCCGAGGCCAAAAACAATAGCTTAGCCACTGCACCACCGACTCATTAAAAATGAAACAAAAATGAGGAATATAATCAATTCGATACTTTCCGCAGCGATCTGCTATAGTCGCAAAATTTTCAAGGCCAATCCAAATCTTCTTGTATCTTGTATTAACTGATGTTTGTGCTTTCAGTCCCGAGACTATTAAAGCTTCATCTGACGCAAAACCGGTGGGCTAGCCAGAACCCACGGGTTTGAGCCCTCCGCTGTGGGTAGGGCCACGTATGTGCTCATGCGTGCGTTTTACTATTGTGTGTCATCTAAGGGCCATCGAGGTCGCGGTTCGAACCGAAACCCGGATGGCCGTCGACTGTGCAATTAGCTAATCGGTGTCTGGGAGCGGTGAGAACCGCCCCGGAACGCTGGTGTACCTTGTATACGCGTTGTGTTGGTCTCGCCGTGGTCGGAGGCGAAGGCGAACTAGTGTGTTTGTTGTTGCACTAACTGTGGGTGTAGTGTTATCCGGCGGGATCCCCGGCGGTGGGTCCGAAATATCAAAGTGCCCATCCTCGACCGGGTCGATGAGGACGTTTCGCGGGCGACGCTTGTTGACGTTCGCGTTTGTGTCGGGTTGGTAATTTGCTGATCCTCTTCTGAAAATCTTCAAGGAGTCCGTGCTTGCTTATATAACACGGGCGGTTACTAACTTCGAGCTTTTTTAATAGTCTCTTTTAATCTGGAACTGAGATTTAATTTAGCTTCCCGCGTCTCAGCTCCGAATAATTTCAAGTTTGATATAAAGACTTGCGCTTGAGCCAAGGGAACCTGAATCTGCGTGCGTAATGCCGACCTTTATCGCAGTATCAACCTAAAGAAGTAATCTTATTTTTATAAAGGAAACAAGCCTCTCTTCTTAAAACAAGTTAGGTTAAAACGACGGTTAAACTGATATGAGTTTTATGTGGTACTAAGGTGATATGTATTTCTTTAGCTGTATAAAATAAATGGATTTTAACACCTTATTAAACAGATGATAACTGGTTATTTCGATTGGTGTGGACCCATATATCGCAGATACAACAGATATAATTTAATAAAAAAATAGATACAGTTAGCGATACACACAGTATATTATATGTATGATACATTGCACCCGTGCGAAGCCGGGGCGGGTGGGTCGCTAGTAATCTAATAAGACTCGATCACGCTAATGCGCAACACTCGCCCGATCGAGCCACGATCACGAACTTTTACCATAATTACCGCCCGCAATGACGTCACACCGACTTTATTTCTGGTCTATCATTTTTTTCTACGGCGGACACTAGCCGCCTCGCTCCGCTGCGCCCGGCAGGGGGTATGCCCAATTCTGTCGCCGACGGCTCCTACCTATCTGTATTAACAATAACACGCGTCAACTACTTCATAAATTTATACAGTCGTAATGATTACTTTCGGGCGATCTCGACGGACCAATAAATATAGACTAGCCGGTTAATAGAAATATTTTCGTTATTCAAATGGAACGTGGATTGTTAAGTAGCCAAATAGGTTTTTAGAACGAGAATCGTCGTTGTAATATTTAGAAACCATTTCAGTTTGAAACACTGTACCTAAATGTCGTTCTATTTTCGGATCAGAACAAATGTCTCTGAACTGCGCCACAGGCAACAAAACACACACAGACCACGCTCGCCGCATATCTTTAAACACTGTGACGAGAGAAAAAAAAAACCAACATAACAAAAATACGAATTACGCGCCATAACAATTGCCGCGTGCGGAGGATTTGTTTTTTTTTTACCTCGCGAGTGTATATGTCGTGTGTGCGTGGTTTTTTGCGCGCGATTCGTCCGCACTCTAGTCGGCGCGCGTCTGTGTTCACGGCCAAGGCCACGGCGGCAATAAACGCGAGGCGATCAAGAAAGATGTGCCTCTGAAAAAAACAAACCGTGTACCCACCATGAGGGGCGGGCCTCGGTACTAACGACACGAAGACTAATAACTAACTGGTGGAATGAAACGTTGCACGCGTGACAACGACTGTGTTTAAAGCGGGCGGTTGTTGCAGGAATAGAGCAATTGTTCTTGTTTCACGCTTCGCAGAAAACTTACTGCTTGGTATTTGTAATTTAGCAATTCGCCTGCAGAATAAGATACCCGGGGCCTATGCAGGGCGTTGTGGATATCTATGTGTAGCGGAATTTTTAGACGAGTTAGCGTCCAAATTTGGAATGAGATGGGATTTAAATCGGGATAAGCAGTTGAAATAGAGGAAACGTTGTTACCCGTCGTTTGTCACACGGTTTAAGGGCCAATTCGATCTGAATGGCAATGCGAACTCAATCTGTTTAATCTGATGAAACAAGACCGTTGGATGGCCGCCCGTTAACCAATTCGCGATAACACCAATCCCACTTAATCGAACATCACCCTAGTGGTCGCATGGCCCGGTGTTAAGTGTGCGAACATGTGCGATTAATTTGACACAATCATTAACGCAACACTTAATAGATTCCACTCGCCCCTTTAACGCAGGCTTTTTTAAGGGGCCAAATAAGTACTATTCTTTTTCATTTATCGTATGTGTTTATGCAGTGTAGTTGATATTTTAAGTTACATTTAAGTTGCATTAAGCCATGAACAGGAGAAATACACCTATAGGAAAACTTTTTGTTTTAATGTCAAAAGTTGGCAAGCGAGCAGGCGGTTCATCTGCTGTGATTGCCACTGCAGGTGGACATCTAGAACAACTGAGTTCCATTTACTTCACTCGCTAGACGAAACGCGAAAGTATAGTAAATACATATATTTTTTTACTGCTCGTCGGTCTTCTGTGAGTCTGTGATACTCCCCGGACAAGGCTACCCATTCGTGCATAGCAGTCTGACGTGTCCTTTTTTTTGGTTAACATGGGGGAAATCCCTACGAACGCGCACCGACTAAAGCCCCCATGACGAGAATAAATATTATAGGACACATTTTTACACAACGTTCTCTAGTCCCAAACTAAGAAACGCATGTACTATGGATATACTAGATAATTGATAAGCATACTTAAACATACTTTTCTTTTTGTAAATATATATATTGTACATAAATATAAACACCCAGACATCTAGTCTCTGTTTTTTTAGAAAACACACTACGTTCTTCACACAATTTATTTCCAGTAGTGGGGATCGAACCCGTACCCTCTCGCGCAGGAGGCAGGTACCTATACTACCCACTACGCCATTCGGGTCTTCATATAATCCACAGATGAAACCAAACTTCCGCGAAAATGCCAGCGTTGATCGCCGCAGCAGCCCCTCCTCAAGGAATAACTCCCCTCTTCTCGAGGTAAGGCACGCTGGAAAATTCAGCGCGCCTTCCTATCGGCTCCTATCGCACGGAAGCTGACTGCACATGGCTCTACCACACTGTAACTGTCGCGCATGCATACAAATATAACATTAGTGCTAAAGTGTTAAACTTGATAAGATTCCTTAAGTTTTGTCGGTGTTTAGGACATTTCAGGCTGCACAATGGAGTCGCCATTATGTTTATCGCGTCGGACGATAACGCTCGCTGCGGCAGCGATCGTACGCGCGCGGCACGGAGGAATTCAATTTACCCGCGCCGCCTCACGGGGGAGAGCGGTCTAAATCAGAGGTTCGCCGTCGATAGCATCATCATGTCGGATGGCGGCGCATTCGCTTGCATTCGCATCACGCCCCCTCGCACCGTCGACCTAGTGCATCGCACTTGGCAGTGTGCAAGACAAATCGCTAGCACTTTACCGAGGCCTTCGCATTAGAGGTGAACGACCTTGGTTGACGTTGTTAGGTGAACGCGTTGCGGATCGATTAAACGGCGATAGGCGGGCCGTGTGCTATTACGCAAATTAGCCCGTAGTAGTTTCGGCGACTGCGGGGGACACAACGGATAATTTTTCTTTTTTTTTAATTCAAAATTGGCCAGCACTTGAGTGCCATCCTGAAAAATACTACGACGCCATAATTTATTCTGCGCGCGTCGTGTTGCCGCGTTTTAGTGGCGGCCGCGGGTCGAGGCGTTGCGACGAGGCAGTGAGTGTCGTTAACATAGCGAAGTTCATGGGAACCGTGACGGTAGATGTACGCAGGCGATAGGGGTACGCTGGGTACGTCGATTACATCCGACGGGGGCCCGTGGTCTCGGCTGAACGGAACAATCTCGCATCAGATGTCGCCGTGACGAAGCGCCCGACTGGCTCGGCCATGGCGTAGGGCGGGAACGCTTTTGCCTACGATTTTCAAACCGATACAGAGATTCCTTAAGGGTTCATTAGACGGAGATCAAAATACATATTTTAGATACATTGATCTTAATCCTATACACAAATAAATCTTTTTATCTATGCCCGGTCCGATTTCTTAGTAACGTAGGATTAAAAATAAAAGCATAAGATGGCATCATCGAAAATATCTAATCATGAATATCCTATAAACTTTTTGCTCCAATGCCTCTCTTACTTAAAAGTAATTACTACTAAGCAGCTTTCTAATAAAGACAAGTGTCGATTTTGATTCGCAGCCTAGAGGAGCGAGTTACTTTTCTTTTTGGTCATGCCAAAAAGTTGTAGATACAAATATTGAAACTGAACGCCATCTTCAATCATCGATGCTTATTTTCCGGTCCAGTTTATTTCCAATCAAATTCATATCTTTTTTGTTACAGAAACTTTGTAGTTTTTGGTTTTATTAATACTTGTTACACTATCGATATCTCGAGGCGGATGAAATATTTAATAATTTTTAATCTATGGACTTAATGAATGTTGTTTAAAAAAACCGAGGCAAACCCACCCATTTTTTGTGCTAAGAAATTGTATCCTATATTTATTTCTTTTGCATGTAGTGAAACAAGTTGTAGAAATGAGCTTTAGTAGTTTCGAGGAAGAAACCGTAGTTATTCCTCGTGGTTTTCTTAAGATCTTAGATAAATAGTAGTGGAAAATTATTAGCGACAGAGGTAAGTGAATACATTAAGCGATGCATAATCCCGATTAAGACCAGCCTTGGGTTCTAATTATAGTAACAATCATATCTACGGCGTAAAACGTACGCAATGCTGGTGGCATGATATCTGTATGAATTTGACAGGCAATTTTGTTTTTTATTGACAGCAAACTACACTGTCATATGCGAAATCAGTGCAGGTATTTGAGGTCGCGTGATAAAATGATTTGATGCAAATTTAACCCTACTGCCGAAGCGGGGTGATGTTGTAATGTTTTCAAGTTATCCTGCTTCTTTTGGCGCGTTTTGAAAAAATGTGAGGAAAACTTTATAACGATGCACGCGCACACCGATAGTCAAAAAAAGACAGACACACACGCGATGAAGTTGATTGTAAAGCGACGAACTTCATGGTGTTACCATGGCAACCAATAACAACTTTTTGACATTTACCTATACTTCCAAGTTATGCTTCTTTTGTTACGCTAAAGAAGCAAAACTTCTTACGTGCTTACGTAAGTACACACGACCTTTTTTTAAACGTTTGTATGTACATATTATGTATTTATGTCTAATTCTTCGGCACGAATTTAATAACACGTCACGTAATTAAATGACACGTCAACATATGAAGTGTCATTTAATTCGTCTCAGTTGCGGGAATGACATACGGTATAATTATTTGACTATGGTGACCGCGACAAAAAATGCTTAATGCAAAAGCCGCGGGCTTAATTCAATATACTCGAACAATCTGAGTTCTAATCCGGCACCAATTTAGTAGATGCAATTTAAGTACCGATTTATCATTGTTTTTATTTATTTAAAAAAAAAAGATTTATCATGTGCTCCGCGGGGAAGAAAAACATACATGAAACGTGCATGTTTTCGAAATAGTCACAAAAAATATTTCGAAGATATGTGAAGTCTACGAATCCACGATGGGGTCACGTAATGGACTACACCGTAATACTTTCTGAATAGAAAAGGTCTTAGCTCAGCAGTGGAACACATATCGGCTGTTACTTTAATTTATTTTTAACTAGCTGCTGCCCGCGACTACGACTGCGTAGAATAGGCTGAAGGCGTAACATTCAGACAGAAATACAGATATACATAAAAATATGTATATAAATTATAGCCTATGTGTTATTCTTATGTATAAGCTATATTATTGTAAAGTTTAATTAAAATCCATTCGGTAGTATTTGCGTGAAAGAGTAACAAACATCCATCCATACATACAAACTTTGGCCTTTATATTATTAGTAAGGATATAGTATGGATGCAAAAATGTTTATCGTCTCTCGCCTGATGTATGTTGACGGGCTTACGAGCTGCTACTATAATACAAGTCTAGCTTGTAGGTTTAAGTCAGTAATTATTATCAATATAATTCCGGTAAAATAAAAACATCAGGCTGTCTACGCCATTCTCTACCCAATATCATCAAGTACTTAAAGATGACCGAAAGTTCACTATTTCCATAGCCAGTAAACGTGCACCTTTCAGGTACCGATAACTGTGGGCGACGGTGATGACTGATCATCGGGCATGGCACCCACAGGCTCACCGCATCCTCTTTAAACATGTTTGATGACTCCGTAGCGCAGTGGTGAAGATATTGGCTACGGCGTCGGGGGTCGTGGGTTCGATTCCCACACGGGACAACTATTTGTGTGACCCACAGATAGTTGTTTCGCATCTGGGTGTTTGTTCGCGTGAAATGTATGCTTGTAAAACGTCCTTACAACACATGATAATGTTATCCTAAAGTAAGGTCAATATAAAAAAAAATAAGTTTGAGATAAGTATACATACGGGCACACACAGGTCAAGTGTGCTCGAAGCCTTACCACTTGTTTGTATGAGATTGGTGAGACGGTGGTAAGGTAAACGAGGCGACTTGCTGAGCAACGTTTAGCACGATCGCTACCGGCCTACAACCGATATCAGACTGTCTCCGCGAAACCCCTATTAAGGGAGCACTAAATCACGACGCGCCCACCCCGCTGCGGACACGACTTAATTCGGCTCACGGCTGCCGAGGTAGATAATGGGCCTTATCATTTGACGTTAGTCGTTTAGCAAAAAAATATCCACCAGACTAGGTTAGGCAATGTCGAATCGCAAAATGATTAAATTATATATAATAAATTGATAAAGTGAAATCTAGGAAAACACCCAAAACGTCGAAACCAACGAAACAACAACCTTCACTATCACTCCCGAGTATCTGGTTAGCAACCGAAAGTGGATTTATCGTGAAAAAAGCAAAACACAAAAGGCAAAAAAAAAAAGAGAAAAATGAAACAGATTCGTAGTCGCGGTGACATGATCATGAATAGAAAGTGGAGCGATTGCGCTCTAGAATCGGTTAGTTTCGGTATTACCATTGTATTAGTGAAAATAGTGAAATCGGATTAGCGACGCGGGCCGTTCGCGTATTTGAGTCACATTTCGCGGGCGCTCGTTACGCTGGAATAACAAGTGGCCGAGGTCGGACAGCGGTGGTCTTTGCGAGACCCACGATGGGAATTCTCATTGCGGTCGATGTGTAAACGATTCATCATTGATAGTGCAGATCTATCCACCTTTGAGATGTTGGGACTTTCAGACGAAACGCAAGAGTTTGTAGAAGTGTAAATTATTATACAATAAGTATACAATAGTTTACACTAGTGTTTATTGATGCCGTGACACTACACAGGACGGGCCGAACTGCGATGTACTCGGTGACCCAGCAAAGTCTTTGATGCTTTTGCTTATGCCATTAAGTTCGGTACACGCTACCTGAGGAATATATAATACGACTATTGAAAATTTCCATGAGCGACGGTTATCGCTAAACATCAGGCGAACCACCAGCTCGATTGTCATCTAATTACAAAAAGAATATAATTAACATCGGGCTTGATTGTCAGCAATAACATGAGCGATGTGAATCAAAGTATATTCCAAATTGTATTGAATTAATATTTCATTGAATCAATCAATTTTCAACGATCACACCGTTTTCAAAGATTAGTGCTCGGAGCTATACATAAGAATCGGAAACATTGGTGCAAACCAGGGTTGTTGTACGGCGTGCACAGCGTCCCAGGCACGGTCCACGTGTTCCCTTATCAAATCTGCCAACATAGGATAGCAACACGAGTCGGTGATCTTGGCGTTATGTTGGTGGACACGACGGAGGTCGGTGTTGATGACGTCACGGCTGGCACGTCCCTCGGTGGCTTGGCGAGGCGCGAGGCCAGTGACGCGCACACAGCCCGGAGCCGGGGGGACGTCACGATGCACTTTCACGTCCAGCCGCCGCAACGGGCCCGCGGTTAAGTGCCATTCACTTTCGCGCTTTCCGATCACGACCGACGCGACGCCCGGCCCGTGGGTGCTGTCTGTACAAGTACACTCGCACCGCCGCTAATGTGACTTTGACACGCTTTCATTAGCTCTCGTATGTGTATATTTTTTATGTGAGAAGGTGGCAAACCAGGTTTCGGTTCACGTGACGTAAAGTGATAACCGCCACCCATGGACATTTGCCCTTTTTGTAGGGCTTGCAGATGCGTTGCCACCTTTAAATTAAGGTCCCGATTACCTCACTCAACAGAAACGCAGACGTATAACACCTCTACGTCGATCCATACGAGTCGAGGAATACGTGAGAAAAAGTAATAATCCTATATATCCCTCTCGACTTGTCCTTGCATACTAGCGGCAGTACCAAAAGTGCCAAGCATGTGGCCTCGGCTCGCCGCGCCATTCTGGTCATCACCAAGAATAGGCATTGGATTGATTTCAAATATTTAACAGCAAATTTTGTTATCTCCTTAGAGTAAAAGAAACACATGGCACCTGTACATGCCAGTCAACAAGTCCAATGAAGACCGGTCACAAAGACATTTTTTGTCGATCGATTGTAGAAAAAAGGAAAGTAACAGCCCACCGCTTTGCAAAGGCCTGTACAGAAGGTAGGGTAGAGTAGGAGAGAGAATCCACCATGTGATCCCATTACGGATTGGCAGACTTGACATTTTTTTTTGTTTTGTTTTATTATTAAGATAAAATGTTTTTTTTTTTTTTAAAATGATGTCAAAGCACCGAAGGCCTGCACTGTGGATGTAAACGTATGAATTTATGGCGAATTGGACGCCGCAACAAGTTAATAAAAATCGCCTTTACAAACTTATCACACTGCTGCTCGTTGTTGTTATATGAAGTCAATTGGATTGGATTAACGTCATCGTTATTATCTGAATTTATTATACAATACCAATTTCAAAAGTAATAAAAATTTCTTATTTTCCCATATATTTTGATGCTGTAAGGAAAAGTTATCATAACTCAATCAATAAACTTCGACATTTTGAATACAAACTACACTTAATTCATTGTAGATAAGAATAACGAAGCCTTCTAAAGCCCTAAAGCACATCTTCTCATGTTTATTGTCGAAAACAAGGAAAGTGCGCTCTTTAATATATCGCCAAAGCTTTCCGTTCTTTTAAACTATATACAAAATTTGTTACTCCACAAGATTCCTTCTTATTATTATAAAACTCATCATCAATGACGTCGATTACATAATCATGCTCTAAATTATGGAGCAGTGGTTATACTGTCTATATTTTCTCGAATACGAGATTTGATACAGTATTTATTCGTTGACTTGGGGAATGCGACAGTATACGAGTGATCTAGATAAAATATTTATTAATTTCACATTACAAGTTCCTAGAGCACTTAAATATTCTGTATTATTCAATATGTTGCTGTGTATAATGTGGTCTTTATAGAGAAACTTAAATTTATATTCCAACTTTATTCAAATTTAGCTTGATTCAGTCATAAAATCGTTTCAATTAGGAAACGTTAATGAGCATAAAATAATATTCACCTTATTTTATTATTAAATCACAAGTACAGAGTACGGATTAACAGATAGATACGGATACGGATTGACAGATACCGTAGTTGTATTATAGAAGTAGCATCAACAATCAGTTTACTTCTATAAAAATCAATTATGAATGTGATGTAAGAACAAAATGAGCAAGTGTATACGCGTAAAAGTTTTTATATCGACCTTTATTAAACGTCCTAACACAGTTCTGATTGTAATTGATTAAACAATATAGTGGAATTTCCGGTATAAGCTACCAACCTCTTCACGCTAAAATCACTCATAATACATTCATGAAGATTTCTGCACACGGTTGTTATCATTAGAATGATGTCTGTGAAAGAGGTGAATATTATGATGACGGCTGTTACAGGAAACTGGATCGGAAGGACACGTTGTACCGATCCTAACTAGTTTAGGATAAGGGCAGGAGAAACAAGAAGAAATAGTATACATACAACCATAACTATTATAAGGACGCTGGCTGATTCAACAGCACATATTAATTGCTTGGATTTAATCCTTTCACGACTCCGTCTGCACTAAGTTAGCTGTCTGCCATCCCATACGCGGTACTGCGCGAACTTTGACTTCACGCTAAAACAAATCTACGGCTTTCGCCGTTTGACCTGTAGATAAGTTCAATTAAAACATCCTCGGTCCTCGAGCGGCTAATTGAGTTTTCGCCCGACGGACACTTGCCGCGCGTAGGGATCCGGTCGATAAATAAAATAACCGACCATTTGTTGCTTGTTTATTATACAAACGATGCGTCGACACGCGAGGAATGTTTTAATAGGCGGTGGACGATTGAGGAGTCACGCGAGCTATTCCACGATTCGAATTGAAAATCCTCGTACAGTGATGCATCCGTCGCAACGTCGCGGCATCTCCTATAGAAATATCTGACGCCTCACTAAATTAACACTGGGCTTCCTTCCCGCTGACATCAATAATTCATCATAGTATCGCGCGTGTCAACCGACGCATTCGAAGTTTTGTTTTGAAGAGCCCGAGACTTGCGTTTTAATACTACGACACGGATTTAAAAGATAAAATGTTGGTGTAACTGTGTAAGGCTGATGTATTATGATTCTTTAATGAAGTAAATCAAATGATTTAAAAATATTGCTTAAGCAGACCTGTTTAAGAAAGTGTTATGCTTTCAAAATTTTGGTCGCTTCGCAAAACGTGTACCGCGGCAAACCCCGCCTTGTGTAGTGCGTATATATAAAAATATCCTTTATCACTTATGAAATGTGGATTTAAAACAATTTTTTTTAAGCTTTTGGTGATCGATACCCAAGCAAACAAATGGATCCCGAGGTCCTTAGCGAATGGGGATATACAGTTTCACCCAAAAAAAAAAAAAAGCACACAGACGACTAAAACCTAAGCCGTTACCGAAAAACAAAAAAAAAAAAGACGCCACTAATGTGTCTTAATGTATTTTCCTCGCGCGTGACAGTGGAGATTGATGGCTCGGCGAGTGAAAGTGAGGTTCGTGAGCGGACTGCGCGGCGTTCTATTCGACGAGTCCCCGGTCTGGGTTTGGGCCGACGTTAAGTCACAATACCCCTGACACTGCACGGGCTTTGGGCCGGTCATTGTATTTTTTTTTTGTTGTCGCACCATTTGAAAGCAAAGTACCTACGTAGGCGTGAACGCAATGTGCCGTATTGCGCAACAGTCACGGGTCGTCGGTGGAGCGTTTCAAGTGCACAAAAACTCATAGATTCATCGGATATCTTTAAAACAGTCCAATGTGAGCGATAGCTGAGTGGCCAGGGGATCAGACTTGCGATTGGTCGTGGACGTGGGTTAGAATTCAAGCGGGATATGATTTTTCCGTACGTCGCAATTCTTATAGAATATAGACAACTTGCTTTTCCATACATATTTGTATTTTTTATTTTTTCTGAATACTACGGGAACTGAGTATGCGATTCACCTGATGTGATTGAGCCGCTCATCGACACCCACAACACCTGTGGTGTTACATACGCGTTGGTATGTGCCTCAGTTTTCGTACACATCAGACGAAACGCTAAATACAATAGTACTAACGGTCGCTAACGGTGGAAGGGCCACGCAGCAGCCTCGGCTGTTGCACGAATGGGCAGGCCCGTCCGGGTGAGTACCACGACCGCACAGAAGACCAGCGTAAAGTTGAAGTATGACAAATACTCTCGCGTTTCGTCTGGTGAGTGAGGTGGCCGGAGCCCAATTTCCAAAAAGGTTGTCAACTCATCTGTAACCCTCGGGTGTAGCAGATGTCCATGGGCGGCGGTATTCACTTAACATCCTGTGACCCGTCTGCTCGTTTGGCAACTTTTCGGATAAAAAAAAAAACTTTCCACTTCACGCCAATCCTCTGTAAAGTCGTGGTGCTTCCGCGGACGAGTCTGTCAATCCGTGAAATAACAGCTACCGTAGTTAGCTGACCCTCGGTTTGTGGTGCCAACATTCACCACCTAAGTTCACGAGTAAATAATATCTTTGTCTAGACCATTAATGCCAAAAGATAAGTTTTTTTAGCCTTTTTTTATCGATTCACATTCGTGTCACAATCACAATACCTATCGCTCATCGTGAAATGACGTCAGTTGGCGTTTTTTGACGAACGTTTTTGCGTTTAAAAGTGTAATTACAAGATTGTAGGTTCAATGACCTCATTTCTCGTTGTGGCATTTCAAATACACAAATACAAATTATACATCCTATCCTTTTACGCTAGATATGGTCTAGAACTACAAATAAATGATGCTGTTAAAAATTCAACGACGAGTCATATTCGAGCATGTGTTCAGTACAAGCGAAAATGTTCTCGTGATATTTTCATATTGACTTTAAACTGATTTTATTTACTATGATTTGACTACAGGAGATATTCTTCAATGGCAGACGAATAGATACAAAATAAATACCTAGAAAAGAAGGGCAAAGACAACTAAAAGGAAGAAGAATTTTTGGCGCGATTTTAAATAAAAACAGCATAATTATATAGTTGCGTTGGAAAAGCTGTAACAATTTATTGAATGCCCAACATGGATAGGTTCAATTCGCCAAGTTATCGATATCGATAGAGCACACGATTATCGGAAGGCGTATCGATCTTTAATCGAAATGTCGTTTAAACATTAACGAAGAACCGATCGCGGCAATACGCTAGCACGCTTACCATCAAGGGCTGCATCGCCACTTACCATCAGGTGGGATGGCAGTCAAGTACTAGCCAGTTTTTTAATAAAAAAAAAATAGAAACTATTCATAGTTCACCAGCATTGGAGTGGCCCCCGCAGGTCGCGGTGGTCCGTTCTCTAATAGTTAATTAATTAACCCGCTACGGTGTCGAAGTGAACTGTTCGCGTTGATAGTGATGTGTCGATCCGGTCTCGGCAATTGTCATATGGCGCTCCTTCCTGATCTCAGAAATTGTTCGTTATTAGGACCATAGGTACAATTAGCACTAAATAATACCATCAATACGGACAAGTATGTCACGGTACCTTAAACACTTGTTTAAGGTAGTATTTTCCGAACAAATAAATAGAAAACTCGTTTAAGTCGCGTTCGGATCGCTAAATATGCCCGGTTCTGGCAACAACTGAAGTAACATTTACTAAAAATATAACTTTAAATATATAACGTTTAAAAATAGAAACAGTGAATGTAATTTTTTTTAATGATAAACAGGTTAAAACAGGGCAAAAACTTATTAACCGTCCGCGTTGTTTTCCTCTATTCTTATTATTAAAATCAAGAGCGTCATCGTTAAAAATAGCCCGTACATAATTAACTTAATAAATATACAACATTTATAACTGTTAACATGTATCATCTTTTATTATTATTACGACATGCACCGGTTGCAACGGACCTAAT